TTAATTAAGGTCCCTCCACTTGCAAACAGTCACTGTGCAGTTTAATCATGCATTTGTACCCTTTTTTGATAATACTGCGGGGCTTTTCCGATATTAAATAATGGTTTGTCATTCCGTCTCGGTTGATCCATTCAATAAAGTTCGATTTCTGATTGTCCCATTCTAAGAAAAAAGAAAACAAAATGTGCGTTTGAATATTTCAGTAAGATTGATTTATTATTTGAAAAACATGAACGGAAGCGTATATTTGGAGCCACCATGTTTTTGCCATTAAATTTTTGTGTTTTTTTACAGATGCCCCGACAAATTAATGAAGACATAAAGAGCTACGACCATTCATCAACCTCATCACACACACGCACCCATGCACACGCACACACACGCATGAAACACATACACACGCACACGCACACATGAACGCGTGAATTTAAACGAAATTATTCGTTTGTCATTCTTTTCTTCATCGAATATATTTAAATAAAGCTCATTTCGTTTTGAAAGTAAAAACTGACATAAGTGTTGAATTGATTTTGAGTTATAAAGGCGGGGCTAATTTGTGCTTTTATTTACAGTGAGAAGAAAATCTCACTATTTCACCCACGCTGCAACTCACGCGCCACAAACCAATACTATAGTATTTGTTAAGAGAGACTAAAGTAGAGAAGATGATGTTGGCAGGCTTAAAATAAACCAGTAAAATATGGCGTCATCATGATGATCATGACCTCTTGACTTGTCTTAAAGATCGACTTCGATCGGTTCGAAAGACGAGTCGGGAGTCGATGTCCTTCCATTCATGCTTGCATTCACGTATTGAGTCGTTCAGGGGGGGGGGGGGGGGAGAAGAAGAGCAAATACGCAGATACATGTATAAATAACTGGCCTACATCTGTGCGGTGTCACGCGAAAACGTAATTATCACCGTGATGTGGACTCGAGTAGTCCTTGGGTCAAATAATGAATATAATCATGAAATAATTGATTTGATTATTGTTCTGGAAAGGTCATTATAAACTGTTTAATCGCTTGAGTTGTTGACTGTGTATAACATACGGATCACCTTTAAGCCGGTTACTGGGAGTTATATCGATCTGTACAGCCAGGGACTAATTATTGTTCAAGAACATTCAATATTGGTTCATTCAGCGCATTACGAATTGGTATTTGGTCGTGTTCGGAATAATATGAACCACCTCGTGATCTGGCCATGCATTTCTTCACTGTGATCTACAAATGTGATTTGGGCTTTTCTCCGCGTATCTATCATGAGTTGATTGTAACAAAAGAAATATAAACTTGAGATTGTTACTTGATATTTGATAACTATTATTTTGGATATTCAAGTTGTTATTTGTCTCCAATCAGAGCGTTGCCATGGAAATATACTGGACATACTCATACGAAGCGCCTTCTACAATATATCATGACGAACAGTAATTGTTGATGGATGAATCATTATCGGATCGTAACCTTCTAGAATCCTTTCGATGTTTTGAATATAACTCAGGAAATCTTTGGCACAATATGATTTGACCATTAAGAAAAAGGATTCGATTTAAAATAACATGGAAGTTTCCCAGTTGTGAGGATTAATTCTGCTGGATGAATCATATATAACGCCGTTTCAACTTTTCTCTCATCGGGAAGAAAAAAAAGGGTCTATTCGCAGTTAATATTGTAACTGTATGTTTAAGAACATAGTCTTTTGAAGACTTCATTGGATTGGCAGGAGGAAAGAAAAGGAAGGTTTAAATGTATTCAAGATGAGTGGAAATTGTTGGACTCGTATCTTCTTTATCCTGTACGTTCTTGGGCTGAGCTCAGGGGCGATGAAAAGATCATACACCTTTGCTGTCAAAGAAGCGAACAGCATCCTAACGGATCATGTAGTAGCAGAGGAACTTAGTATCTCTTTGTTAAAATGTGCTATAATGTGCACTGATAATCCCGACTGTCTTTCACTCAACTATTACAAATTAGAGAGAAAGTGTGAGATAAATTCGGCTACAGCTGATCAGTTTCCTGACGACCTTGTTCCAAGGGAGAACGTCAATCATCTCAGTGAGTTGGATGGAAAGGTAAATCTAAGAAAAATGAGTTTATCTCTACTTACAATCTATGCCAGAATGAGAAATTCCTCCTCCCTCTTCTCCTCCTCCTCCTCTTCTACTTCTCTTCCTCCTCCCCTCCCAATTCTGCTACAACTACTACAATACCACAACTAATACTACAATTATTTGAATCTAATATTCTTATTCTTAGTCTTCCTCGTCATCTTCTTTTCATTATCGTCAGCATTTTATTTGTATCAATGTTTTTTGAAATCATTTCCCCTTCTATTTTCTGTGGTGTTTTTCACCCCCTCTCTTTGTCCTTCGTCTCCTTTCCTAGCAATCGACCTTTCTTTTCTTTCCCTGCACCTGATTGAATAATTTATAAAGACGACCACACACCTTTAAGATAGAATATGCATGGCTACATATTGAAGGAAGTTGCAATAGGATAAGATAAGAATTAAAGTTAAAACCAATGTTCTCCCTGACTGAGGTGCCGAATGGTGAAGAAGAGTAGTATCGAAATTGCTGGTCAATGAAAGTCTTCCAATATGACAAAAAATCCTTTGAGCTATAAGTTGTGGGACAGTCGTGCGACTGGTGGGATAAAACAATAGCAAGTTCCAGTTTTATTCATCTTTCCAACTAAAACAACAATAACATTCGCATAAGTAGAGTACACTAGTTATACATTGAAATAACTGCGCTGAGACCTTCATTTATTCGTCTAGAAACAACCAGGTAAAACAAATTGCATTCTAATTTTAAAGATCCATACTTCTTGAGATTTCTTCCCAAGTCTAGTGGAAGTGGTTGTAAAACGTTCGTTAGCATATATATTTGATTTTAATGAATAAATAAATATGTCATCCAATTCCCCATTCCTACAACGACTTGACAACTCAAAACTACCACTGTTACTTCTATAACTATACAGACTACTACAACCGCTTCCACAACAACAAAACCTACAGAAAAAATTGCTACGACTATGCAAGCAACGACCACGGCCACCACAACAACTGCTGCTACAACTACACAACCTTCAACAACTGCTGCTACAACTACACAGCCCACAACAACTGCTTCTACAACTACACAGCCCACAACAACTGTTGCTACAACTACACAACCTACAACAACAATTGCTACAACTATGCAAGCAACGACCACGGCCACTACAACATCAGTGCCTACAACTACACAACCCACAACTACACAACCTACGACAGTTCCTGCTACAACTACGCAAGCAACGACCACGGCCACTACAACGACACCACCCACCACAACTCCTGCTACAACAACTCAACCTACAACAACTCCTGCTACAACTACACAACCAACAACAGTTCCTGCTACAACTACACAAGCAACGACAACGACAACGGCCACTACAACAACTCAACCTACAACAACTCCTGCCACAACAACTCAACCTACAACAACTCCTGCTACAACTACACAACCAACAACAGTTCCTGCTACAACTACACAAGCAACGACAACGGCCACTACAACAACTCAACCTACAACAACTCCTGCTACAACTACACAACCTACAACAGTTCCTGCTACAACAACGGCAGTAGTATATCCTGCTGATGTGGTATGTATGCTTAGACGAATCTCTAACTCTGTTAACCAACTCTTGTTTTGAGGCTCAATGGCCAAATTTGGTCCACTGTCAGTGCATTTCTGATTCATTTATTGCATTTCATCTAAAGCTAGTCCTACCATTCTCTATTAGTTATAATATCATTTTGACTTTTTAATTTTTATTCTATTCAGATTATTTTTTTATGACGGGCACTCCTAAAGACCAAGATGACACTTTGGTGGGTTTTTTTTCAGGATGGGTCTAATACCCGTTCTCGATGTAAATTTGTTTTATTTCAATTACCGCGATGTACAGCCTGTCGTGTAACTCTTCCTTCTTATATTTATTATTCCATGAGCTTCAACTCGTTTAAAGGAGAAAAAAAGGCTCGATTTTAAAGGCAGTCTTAAAACCCCATTCTGTAGGAAAAATCTTTCTGGTTGCTGCCGGGTTCACTACCAGGGGGCGAATTTTAGTATGCCAAAATGCAGGCATGTATGCCCCCCCCCCCGTATACCTTCTCCTCTCCCGATTCGCCATTGGCAATTGCGTTTAAGATAAGTGGATTCAATAGGGGGTGTGAGTTGGTCTAGCGGTACGTTAAACTTGGCCAGCTCTCTGTCTTCGCCTACAAACTGGCTCAAGCGGACCCCGGTTCGAAACTGAGTCACGTCTTTCGGATGGTGACGTTAGAGGTCGGTCCCGAGACGTAAATAATCATATATGTTGATACTTTTTTTCCTTTTTTTTCAATAGTTTTTTTGGATTGATTCCAAACAATACAAATTAATCTTAGAAGTAAAATATTTTTCATCCTGACATGAATTCAAAACATTTTCATTACATAGATTCTACGATTGATGAACACAAAAATGAAATCAGTCTGTGAAAACTCAATAACACCACACACACACGCACACCCACCGTCCATATCACACGTTGTCGCAATGTCGGAACGACAGGGCTCATTTTTTATATGAAACTCTGAGACTTTTCTTTATACTACTCTTTAGACTATACCAATGGTAACATTACGATAATTACAATAAAGAAAAATTAATGTATCTTGTTTAATATCAAGTTCAGAGCCTCTGACGTATGACTCTCCGTCATACAATCAGTCAACTTTGGTAATTGTCTTCGTATGTAAATAATTATTAATGTCTGCTTCCTTAAGATTATTGGCAACGATGAAAATTGCGTGCAGTCTGTAATATTGGTTCCCTGTTCTAAATTATTAAAAATGATAGGTGAATATATACAGTGAGATATCAAACAATATTTCTGTAATACAGGTGATGCAATCTCGCAGTAGCGGAAGTCTGGACTTTTCACGTACTTGGCAGGAATATGTCGATGGTTTCTCTGATGAAACAGAGTTATGGATTGGACTCGAGTACATTCATAAGATGACGACAACCGTCAAGTGTGGTCTTCTCATTGAAATAACCGATGCCGCCGGCTTTTCCCTCTATGCCACATTCCTTGCATTCGAATTGGGTGGCGAAGAAACTAGCTACCAGATTTCTATCGGAGACTATGACGGAACAGCAGGTAATCAGCACTAGGGAATTTTAGATTTGCACGACGAGAACGTGGACTGCTACATGTGACATTCTTTTAAGGCAATATGTGACGTCCTTTCAAGGCATAAAATGACGTCACATTGCCTTTAAAGGATGTCACATTGCTTTTAAAGAATGTCACATGTAGCAGTCCACGTTCTCGTCGTGCAAATCTAAAAGTCCCTATTATCTGGCTACAGGGCTTTAATGGAGAAGGGGAGGGGTTTAGGAGCTAGAAAAGTTTATAGTGTCTCTGTCTCTCTGCCTCTCTCAACAATAGTTTGTCGCGATACTAAACTAGACAAATGATATAAACACAGATATTCCTTGTGCTATCCGATCGTCAAAACACGGTATCTATTAAATGCTTGTTCAGATAAGGCGCGGTAGACCACCGCAAACAAAAAATTACTAGCAACTGTGACCAACAACGGATTCTGTGTTATGTGTTATAAGATACGGAATTGTGAAGCTTTTTACACTTGACATCATCGTGAAAAAAGAAGAAGGAGAAAACCGCTGCATATCTGAACGAGAATTTCCAGCCTTGCCAATTTAAACTTGATTATGTAAATATGTTATGTATTACTTGTCATTAAGGTGAGGATCCTTCTCCCCAGCTTACTGGACTTCGATTCTCAACGGAAGACAATGACCGCTCATCCTCTGGGACTTTGATGTCTACTATAGGAGGGGGTTGGTGGGTCGACACTACAGCCTACACCAACCTCAATGGCGTCTATCAGCCTTCGGGTGTGAGTCCTAGTGAAGGACAGGGCCTCTATTGGAGCTACACACCTTCAGGGCATAAAACTTCCTACACGATAAGCAAGATGACCATCAAACAGCTCAGCACGTACCCCACTAATGCCGATCTAGCTCCGGCATCAGCAAGAGCACCTGATTCGGATGCTACAACAAAGGCTTCATCAACTGCAGTAGTATATCCTGCTGATGTGGTATGTAGTTTTGGACGAAATATAGCACTTCTCTGTCACTGAGTCACGTCTTTGGGATGGTCACGTTAAAGGTCTCTCTCCAGGCGCAAATAATCATTTGATGTGATTGGTACACGTCTGTAAAAACCCAGTATCAGGCACACACACACCGCACACACACACACTTATTTTTTTTATTGATTCCAAACATTACAAACCAATCTTACAAATAAATTCAAAACATTTTCATTACATACACACACACACGCACGCACTCACACAACACGCACGCAACACACACGCACACACACGCACATACACCGTCAATATCACACGTTGTCGCAATGTCGGAACGACAGGGCTCATTTTTTATATGAAACTCTGAGACTTTTCTTTATACTACTCTTTAGACTCTACCGCTGGTAACATTATGATAAATACAATAAAGAAAAATTAATATATCTTGTTTAATATCAAGTTCAGAGCCTCTGACGTATGACTCTCCGCCATACAATCAGTCAACTTTGGTAATTGTCTTCGTATGTAAATAATTATTAATGTCTGCTTCCTTAAGATTATTGGCAACGATGAAAATTGCGTGCAGTCTGTAGTATTGGTTCCCTGTTCTAAATTACAAAAGTGATAGGTGAATAAATACATTGAGATATCAAACAATATTTCTGTAATACAGGTGATGCAATCTCGCAGTAGCGGAAGTTTGGACTTCTCAGTTCGTTGGCAGGATTATGTCGATGGGTTTTCTGATGAAACAGAGTTATGGATTGGACTCGAGTACATTCATAAGATGACTACAACCGTTAAGTGCGGTCTTCTTATTGAAATCACCGATGCCGCCGGCTTTTCCCTCTATGCCACATTCCTTGCATTCGAATTGGGTGGCGAAGAAACTAGCTACCAGATTTCTATCGGAGACTATGACGGAACAGCAGGTAATCAGCACTAGGGAATTTTAGATTTGCACGACGAGAACGTGGACTGCTACATGTGACATTCTTTTAAGGCAATGTGATGTCCTTTTAAGGCATGAAAGGACGTCACATTGCCTTTAAAGGATGTCACATTGCCTTTAAAGGATGTCACATTGCCTTTAAAGAATGTCACATGTAGCAGTCCACGTTCTCGTCGTGCAAATCTAAAAGTCCCTATTATCTGGCTACAGGGCTTTAATGGAGAAGGGGGGGGGGGGTTAGGAGCTAGAAAAGTTTTATAGTGTCTCTGTCTCTCTGCCTCTCTCAGCAATAGTTTTTCGCGATACTAAACTAGACAAATGATATAAACACAGATATTCCTTGTGCTATCCGATCGTCAAAACACGGTATCTATTAAATGCTTGTTCAGATAAGGCGCGGTAGACCACCGCAAACAAAAAAATTACTAGCAACTGTGACCAACAACGGACTCTGTGCTATGTGTTATAAGATACGGAATTGTGAAGCTTTTTACACTTGACATCATCGTGAAAAAAGAAACTTGATTATGTAAATATGTTTTGTATTACTTGTCATTAAGGTGAGGATCCTTCTCCCCAGCTTACTGGACTTCGATTCTCAACGGAAGACAATGACCGCTCATCCTCTGGGACTTTGATGTCTACTATAGGAGGGGGTTGGTGGGTCGACACTACAGCCTACACCAACCTCAATGGCGTCTATCAGCCTTCGGGTGTGAGTCCTAGTGAAGGACAGGGCCTCTATTGGAGCTACACACCTTCAGGGCATAAAACGTCCTACACGATAAGCAAGATGACCATCAAACAGCTCAGCACGTACCCCACTAATGCCGATCTAGCTCCGGCATCAGCAAGAGCACCTGATTCGGATGCTACAACAAAGGCTTCATCAACTGCAGTAGTATATCCTGCTGATGTGGTATGTAGTTTTAGACGAAATTTAGCACTTCTCTGTCACTGAGTCACGTCTTTGGGATGGTCACGTTAAAGGTCTCTCTCCAGGCGCAAATAATCATTTGATGTGATTGGTACACGTCTGTAAAAACCCAGTATCAGGCACACACACACCGCACACACACACACTTATTTTTGTTTATTGATTCCAAACAATACAAACCAATCTTAGAAATAAAATACAATTGTTTTTTCTTGACATGAATTCAAAACATTTTCATTACATACACACACACGCACGCACACACGCAACACGCATGCACGCAACACACACACGCACACACACGCACATACACCGTCAATATCAAACGTCGCAATTTTGAATTGACAGGTCTTTAATTATTTATAGAATTTTGATACAAGTTTTCTTCCAAGGATACCATTAGCGAATAAACTAAAAGAAAAAAATTCTTGTTCAATATCAAGTTCAGAGTCTTTGACGTAACTATGTATAATTGACTCTTTGACATACAATCACTCAACTTTGGTCATTTTGTTTATATGTAAATAATTATTAATTTCTATTATTGGCAAGTTAATAATAAACAACAATGCAAACTGTGTGCAGTTCTTCGTTAAATTGATTCGCTGATCTATTTTGCTGAATCCATGCTTATAAATACTACTTCTATGCTGACGACATTCGATATTTAAATTTAAAATGTTTTGATATACTGATCATAGTAATTGCGTACTGCATATATAAAATGGTGTTCATCTTCTGATCACGTCGTCTAGTACGTTTTATACAAATAATTATGTATTATTTAGCCGTTATTTATTACCGTTTGGTTGCTTTACAAGACCCTAATGTAAAACAAAACAAAAAATGTAGTGATGGTGTTGTCTTGTCAAAATATGTATAACTGGATAAATAAAGACATTGAATTAAATGAATAAATGGCTTAATAAATAATTCTAACAATTAAATGAATATTATTTATTTATTCATTAATTGATGAATAATTGTTTAACACAAAATATGTATTTATCAATAAGGGTATAATATAATGATTTGTATTTATATATGTATTCATTTGTTCGTTCATTCATCGATCAAATAAATGAATAAGTACATAACTAAAGCTACGGTCACAAGGTTTGTACGAACGATGCGGTCGTACAAATCTCCCCGTTTTTCCACGGTCTTTCCGAATTTTCATGGTCTGAAAATCGTTCGTACGGCGTTCGTAGCAGTTCGTAATTGCATTTGTGACCGAGGCTTAAATGAACGAATAGCTAAATAAAGACATAAATGAATAAAATGATAGATCAATAAATACATTAAGAGAATATTTTTTTCTGTAATACAGGTGATGCAATCTCGCAGTAGCGGAAGTCTGGACTTTTCACGTACTTGGCAGGAATATGTCGATGGGTTCTCTGATGAAACTGAGTTGTGGATTGGTCTTGACTACATCTACAAGATGACTACCACCGTCAAGTGTGGTCTTCTCATTGAAATCACCGATGCCGCCGGCTTTTCCCTCTATGCCACATTCCTTGCATTCGAATTGGCTGGTGAAGACACCTACTACCAGATTAATATCGGAGATTATGACGGAACAGCAGGTAACCAACATTATCGGGCTACATGATTATCATGGGGGAGGGGGTTGAAGAGGTTCCGAGAGCAAGAAAAAAATTTTCTGTGGCGGACCGGGGGAAATTCAATGACTTGTTGAAAATTTATTGCATTTTCTTAGATTTTTTTATTTGTGGGAACTGCCCCCTGCTGCGTACAGTCATGGTTAAGTGCCCAAGCAATGGCCTCGTAACTTTGAGGCCCTAGGATCAAAACCGTGTCGATGTGCTATATAAGTGCCCTTTTGTGGGGCATTAATCCTCATTACTGTCATTTATGACTTAAGGGCGTATATAAAATCTGAGAATGTATACCATTATCTAGATCTATTAGGAACAAATCATTGTCAAAATAATTCCATAAATTGGGGTAAAACAATATTCCAACTATATGAGCGACAGAGTAGAATAGTCACATCATTGTGACAACGTGCCAAATGCATAATTTTTGCCATTTCTTTTTGTTTCTTGCAGTTTATACTTAGACCTTCACACCGTCACGGATATTATTCGTGCTATCATGCATTGTTGAAACACGTTATCCATTAAAGGCTTGTTCAAATATGGCGCCGTAACCCCAGAAGAATTTAAAAATGCCGCCACGGTTTCTTTACGTATAAATGAAAGGCAATTGTGAGCAACAAAGGACTTCCACGTATTCACTAATAAGCTCTAAGATTCGGAAATGTGAAACGTATTACAATTTACGTCATCATTACAAAAAAAGAACGAGAATAAAACCGCCTTGGTTTTGCCGCGTCTTATGGACACAAGAATTTCCATCCATGCCAAGTTACACCTGATCATGAAAATATGTTGTGTTTTAATACTTGTCATTCAGGTGAGGATCCTTCTCCTAATCTTACTGGCCTTCCGTTCTCAACGGAAGATAAAGACCTCTCATCCACTGGTACGTTGATGTCCACTTTGAGAGGGGGTTGGTGGGTCGACACTACAGCCTACACCAACCTCAATGGCGTCTATCAGCCTTCGGGTGTGAGTCCTAGTGAAGGACAGGGCCTCTATTGGAGCTACACAGCTTCAGGACATAAAACTTCCTACATGATAAGCAAGATGACCATCAAACAGCTCAGCACGTACCCCACCCATGCCGATCTAGCTCCGGCATCAGCAACAACGGCTTCAAACGCTGCAGTAGAATATCCTGCTGATGTGGTATGTATGCTTAGACGAAATATGGCACATCTCTTTCATTGCATCACGTCTTTGGGATGGTGACGTAATGAAGGTCCGTCCCCAGGCGCAAATAATCATTTGATGTGATTGATACATGTCTGTAAAAACCCAGTATCAGTCACACGAACCGCACACACACACACACGTTTTAAAAAAAATGATTCCAAACAATACAAATCAATCTTAGAAATAAAATACAGTTGTTTTTCCTTGACATGAATTCAAAACATTTTCATTACATACACACACACGCACACACACGCACACACATCGTCAATATCACACGTTGCAATTTTGAATTGACAGGTCTTTAATTCTTTATAGAATTTTGATACAAGTTTTCTTCCAAGGATAACAGCGAATTATCGAAAAGGAAAAAATATATATTTCTTGTTCAATATCAAGTTCAGAGTCTGTGACATTTGTATGTTGATTCTTCGACATAAAATCACTCAACTGTGGTCGTTATCTTGTTATGTAAATAATTATTAATTTCTGCTTCCTTTAGATTATTGGCAAGTAAATAATAAACCACTATGCAAACCGTGTGCAGTTCTTCGTTAAATTGATTCGCCGTTCTATTTTGCTGAATCCATGCTTTTAAATACTACTACGACGATGACGACATTTGATATTTGAATTTAAAATCGTTTTATATACTGCATATTTCAAATGGTGTGCTACTTCTGATCATCTCGTCTTGTACGTTTTATTATTTTTTTTAATTATGTATTATTTAGCCGTTGTTTATTACCGTTTAGTTGATTTACAGGACCCCAATGTAAAAAACAAAACAAGAGGTGTACTGATGATGTTGTCTTGTCAAAATATCTATTACAGGATGAATAAAGACATTTGATATAAAAAAGAAATGACTGAATAAATAATTCTAACAATCAAATGAATATTAGTATTCATTTAATTGTTAGGTTTATTTATTTATTTATTCATTAATCTATAAATAGTTGTTTGAAACGAAAGGTTAATTCATAAATAGTTTTATAGTAAAATTATTTGTATTTATTTATGTATTTATTCGGTCATTTATCTATCAAATAAATGAATAGGTACATAACTAAATGAACGATTAGATAAATAAAGACATACCTAAATAAAATGATAGATTAATAAATACATTGAGATATCAAATAATATTTCTGTAACACAGGTGATGCAATCTCGCAGTAGCGGAAGTCTGGACTTCTCACGTACTTGGCAGGAATATGTCGATGGTTTCTCTGATGAAACAGAGTTATGGATTGGTCTTGACTACATTTATAAGATGACGACAACCGTCAAGTGTGGTCTTCTCATTGAAATCACCGATGCCGCCGGCTTTTCCCTCTATGCCGCATTCCTTGCATTCGAATTGGCTGGTGAAGACACTTACTACCGGATTAATATCGGAGACTATGACGGAACAGCAGGTAATCAAAATTATCGGGCTACATGATTATCATGGGGAGGGGGTTGAAGAGGTCCCGAGAGCTTCTTTTATATGCCCATGCCTTGAGCCATAATGCATGGGCACACAGAAGATTTTTTTTCTGTTGCGGACCGGGGGGAATTCAATGACTTATTGAAAATTTATTGCATTTTCTTATTTTTTTATTTGTGGGAACTGCCCCCCGCTGCGTACAGTCATGGTTCAGTGCCCAAGCAATGGCCTCGTAACTTTGAGGCCCTAGGATCAAAACCGTGTCGATGTGCTATATAAGTGCCCTTTTGTGGGGCATTAATCCTCATTACTGTCATTTATGACTTAAGGGCGTAGATAAAATCTGAGAATGTATACCATTATCTAGATCTATTAGGAACAAATCATTGTCAAAATAATTCCATAAATTGGGGTAAAACAATATTCCAACTATATGAGCGACAGAGTAGAATAGTCACATCATTGTGACAACGTGCCAAAGGCATAATTTTTGCCATTTCTTTTTGTTTCTTGCAGTTTATACTTAGACCTTCACACCGTCACGGATATTCTTCGTGCTATCATGCATTGTTGAAACACGTTATCCATTAAAGGCTTGTTCAAATATGGCGCGGTAACCCCCAGAAAAAATTAAAAAACGCCGCCACGGTTTCTTTACGTATAAATGAATGGCAATTGTGAGCAACAAAGGACTTCCACGTATTCACTAATAAGCTCTAAGATTCGGAAATGTGAAACGTATTACAATTTACGTCATCATTACAAAAAAAGAACGAGAATAAAACCGCCTTGGTTTTGCCGCGTCTCATGGACACAAGAATTTCCATCCATGCCAAGTTACACCTGATCATGAAAATATGTTGTGTTTTAATACTTGTCATTCAGGTGAGGATCCTTCTCCTAATCTTACTGGCCTTCCGTTCTCAACGGAAGATAAAGACCTCTCATCCACTGGTACGTTGATGTCCACTTTGAGAGGGGGTTGGTGGGTCGACACTACAGCCTACACCAACCTCAATGGCGTCTATCAGCCTTCGGGTGTGAGTCCTAGTGAAGGACAGGGCCTCTATTGGAGCTACACAGCTTCAGGGCATAAAACTTCCTACACGATAAGCAAGATGACCATCAAACAGCTCAGCACGTACCCCACCCATGCCGATCTAGCTCCGGCATCAGCAAGCAAACCTGCTGGTGATTCGGATGATGCTGCTCTAGCACCTGCTGGTGATTCGGATGATGCTGCTCTAGCACCTGCTGGTGATTCGGATGCTGCTGCTCCAGATCTAGCACCTGCATCACCCATTCGGTAGTTAATCTCTCACTTTATGGAGACCAATTTGTGTACATATTCCATATGGCTATAATTGTACATTAAGTACTTCATTATCACGTGTGCCCTTCATGAAAGTGTTGTATTTGTGAGTTTTAACGAATTTCATTCATCATCAAGCAGAATGAACATCTTTTGTATATAGTGTGTCAGAATGACATGCACATTGATTTCGTTGTGATCAAGTGGTTAAACTGCTCGTCTTAGATCTGGTTTTCTTTTTATTGTAGTTTATTATTCCCACTCTGAGACAAGAATATCAAGAAGTCAACAAATTTTTATTGTTATGTGTGATTGACCATGGTTTTTATTGAGAGCTGATTACCATAATTAACTCTTTTTCAATCAAACTGGTCAGCAAAGGGATTATAACGAAAACATAACAAACAACAATGAATGCAAATCATTACTTCGAACATGATATCAATACTTCCGCGACCCCCCTCCCTTGACCTCGAGGCGTGCGGTCTACGGCTCGGTTCACCACTTCTTCGCTCAGATTAACCTTTTTTAGTTCCTTTCGAAAAGTTCACTAAAATTATTTGTAGTTCTGTTATTAAGCTTCCAATTCAGCTTTAATCATAAACACATAATCGGTCATCACATTGGTGTTTATATCATCCGTTAATAAACTACTACTTTTCAAAAATCCAGAAGAAACCTTGTCCCGACGATACCACTTCCATTGGACAATTATTGCGGACGATGACACCGGGATGACCGGGTGTGTTATAATTATATTTGTCCCCCAAATATAATTTAATCATATAGATATTCAGCGTAGGCGGAACCATGGTTAAAAAAGCCATGACCTCCCTTTCGAGAAAAAAACATGTATGTGGGTGTGTGTGTGTGTGTGTGTGTGTGTGAAGGGGGGGGGGGTGCACCAACCCTATCCCTCCCTTCCCTGACATTTTTTCGAGAGGGGAGGAGGGGGTCATATTGGGGAACAGATCCAGGTTTTCAAACTCTTCAACTATTCTCTTTTGACAATTTTGTATTCTTACTCGATATGTAGGACCATTTTTCTTTACGTGTGTTTGTCATTACAAACATCATTCCATTCTGGTTTTTTCTGTTTATTCGTACCATTTTTTAGAATTTAGTTTTGAGTCAAATACATGTAGCACAATAAACATCGAAGGTTATATTGAGTTCATGGCGCTTTATATTTGCTTATCAGAGACTAATTATTACCAATATCTATAATAAAATATCGATCTAACCAATAGGTCGTCGATATTCTCGTCATAATTAGATTTATTGGAGCGTACAATATACGAACTAATCAATTTCCCACATTTTCCGCAACAGTGCATGTGGGGCAAATCAATATTACAAGGGCATTATGTACATATTTTCTATTTAAACTTCTTTGCAGACGTTGTGAAATGTAACTGAGAATTTGTTGTTCGTAAGCGGAACTTGATAATGGGTACATGGGACTTTGTTTTGATTTCCGCTAAGTCTCGCTCTCCGAAATGTTTAGTTATTAAAAATAGGCAACTATATACTTAGATTTTTTCTGGGAAGGAATGGTAAGATATCGTTCTCACTTTTTAAATTCTAATAATAATTTTTCTATGTAGGTAAGCCTTACTGCTATGCATGGTGAATATGCGCTCGGTATTAGATCGTTTCTATTTTTCTTATATTTACTGCGTGTGCGCATACCATACTACAAACAATATGGAGTGTGTGTGATGGGCTTTCTAGAACATTTTAGTATCTTGTGACTTTAGGCCTTTAAAGCCCTCTAAAATGTTGGGAGCCCCAATAATTTGATGTCAAAATTTCACTTAAATTGTATCATAATGTGAAAGGAATGTCATTTAAGACACATTTCTGCAGGGACGTTCAAAACAAATGTGTTTAAAGTAGACTATTGATGAAAGTATACAAATTTAGGTTTTCTGCGTAAAAATAGAAAACCCAAATTGTGTATCCTTTTATAAATATATTCGTTTTCAAACACATTTTTGGGGGAAATCTTTGCAGAAGTGTGTTTTAAGTGACATCCCCTTTCACATTATGATACATTTTAAGGGAAATGTTGCCATCATTTTTTGGGCGAATTTGGGGCTCCCAGCACTAAAGAGCTAGGGGCTTTTAACATTTGAAGATGCTGTGAAATCTCAACAATAAATTAATGTTCTTATATGAGTGTATATAATAATGATAATAATAAAGATAATAATAATAATAATAATAATAATAATAATAATAATAATTATAATAATAATAATATCAATAACAATTCTGAAAGCTGCTACTCTATTATCCTGAAATTTAAAATTATTATAGATTAGGATTTAATTTGTCATATGATTTTATTTCTCTTTTCGTGGATTTACCATGTAAGCGATTAATTGAATAAATGCCTTGGAAAGAAAATTGATAATATCTGGTGACAAGATTTTTATATTGGAGGAAATTAATAGATTAAGATTAGAACTTGAAGCATCCCGTTTTATAACTAATGAAGGAATAGCAATTAGATCCCGGATTAAGTGGATGGAGTTTGGAGAAAAACTTTCTAAATTCTTTTTAAATTTGGAAAAACAAAATAAAACCAATAAAGAAATACGTCGGTTATCAACTGAAAATGGTGATATTTTAGACAGACAAAGTGATATATTCAAGGAAGTGTTTAATTTTCCCTTTAAACTTTATGCAGAAAAAAGAACTGATGGAATTAACCTGGAATTATTATTAAACTATCCTGACATTCCTAAATTGTCCTCATATATTTCCTCGTTATGAGAAGGCCCACTTCGTGTTGACGAAATCTATTCCACTTTAAAAATCATGAAAAACAATAAATCTCCCGGACAGGATGCTTTTACTGTAGAATGTTATCGTTACTTTAGGAAAGATATTAAATTCTTTTTGGTAAGATCATTGAATAATGCGTATTTCACAGGGCAATTGTCAAACTCACAAAAAAATGGCTATAATAACTTTGATTCCGATTTAGGAAAGAAACCTAGACATTTGTTGAAAAATTTGCGACCGATCTCCTTACTGAATGTAGTTTAAAGATTAGCATTCAGTTGAATCGCAAGGGCGTTTTGTCTTTTTCAATACATGAAAATCAAACAGGATTTTTGAGTGGTCGCTTTATTGGCGAAAACATACGTTTATTTTATGATACACTACGTTATACCGAATTACGCGATATAGCTAGCATGCTTCTTGTGGTTGATTTTGAAAGAGCTTTTGATTCCTTATCGCATAGTTTTCTGTTCAATGTCCTGAATTTCTTTCGCTTCGGCCCTCGTTAAAGAAATAGATAAAATATTTTTATTCAAATGCATCCTCTTGTGTATTAGTTAACGACACTGTATAGATAGATTTGAAATAGGACGAGGGTGTCGTCAGGGAGATCCTTTGTCTTCCTACTTCTTTTTGTTAGTAATCGAGATACTTGGTATCCTAATAAGACACTCAGATTCTTTAGTTGGATTGCATATGAATGGAAAAACGCTTAAACTGTTGCAATATGCAGATGATACCCTTTTGACACTCAACAGTTCAATGCAGGATTTACAATGTGCCCTTATAATACTTAATGAATTTGCAAATATGTCCAATCTCAAACTCAACACAACTAAAGCTGAGGTGATACGGATGGGGGAAAAAACTTGAGCATTGGCTGTCACGTAATAATGTTCATATTAAATTAAAAAATCAAATAAATCGTTTGGGTTTCATGGAAATAACAACAGTGACCTCTACTGTAGTATGATTGAAGAAAGGAAAGACATATTTTGCAGCCAAATGCAAACAATGTTTACCAGTTTCTGAAAACATAATATCCGAGATAAAATGTCATCATTATATGAAAAAGTATATATGTAAAACAAATCTGAAAGAAAAGAAGTTTATAAAAAAAGTGGTTGCTTTTTGCAAAATTTTTCTGATTGTTTGTTTCTTCTAAATTATTATGCCAAGTAAATCTGTAATATCTTCAAAATGAACTGCAATAATGTAACTGATATTTATAAATGTATGTTCTTATCATATTTTGAATGGCCAAGAATATAATTTTGAAATTCTGCATGTATATATCTCTTCTTGTATACATATGTTAATGATATTATTTAATAAAGGAACCCTGTAGAAGGGGAAAAGGGAAAAAGAACTTGTGTTTTTGTTCTTTAGTAAAACAAAAAAAATGTATAACCGTTGAAATCACAACTCCTTATACTCCGTTGTAAGAAAGATTTACTTAACACAATTAATAAAACCAAATACAGAGAAATTGAACTAAATATTTATTGATAGTAATAAATCAAGTCAGAAATTGACTAAACACAAACGACATAATTGTGATTCGCAGAAAATCAATAATTTCTCAAACAAGACGTAACCATGGTGGGATGAAAACATGTGATACATTACTAACATGACTATATGTACAATTAACGTGCATGAGTTTAGAATTTAGACAAATGCAAATGCAATAACGATTTCAGCACTTCCCCTGTTAGTACAGTAATACCGATGACACGAATAATACTCATAATAATTATATTATTCATCATTAATCATATTTCTCTATTATTTCATTAAAAACATTAAGTCAATTTTCAGTCTTAGAAAAAAAAAATCCATTTTCAATTTTTCATATCCCGGTTTATTCATTTAATATCAATATCCTTAACAGTTCAGGTCAAATATGTTAGTCTTAATCGCTGTTCTTTGTTATACCAGGGATACGTTGAGCGTATAGCAACACCATAATATACCATCAGAGCCTTAAAAATCATTTTGAACTCTCCCTTTTTCGATACCAATCGGTCATTCGAGTGCGTCTAAAACTCATGCCGTATTTTTGTAAGGTATATGTGATTTAAATTAGACTTAGACAGCTTAGATATACAGTGATTCGAATAAGCAATAAAGTTAAAATTCATATACATTTATATGAAAATATTCATGGGAGCTGTATACTCTCACTTTTTATAGTTAAACACGACTTAATCAAACCTGATATTTACAATACAATAGACGATAAGTGAATGAAAGCACCGTTAACAGTATAATTTAAGTTATAAGAATTATCATTCAGTTCTACGTTATTTGAATAACTGTTTCAATAAGATAAACAAGTACATAAGTACATCTACCCAATGATAGATACATGCACCCTTTCTATTTCTTAGAAATATCAATAACTATTTTTCAGTTAATGGTCTTGCAATCACAATGAATAGACACATATTGGTGAGCCTGTCTGCAACTGTATGTACATGAAAAACTTAACTACTTTACCAATAAAATATGGGCATATATTATATGTCTCGTCCGAATTCATATACAAAGTTCCCTTTTTTGGACAAGTGAGATCCCCTTATTCTTAATACAATATTTTCCAAAACGTATAACTAAAAATAAAACAGAAGGGAGAAAACATTATGATGTTCACAATACTGAAGATAACATGATCTTAATATTCGCAGAAACAAGAAAGCTCTCCGATGTTTATCAAATGTATACAACATTCAAACTTATCATAAACATTCAATATTCGAATTTTAAAGAAATGAAATTTTCATATATATGATTCTACACCAATGTTAAAAGAATGATAGGCCTACATTCATTTCTATGATATCATTTAATAGTGGAAATATTTGTTTCTTCCTGTATGAATATTTCTTAATGTTTTCATGAAGTATATATAATTATATAGTCTACCCAATTAACTAGATGCATGCATCTGTCAAATATGGTTCTCACGCTGGGTAATACGGAAATCTAGACAAATACATATGACTTCGAATAATAATTGCCTTATCTAAAATTGAGAAAGAAAAATATAAATTGACGGGAAAAAAAAACTCCAAATCGACCACTCGTCAAACAACATGAAAGATTAACCACTTTTGATAATTTCAATCCTACATTTCTGTAGTACTACAAAAAAACCTCGGGAACCAAATGTTCCTAATTTTGTTCTTATCTCTCAAGAACTTTCTCTTGTTCAACGCTTTCACACTTTTTTTCTTCATACTCTTGGAAACATTTACCTCAGGAATCTACAAGCTTTGCTTCTAGATACCTTTCCCATATTTCAATTATTATTTGTTCTACGTTACATGTCTATCATTGATTTATAATACATTCTCTTGTTAAATCTTTTGTATGAGACAACCTTGTTGTGTGGAATGTAGAACAATAAAATAAACAAACAAACAAACAAACGAAGAAATAAACAAACTCCAAATCTGAAACATCTCTAGGATGTTTTAAACAACATGTTAAACTTAAGTTTTCAAAACATTAACGTGTTCAGATACCATCTGATTCCAATCAATAAATTGTTTATACCACCCACTGAGCATGGAAATTTCTTCTTGAACGCGATCGCAAACATTTTCGAAAAACCAACTCAAGAATAATTTCAACATCCTATTGTTCATCCCGAACATTGTGGAGCGTGCGTGCAGCGCTTTGTTAACTGCAAGGAAAAGGCGCTATATCAAATATCTTAAAGGTAAAGACCAGTATTGGAAACGCCCCAATTTCAAAAAATGAAATGGAAGCTCTCATTACCAATCATGTGAAAGAATATGTTTTGACTAATACATGATGATACAAAATTTGCCGGGAAACCGCCTACTCATTCATATATTTGGTAAATTTGTTTCTTCCATGGTCTGTGAGAGATATAGGGTAGTCCCATATACATCTTTCTGTGTATAGTGCTTGTAACTTTACGAAGAATGGGCCAAATTTCTTATCATTTTGATGATTCCAGAACCTTGCAGATGCTAGATGATCAACCTTTTCTGATCGATTCCACAACGTTTCTTTCACAATGCAATCGCATGACCATAACTGGTCTTTACCTTTAACTGCAAGGAAAAGGCGCTATATCAAATATCTTGATATGTTCGCACAGCAGGTGAGGCGCAAGACTGTTGGAATTGCCTTAGGCTGATATTTCGAAAGCAGTTGTAATCGTGTTCTTGATATTCCAGCCTGACAGGTGTGCTTCTTCACTTCTTGGAGATCTTGGGTGGGTCAAAATCAGGCGGGGCTGGACTTACGCGAACCTTTCGCATGGTGGCAGACGACTGCGTTTTCTTCTCCTAAAATGGAAGTAAAGAAGAAAAGAGAACCATCCAGAAATATATATGTATAAAGGGAGAGAAAGTGGGATAGCCTCTGCTTTGAGTAACCAACGTTAATGAATATATTAATCTCAAAGATGAACACCTAAATTGGGCCTTTATTGGAACGCATCTGAAAATGATGGCATTTGTGAACGTATGATAATTTTTAAAGATACGTCCCTTGATTAGTATTTATTTGCATTCCGTGTTAGGATTTTCTTTTTTCTTAGTTTGCTTTTAAATGGCACATATTGTAAAATTATTTATTACGGACATATTATCTTTAGATGATCATATTGGCATATATTATTATTATTATTATTTTTATTACATTATTCAGGGTAGCCACATCAATGAAATGCAATGTTCTCCCAGTATGTAAAACATTTCATTCCTATCGAGCCCCTCAAAATATTGGCTGATTACATCACTGGATGAGGGGGTTGTGAGAGACTTACAACAGACGAGTTGGTGAAAGAGGCGTTCTGGCTATCACGTGTCTTGCGCATGCTCGATTGGATTGTACGCCGTACCTGTCAAGTGAAACGAGCTGATGTTAATCATCTCAAATTGATTATTATTTGAACTATAATATCAATTAATAGGACCTGCTTTGAACAATCCTTATTCTCTATAGTTTAAATAATAAAGTACATGCTTATTACCTTCTTTAAGAAAAAATGGTATAGGCCTTTGGAAACAACAACTTTACAGCTGCCACTGCAACTTATGTTTAATGACTTCTAAATCATAGCACTTTTCCAATGGACACGTTTGCATATATCACATATAAACATGTTTCAAACTAAAAGTTACTCAAAATAAGTAATATGAACTGAACGATTAAGGGGCTGGCTCGCGAATGCATGAACATTATCATCTTAAATCAAAACGATATACAGACTTCCTGATATATTGGGAATTTAATTGCATAAACGCTGTGGTGTCACAGAATCATAGAATGTTAAAAAGCGACACAAAATATACAAATGAATCTTACCTCTGAATTCAGAAAGCAGTAGAATAGAGCAATGAAGAATCCCTAGAATGAAAACGAAGAACAAATGTTTATTTTTGTTCACAATTTGTAATACTTTCAATAAAAGTTTCATTTATTACTGACTTCGTTACCATCGCCAAACAGTCATTTGCTTTCCCATTTTAAAAATCAAAATTCCAATTTGATTTTATGAGAGAAAATTTAATTTTTATTACAGTGAACACTATCTTGAATAATTTAAGCATAAGGCTCCAGGAGGTTGCACGGACAATGAAAGTATATAATATTGAAAAACATTTCCTTTGCGTGTGGTTATAACATGATACAGCTTAAACAAGCCCCCCAAATTTTTGTGAAAATTGTCGATCTTAACTTCTAATCATTGAAATTGTCAACAGTTTGCCTGTTATAGTTTCGAAAGGTTATAGTTATCCAGGAGTTGTGACCTAAAAAAAAAGAATATTCTCTTGATCAAACCGGTTGCACTACCAGTTGCACTACTCTCATCAATTTGATCTCATGAGACATCTTCTCTGTGACTTTGAGTCTTATACGATACCCTGTTTTTCTTCTATTTTATTTTATTATTCTATCATTTGGAAACTAAAAATATCGGTCAAATATGAAGATAAACGTATCTCTTCTTATATAGCGCATTTAGTAACAACCCACCCGACTAAAGCGCTTACATTGTAATTACCCCGGTCACTGGACTCGATTACCATTTTGCAAATGTTTTACAGTACACATTTTCCACTCCACGGGGAGCATTGCGACCAGTTGCCTTTTGACAAGCACGCAAATGCTCGTCCAACCATAGTGACGTACTAAACCGAACATTACTATGGGGGCCCTGAAGGGACATCGTGAATAGACGAAATCGCAAATTATTCACGACGAAATAGGCGATGAAATTCACGATGTCGTCAATTTCGTCGTGAATAATTCGCGATTTCGTCTATTCGCGATGTCCCTTCAGGGCCACCATACTAAACCGTACTAAATAGTAAATGCTATTTGTAAACAGCTCATAATGGTGTATACCTGAAGAGTGTTCAGAAAATCGAATACGTAGGTCAAGGCTTGGTTGAAATGGACGAAGGGACCGAGGAGCCAAGGAACACCAAGCAGTGGGAGAAGGAGCAAGGTACTGCGTACTCCGGCCCTGAAAAAGATAAATGTACAGCTCTCATTACTCATCATAATTATCATCATCATGCTCGTTCTCATCATCATCACTATCATCTCTCTCATCATCACCAAAATCACCGACTTTATCGTTATTTATTGCCCGGAGAACTCTCTTCAGAACGTTCTCCAATATAAGGGGTTTTTTTCTTCTCTTCCTCTGAAAACCCCCTTTTTCTTCATTTTTTCCTCGTCTATGTATCTCTTCCTGCATCTCCCTCCCTCCTCCGTCTCTCTCTCTCTCTCTCTCTCTCTCTCTCTCTCTCTCCCTCTCTCTCTCTCTCTCTCTCTCTCCCTCTCCATCTTCCACACCCTCCCCCTCTCTCTCTCTCTCTCCCTCTCTCTCTCTCTCTCTCTCCCTCTCCATCTTCCACACCCTCCCCCTCTCTCTCTCTCTCTCTCTCTCTCTCTCACACAAACACACACTCTCTCTCTCTCTCTTTCACCCCTCCCTCTCTCTTTCTGTATGTACACAAAGATACTTACTTGATGAGGTTTATTTGCCCGACATCCGCCTGCTTCTTCGAAGCTGAGATAACCGTCTTCACCACCAGGATAAGAACCACCAGATTCACCTGCAAATATCATTATAGACATTGATGTTTGATTTAAATCAAGTCAAAAGTAATTAAATTAATAGAACGAGAGAGATGTGGGCGTACGAGCACTATCTTGATGGGAAGGTCGACGTCTCTTGCCGAAATATTAACTTTCAAACATTTTTCAAAAGAACAAATTGTGCCAGCAATTTTCTTTTTAAAATTGTAGTCATAGTGTTTTTAAAAAAATAAAGAAATGAAGGCTAAAATTAGATAATTAGATAAACAATAACAGATAAACCATCTAGCTGCCAAATATGAGGTGATGTCTGCCCGAATGTGGGCACTTTAAAACTTTCCTAGGGGGCTGCAGCCCTTATTTCTCCCGTCCCGCCTCTTTCGCCAGTGGATATAAATATGGCTAGGTAGAAAAAAGCTTTTGTCTTGGTAGAGTTTATGTAATATATATTCAACGTACGCTTAAACATTTTGTAATCTGCTACGAGATAGATAAGATGCATTTCTTATTCAGTATTACGTGAAACTTTGTTATTATTTATTTATGCCCAGTTTGACTTTACACATGATTGATCGGTTAGCCTAGCTTATAATGACTTTTCAATTTATATTCAGAGATTAAGGGCTATATTATCAGACTGTTGTTAGAAAATAAAAAGTGCTTATGAGATTTGAATAAACATTTAACAAAAATGAAGGGATGACTCTGCGCTTTATTTGTATTCTTATATTTTTAAAGGGATAGTTGAGTTCTGTAGCAGGGGGCGCTACACAAAATAATTTTTTGCGAGATAATGAAAAACTGAGTGTCAAATTAAAAAAAATATACAATTTAAATGACAAAATCATCTTTGTTTGATCAAAATCGGTTTATAGATGGCTGAAATATCGAAAAACATAACGATTTCTATAAGTGTGTATACCACTACAAATATTCGATAATTTGAACCAGCCGTTGAAAAAACGAAATAGCGCATTTTACGTTGTTGGCGTTTTCGTGATGGTTATTTTACGCACAACCAGCCGGCCCATGTACTGTTATTATTAATAAATTAATTAATTAACGGTCACCGTATTTTTTTCGAAAGTGGAGCTGAATTGGTATGATCGTATTGGCTAAATTTCACACATTTTGGGGTCTAAAGTTACCTTCAGAGCAATTTTAGATCCTAAAAGGGCACTAGAAAATGTCATAGATAAGAATAAGAGCAATACGCATGCACTTTGAAGGCATTTGCGGTCTGATAACAGAACTCAACCATCCCTTTAAACTTTTTTTTTTTCCACTCACTGTCAAGATGGGAATGGCAGGTCCGACGAAAGCCCAGATTGTTCCATCATGTGTAGACAACCAGCAGCTAAAGATGAAAGACAATTAATATTAATTTATTTGATTTCAGTAAGATTTCTGTCAGCTGTTGAGAGCCATGCAGGAAGGGATATGAGTTGACACCCTTCTGGCTGTCAACAAATAAGATGCAGTAACAGCGATTTAAAGGCACACTGTCCTACTTGTAGCTACTTGCTCCCTCTATAGAAAACTTCCCAAATTGGTGCCTGTTGGTCCCCCATGATCCTCTTTTTCTTATGTTAAATGAGAGCTGAGTTAATGAGATAGCCACCTGTCACAGTGACCTCGTTGGCTCGCTGTGTGGTCTAATCCCTTCTAGCTGCAGTAGTAACGCCTACCTTTAAATCAATTTGGAAAAATTTGAAATGTTTTTGACCTCCATGTATATTTTCTGTATTTCTTGATCCATTATAATTTTCCTTTCGATATAAGATCATATAAAATATTTTACTTACACAAATTCGTTGCCGTAGCTGTTATGCTTCAAACCGCCAGCTATGCCCACTATGATCGCTGGTACTCCTGCAGAATTAAAACAAAATCCTCCGAATTTATACAATGATAGATTTATATTACCTTCAAATCATTGTTTTTTCCATTCAACAAATTTCAATGTACCGTAAGCTTCTTACTTGAACGTTTTAAAAGGGTAATATATTTCATAACTACAAATTTGTGTAAGGCTGTAAAGAATGTATCCTTTCATTTACTACCATAAAATCATGAGATCGGAAATATTTGTACTTTTTTCTTTTCTTCTTAAAAACCCCCAATAAATTGCCGAGAAAAAGGCAGTAATTGAAGTTTCAAAGGTTTCATTGGGTAAAGGTTTGCTGACAAAACTTCTTTTTTCCCCTACATATAAAATATCTGATTTGAACAACGGTTTTAGGACACCTACCCCCTGGACATCCACCCCTGGATTATCAAGCCCAGTCAACTACCCCCTAGGACAACTACTCCCTAGGACAACTAACCCCGGACAACTACCCACCAGACAACTATCCCAAGGGTAGTTGTCTGGGGATAGTAGTCCTGATGTAGTTGTCATATGGGGTATTTGTCTGGGGGTAGTTGTCCGGGGGTAGTTGTCCTAGGGGTAGTTGTCCTAGTGGGTATTTGTCGAAGGGGGTAGTTGTCCGGGGTAGTTGTCATGGGGGCAGTAGTCCTAGAGGGTGGTTGCGCTAGGGGGAGTTGTCCTAGGGGTTAGTTGTCCTAGAGGGTAGTTGACTGGGGTGGTTATCCGGGGGTGGATGTCCAGGGGGTAGGTGTCCGGATAGATAAACAACTCGCACCCCATATTCAAAATGCCCCATCTATTGAATCATTCAAAACCCTTCTCAAAACCCATCTTTTTATCAGTTATATTACACTGGAGGCGCACACAATAAATAGTTAATTCCATTCATTAGTAATATTTTATTTTATTTTGTTGCTTTTAAGCTATTGAACATGTTAAATAATTATACTGAGTTAGACAGCACCACCTGGGCGCTTAGAAACACTTGTATAAAGCGCCCTATAAATGTAATTATTATTATTATTATTAACTACTCTTTTATGTTGACAAGAAATTCGGGGGTACGGTGTCCTCGCTCCCCCTCCTCGAAACTAAATACTCGAGACTTTGCTATTACGTTGATGCCTATAAATATGAAATGATTTTTTTTCTTCTCATCTCTATTCTGACAGTATGATTTGTTGATAGATAAAGTTTATAATCTTCTCAGAACTCTATTGATCAAACTTTTTGATCAGTATTTAGAGTGATCTATAAACTTGTGAGAAGATATAAATTGTATTTCACAAATATTTTCACAATCAGTTTATAAATAGAAGTTAAGAAATTATTTAACATTTATGGATAATTGGGGGGGGGGGGTTCACAAAGATCCTCAGTCGAACTTAACTCTAAGTTGGAATTAAAAATTATGGAGAGCCATGTGTAGCCTTAAAATAAAATATATTCAAAAGCAAAAATTCAAGTATTTTAGACTTTTCATAAATTCCACATCAAGAACATGAAATTCTTTTGATAATAGAAAATATGATTGATTTAAATCCACATTTTATGTATTTTAAAATAGCCTTTACCAAATATTTTCAAAGACGCTAACGGCTTTCCATAATTGTCAACTCCAACTTAAAGATAAGTTCCACTTAGGATCTTTGTGAAACACCCCCTGATTAGACCTACCCCAACCGACAAGATAGTAGATCCACGTCCGAGGTCTCTCTGACTCAAAGACTCTGATGATCTGACGGTAGAGATGTACGCCCTCTACGAGCATCCAACAGATTACGGCTTCATAAAAGAAGTGAAGCAGGAACGCCACAGCTTTACAAAGAGGCTGAGGAATGAATATTTAAAAAAATTGCATTTTAATTGAATTTCATAAGAGGAAGGTAAACAACGGTTATGAATACGAAAGAAATCGTGGATTTTAAGATATCGGAAACACGTACCGAGTCACCAATCGCTTTTTAGATTCTTTGGAAGTTGTGAAAAAGAAGATGAAACAACGATCATCGAACCTAAATTCGAAAACGCTATTTATCATTTTCGTCGTCGTTTTTTTTCCTACATTTCAAATAATACAATAATCTCTTGAATTTGTAGATTGCGAACGTACCGGGTTGCTCGTCTTGTCTATTCCTGCTATGAAAATGATGTCAGCAATTAAAATGGCGACCATCAAGTTGACATGTACAACCACACGATCGGCTGTCATCGAGTTTCTATGGGAGAAAGGGAGAAACGCATATTTTACAATCTTAATATCTTTTTTTTTGTTCGTACGAACACCATTTATCTTCAGTTGTAAACTATTAATATAATATTTGGTATACGATGGTATACGATGAAACATATTTTTTCTATAACTGACTATATAGTTTTTAAGGAGACGTATCTTTCTTTCCATATATGTTTTTTTGTTTGAGATACAACTATATATATATATATATATATATATATATATATATATATATATATATATATTTACAGAGAGAGAGAGAAATATAAATATGAAGAAAGAAGAGGAAAGAGAGAGAAAGAGATGGAGATAGAGAGAGAAAGAGATGGAGATAGAAAGAGAATTAGAGAGATGGAGAGAGAGAGAGAGAGAGATGGAGAGATGGAGAGAGAGGGGGAGAGACAGAGAGAGAGAGAGAGGGGAGAGAGAGAGAGAGAGAAAGAGACAGAGAGAGAGAGAGAGAGAGGGAGAGAGAGAGGGAGAGAGAGGGAGAGAGAGAGAGAGAGAGAGAGAGAGAGAACGATTCTCATTAGAAATGTTCTTTGCTGACAATGACACCATTAAACCAAAAAAGAAAAGCTCTTAAGCATGTACCTGAGGACGAAGAAAATAATAAGACTGATGAGTAGTGACGCCACAGAGAGTCCTAAACCAACATAGGTCAAGATGTCGGCTACAAGGTCATCTTCCTGTAAAATAAATTAGAATGAGAAAATGTCTAACAATTAACAGAATGTCAATTTACCTAGTTTCACTGGGGTTGAGTATGTTATCATGCGTGCAGTGCATTTCATTGAACAATCATAATGGTATCTAGTTACCTCATCTGGGGGTTGATTCATGAATTAAAAAATTAACTTTAGTGCTATATATAACAGGGAAGAGAACCGTGGGATCCACATTCTGTTCAGTTATTCATTAGACACCAATACATTCTACTGTATTCTGTGTTTTTCTTTGTCTCATGTCTTCATCTTCTTTATTTTTTCTCTTCGCTTTCTTTCCTATTCCAGTGCTTTCTCTTCAGCTTCTTTTATGTACACACTGACTGATTTCCCAATTATTCCAACATTTGATATCATCAAGTTTTTTTGTTGTTCTTTCCTTTTTGAAATTAATAAAGTTGATTCAGGTCTCTGCCCCTTCTTTAATCTTGAAGAAGAGACATTTATTTCTATGGTTGAGGGAGATTTCAAATATCCATATAAAAAGTGTTGAGGATTTGTGTTTATTGGGAGTCGGATCTCTCAAATTTAGTGCTTTGAACACTATCATTTTAATTGCTCGTTTCCATATCTACAAAATGAAATTGAATAATAAACATCCAAATTTTGATCTTCTCAAAGGAGAAGTTAAGATTTTTGATCAAGAGAGGTTAATTTTTATACAAAAACATCAGTGTGATAAATCTGATAAAAAATGGGGACTGTTTTTCGATTATTTTATGCAATAGGCTTCACCTGTGCTTTTTCATATTTTGTATAACTTGAATATCTTTTCTGTGTAAAATTGATGTATTTCCATTGTAAATTAATATGAAACTAATAAAAGTTCTTTTTTCCCCCCTCCGGAAAAACAAGAGAAGAAAGGAAAGAAAAAAAAAATCACTTTAAATCGCAAAAATAATGTTGTTACCATGGTAACCATACGTACCGGAGGATCTGTGGAAAGACTCATCAAGATGGAGAAACTGGTGGTGTGGTTACAGACGCATACGCTTGCAGTAATCAGTGTACTAGGCTCCTCGTGACATCCATACGAGTCCCACCGTCTATAAGGAAGGGGAAGAAGAAGAGGAAGAAACGAGAAAAGCGATGGAAAGAGATGTAAAGAAAGAGAGAAAGGGATGAAGGAGAAAGAACAATAATGGCGTATGCAGAACAGTTGGACAATGCAAGTTAAGGTGACGGGAGAGGGAGAAAGAGACAGAAAGAGAGAGAGAGAGAGAGAGAGAGAGAGAGAAGGGGGATGAAGAAGAGGAGATATAAGGAAGAGAGAGAGAGACAGATGAATGAATAGGGTGATAGAGAGACAGAGAGAAAGAGAGAAGAAGAAGACGTGAGGATGAAAATTATAGATATGGGAGATTCATAAATTCGCAGTTATTTTCATTATCAAGTAGTAACTCAATATATATAGTATACGAAAGAAAGGATGTTGTGGTCTCTACTTATATTTATCACACATTTCCTTTTCATACTTCCGAAGCACAACTCCATAGAATATTTAAACAGAATTTGAATCTTTCTTTCTCGTCCTTAAAAGCATACTTACTTTGCTTCTACATCCCAGAACTTGCATTTCGGAGACCGGTAATTGTCGATATCAGCCTGCACAGAATAAACAAACTCAATATTAAAATGTTAGCCCTATTCCTTACTCAAAATAATAACCTCGTTAAGTAATGGTGACACGATAGAGTTCTATGCTATTTTGGAAATGCCTTCAAGGTCAAGATTGTTAAAAAAAAACTACACACAAACCCATGTGTTCAAGAGCAACAAGGGCCAACATTTCGTGTGCGTGTGTGGGCGTCGTGTGTGTGCGTGTGTGTGTTTATGTGTGAGGACGTTGATGTGATCCTGATCAAGGACAACTTAAAAAACTGATATCCATTCTTTAAACAGGGCTCCTAAAGGCAACAAGAGCTATTTTACTTCCATCTTACTAGCAAATCACTAATATTTTAATATCACTACCATTAGAATATAACATAAACAAGTGTTTCACGAACAAAATAAGAACTTAAAAACTTAAAATTTTACACCTACTTTGGTATAACTGAGCGTGAATCGGAAAGGCACTGATTCTTGTGTAGAGTTCGAGTAAACGACCACCGATAAGACATCGCTGACGACGACAGCATCGTCGTTTTGTGACGACCCCGTTGAAGACCCATCTTCAACTTGGTTATAGATTCCCCCCAGGGTCTTATATGTTGTCACTCCAATCGTCACACTACGGTTAGAGCTTCCTGGTAAGAAATTGAAATCAAACTCGGATGAGCAGAAAGGGGAAGAGAATACCAGAATTCCTGAAGGTAGCCCCGAGTGCCCCTTGAAGGAATTTCTTTGCTATTTCTAAGACACCTTCTGGTATTGAAATTATCTTTGGATTAAAGCCCCCACTGCTACTTGCGCCCTCTATATAGCAGACAATTCCTCAGCGGTGACCGTTGGTCCACCATGATCCTCTTATTCTTTTGTTAATTGGGAGCTGATTTGATGAGATTACCACCTGTCAGTGACCATGCAGGGAGGTCTTATCCCTCATGGCCAAACTAGTGCAGAGGAGCTTAAGGTCTTATACACTTTTCATATATGATAGCAAAAGCCACATTCTGGTGGCGTATACGTCTGAACCTATGTTAAGATTTACATAATTTGTAAAGAAAAGAAAATAAAATAAGAAAAAAATAGATAAAAATTGAAAAGATTTATGTCTGTACCTGGGTTTGACGCTTGTTGATCACAGAAGAACTGTTTTGGTAGGGAGTACACGTTCCCCCCTACAGTTAAGGACCAGTCATTGTTGCATAGATCTTCTGTTGTCGATCGCTCAATGGCCAGGACTGTAGAAGATAATGATGGGAACGAAGAAAAAACGAAATTTAAGATACCAAAATCAAGCATCATCGTTCATGCAAGGATGAACAAGCGCTGATAAGCAACCAAAGTCTCTTAGCTACAAAGTTGTCAAATTTTGCACCCTTCTGCATCGGTGAAATCACAGTATAATTTTGAATGCAAAGCTTTTGGGTTAAAAACTGAAATCTTGAAGATGCACTACCATGAACAACCTGCGTAAGACCTGAACGGTTTGAACCATGATGTGACTGAACATCTAACCCCCCGACAGATTAGCAAATATTCCCCCGCAAATAGTCGGTTATAAAAGCCCCACTGTACTATTTATAGTTACTTGCTCCCTCTTTATGTTGATTGGTCCCCCATGACCCTCTTTTTCTTATGTTAATTGAGAGGTGACTTGATGAGATAACCACCTGTCAGTGACCACGCTGGGTGGTCTAATCTCTCCCGGCCAAACCAGTAGAGACGGGTTTTAAGTTGGTATCAACAAGGGGTTGATGCTCTAAATTGAAGTTACATCAGGATTAGTGATCTTTAAGGGGCAGGTGTCCAGGGATAATAGGGGTTGTTGCTCTAGGATAGTTGTCTGGAGTAGTTTTCCGTCAGGTCGTTGTCTAGTAGCACTTCTCCAACAGTCCAGACCTAAGCGACTTTCCGCTATCACCCCAAATGCACGTTATCGCTATTGGCCCAGCTCTACCCACAGGATAGGCTGTATACTCAATGTGCCATCCCCTAAAAAGGGAAAATAGGGATCATGCCTATCATAGCAACCACAACACCAAAATTTGTCCTTTAGCGATTGTTTTAGATGGTTCAAGGACACCTACCACCTGAACATCCACCCACCGCATAACCACCTCCAGTCAACTACCCCCTAGGACAACTGGCCCCTGGGGCAACCACCCTCTAGGACGACTACCCCCAAACAACTATCCTAGGGGGTAGTTGTCTGGGGGTAGTTGTCCTAGGGGTAGTTGTCCTGGGGGTAGTTGTCTGGGGATAGTTGTCCGGGGTTAGTTATCAGGGGTAGTTGTCCTAGGGGTAGTTGTCCTAAGGGTAGTTGTCCTAGGGGTAGTTGTCCTAGGGGTAGTTGTCCAAGGGGGTAGTTGTCTGGAGGTAGTCGTCCTAGGAGGTTAAAAAAAAAGTCATTTCCTATGATGACATAAAACTGTTCATCTGCATGGCCACATTATGTGGTCACACATGCTGCGTTTGTGCCCCCCCCCCCCCCCCTCCCCCCTTCGCTCTTGGCAGAGCTGAGCCAATAGCGACAATCTGGATGATGGCGGAAAATTCGAAATTGGTCCTGACTTTCTAAACTGCCTTTGACTCACCAAAAGTGTCTCGTGTAATGTTGATATTCTCTCCTGGTTGGAGATCCTCAGCAAAATCCAGTACGCGCTTCTCGATGAGAGCAGGGATATCGAGAGGTTGGAACCCGTTCTACATACAAACGTGATTAATAAAAAACAGTTACACGAATATCTCACTTTTCTCCATAATATCTCTAATTTAGCTTGTTCAAGGAATCTTGAACAAGGCTATTATTTCAATTTAGAAATTGAAATAAAACCTATTCCTTCCTTGGACTAAACTTGATTTTATTTTGTTATTACAAGTATATGATATATACGCTGGTAGGTGTTTCTCGAACATGTATATCAGGGATCTGTTTGTTGCAAGTATGTTTTGTGGGGTCAGAAAGTTTCGGAATCATCCGTCTCATAACTTGTAGTTCTTCTTCGTATTCCATTTATTTTGTTTGGGCAATTAAGATAGGGGATACTTCCTATCAAAAGGAATTTCATTATTTTTCTTTTCTTATTCCTACTTGATTGTGTGTGTTATTTTCTAATTTTGAAATTTAATCAAAATAGGGGCATCCTAAAACAAATTTATTACAATAAAGATCTGACAATGCATACATTAAAAAAGTTCTATTTCGATATATATCAAGGATGTTCCTTTGTTATTTTCAAAATGAAAATTACAGATATATCCAATGTTTTATAATGATGTACCTCCTCGGATAAGTCCCAACCATCTGCAGACGCGGCCGAAGAAAGTAGTTCATCCGCAGCATAGGTCCAAGAAGGCTGGATGAATGAAGAAAGACATAAAACATTTTTATTTGTGGAAACTTTGGCTATATTGCTTGGTTTGATTTTTCTCTCCTGTTTCTGTGAAAGGTAACGATTTTCCTGTCTGATATAAGTAAACAGAAAGTGTTCATGTATTTACATCAGACATTGGCTGATTAATGAGAGATAAAAATCGGTGGCATTTGCACCGTCTCTGTCTTTCTTCTTTTCTCTCTCTCTCTCTCTCTCTCTCTTTTCCCCTCTTTCTCTCTCGCTCTCTTTCTCTCTCTCCTCTCTCTCCCTCTCTCTTTTCCCCTCTTCTTATTTCTCTACTTTTCTCACTCTCCTCTCTTTTACACACACCCACACACACACTCTCTTTCTCTCTCTCTCTCTCTCTCTCTCTCTCTCTCTCTCTCTCTCCCTTCTTTCCTTCTCCTTTGTACCTCTCTATTCTCTCTCTGTCATGTATGTATCTCTCCCTCTCTTGCTACTTCCCGATTGTGGTACGTTGCATTAATATTTATCGCATATATTTGAACGAAATATCAAATAAGTAATGGGAATTGTTGAGAGGGGTAAACAAGAAATTGAAACATATTCAAACAATTCAAACATATTCCTCGACGTGTTCAGACGGTGGATTTACCTGGGCTACTCTCAACAGTAGAGCCATGGACTGAAACGATTTTTGATTTTATAACTTACCGAATCTGATAGGAGTGCAGACCAGAGAGCATCGTTCTTTTCGACAGGGGTAGCTGCCTCAATGGCGGAGAATCTTCCGCCAATCAAATACAAGCTCTCAGGTTCCGTTACAACAAGCTTTATAACCGTCGTTACGATTGGTCCAAACAAGGAAACAGTCTCACTAGAGAATCTTACGCTGGAATTGAAAGTCTGATATATATTAAATAAAAAATAAAAAATAAAGAATAACATGAAGTATCAGAGGGTCCGAATTCATATTTTTTTTTTCAGATTGACTCAATTCACATTTAATTGCTATTATACCTACTTTCATAGTAAAAATTACATTTCAAACATCTTTATTAAAATTCTAGAAAGAAGAAAACTGCTTGAATAACACAATAAAAAAGAATATTCAATAGAAGCATTCTGAGATAAATGAATTACGATTTGTCAACAAAAAAGGAGAACTACTATGTAACATCATCACCAAGTATAATTATTAAGAAAGCTTGAACAGTATAATTATTAATCATTAATCGTGTTTTGAATGAGCATACAATATGTCTTGATAGGGCTCGAAAACTGTTATTGTTAATAACTTCAAAAATCAATTTATCTCTCAAAATTAGCAGCGTTAATGTCAACCTTCCCCATATCTCTCACCCAACTCAAAAATGACAATTAATTGATATAGTCACCTTTCTTTCACCATCCATCATGATAAAGAACTCTTGATCTCCACTCATGTAGGCTATTTGAAATGCATCAATCCGACGGTTGAAGTTAGCGGCCATTCCTTGGGTTACGACGCCAATGATGGTCCTAACTTCACTGAATCGTACCTATCGAATCAAAGTTATGTTTATAATAGCAGTTATATGATGTATAAAAGGCAACTTTAACAAGTGTATAATTGAAATACTGCACACTGCACACATACAAAAATCGACGAAATATGGCAAAACGCATATCCTAAATATTTGTTATACACGACGTGAGTAACATGGATAAATAGAAAAAATATAAATTATCAGAGACAGATTTATATATTCTTATATACTAAACAGTTTTCTTTATCTTTACGCCAAGATTAATATGTTTCGCTCTCCCATACCAAAGGTAATCCCTTCCTTCGTCGACGTGTGATTTTGAGGGAGCATATTTTTTTTGGATGCTTCACTGGTTCTAGTGGTAGCTAGTTTATGATAAAAATTTAGCGTTTAACCTTGATATCACAATATCACAATATAATAGTCTACGAGTCTTTATAGAAGAATTGCTCATTAAAAGATGAATTAATCTATAATTCAAACGGTGTGAAAGTGTGCAATAATACATTAAGCTGAGCGGCCAAGGTGATCGTTACATTGATAATATACGATTCTGATTAATCATCTCATTAGACAAACTTGAAAGTTTTGACGGAGAATGAGAAAGGGACAAAAGACAAAGAAAAGAGAAGGACATTGGGAGGGTGGTAGAGAGAGAGAGAGAGAGAGACAGAGAGAGATAGAGAGAGAGAGAGAGAGAGAGAGAGAGAGAGAGAGAGAGAGAGAAATAGAGAGAGAGAGAGAGAGAGAGAGAGAGAAATAGAGAGAAAGAGAGAGAAAGAGAGAAGGGGAGAAGGGGATGGGAAGAGGAAAATGGAGAGCATATATTGTCCCCCGTGCCCTCCGTTTCCATTGCGGCCCAAGGATTTTACTCCTTTTCTGGATGCTTCACTGGTAGCTCCTTTGTGGTAAGAAATTTAATTAACCTTGATATTACAACATCACAAAATGATAGTCTACGAGTCTTTATAAAAGAATTGCTCATCATTAAAAAGATGAATTAAAGATACTTTGTCCCTTTTGCAGCCAACATCAAATTATGTAGAACTTTGCAGGAATTATGAATATGTCATGTATGTCCTATCTATGAAATATAAACATAGCAGTGTCCTAATATTCAAATTATGCAAGGAAACGCGTTTACGTGCTAGACTTCACTGTCAGACAATATTGAGTGACTGACTGACTGTTTTCTTCTTTGGTAATAACATACATATAATGAGCTGTAAAGAGTACATTAGCATTTGTCTACATCAATAACCCACTTCTTGTAATGGCCCAAATTAAACTGATTGCATCTTTGCGCAGCATAAAACGTACGACCATTCGGTACAGTGGTCTAAAAATCAGACTATTACTTACTGGCTCTATAGCTCTTAAGTCGAATCGACAACTAGTAGTCGTTATTTTCCCACTTTAAGACATTTTCAAGCCCCTCTTTTTTTAGGGAAGTTCTAAATTAGTATTATCTTTCAAATGGCGTTGGAATTTAACCTCTTCATTTTTTTGCCTGCAAATGGGACATAGTAACTTTAAGCTATAATTCAAGCGGTGTGCAACAATACATTAAGCTGAGCGGCCAAGGTGATCGTTACATTGATAATATACGATTCTGATTAATCATCTCATTAGACAAACTTAAAAGCTTTGACGGAGAATGAGAAAGGGACAAAAGACAAAGAAAAGAGAAGGACATTGGGAGGGTGGAAGAGAGAGAGAGAGAGAGAGAGAGAGAGAAAGAGAGAGAAAGAGAGAGAAAAAGAGAAGGAGAGAGAAGGGGAAGTGGAGAATGGAGAGAGAAAGAGAGAGAGAGAGAGAGAGAGCTATGTAACGAATACAATTCAATCTAATGGCCCAAAATCAAATCATTGGCACACAAAGGGAAATGTATTTCCAAACTGGTACAATTATGTTACGAAATGACAATTGAAGAAAAAAAATTATATTAACTATCTAGCGCTCTGAAATCAATTTTTATTCTACAGTATATAAGTCTGTTTCCTGATCACTAAATGAGTATAGGTAAATTTTAAACAGACTAATACTATTCTTGTGAATGTGTGATAACAATTGGAGTGTCGGAGAGGTATTAGTCGCAAATCTTTTCTACTTACCTGTATATAAGGTTGTGTATCGAAGAGATCTGGCGCCCATCCCCCGTCGAGCCCAGGTTCAGTGCTACCGTATTTGCCGTACTCCGCTCCGTATGTTTCTGTAAGGTTAGATGACGATGATATTTCACATCCCGCCCATTTGGTGTCACCGCACCAGTCATAGTGGCCTACAAATGAACAATTAAAACAAGATTAGAGGTTTCTCCCGGCTTATGATAATATTTCAATGGATGTCATATTCATCTTGATATACACAAATGAAATTGCGCATGATATGTATTCACATGCGAAAAATACTGACAATGTTACTTTGAGAATATTCTACACTAAAAATCGTTTCGTCAAGTATTATTTTTTTCTATGAAATAAATTATCTATTGTTAGTTTGTTGGTCTTATCTGGAAACATCGTATCGGAAGGTTGGTCATAATCCTTTGTAGAAATAGTCCTGTAGACAGGACATAACAGTTTCGAGGTTCCTTTCTACAAAACCATTTAATATGCAGGCACGTAGCCACGGGGGCACGGGGGGCACGTGCCCCCAACAAATTTCCAAGATCGGTTAAACTTTTTTAGACCGCTTTTTATTTTACCTCGATCGATTTACATGTATGTGCCCCCCCCCCCAACATCAAACTCTGGCTACGGGCCTGGTAATATGTGTAACCATGGTTAAACAGAATATTCAACAAGTTATCGCGGTATGCTTTTTCAAAGAGCAATGATGTAACATTGTAATCTATCTAGCACGGGCATCACCAGGTTTAACAAGTTGGGACATTTTGCAAGGAAGGGTGTGGCCACGTACCCAACGGAAACTTTTCATTTTTTTAAATATAGGGTATCAAATTAAACAATGTTTAATTTGATCTTTAATTTAATGTTTAAAATATGAACTGGGGAATAGAAATGCAAATATGTTTGAGTGCGGGTGAGGGGGGGGGGCGGCAACATGCTGCGATGACTCTTTTTTTGTGGAGAATTGGAAGGGGTATATACTTATGAAAATGAGGTTCTCGAACCAATGTGATCAAGGCAAAAACAAACACGGACTATTCTCAAATATAATGTTGATAAGATACCGGTTTTCCTTAAGCGTGGTGTGTCTGAAAAAACAGACGTATGGAAATTGAATTTATGCTTGCATTTCCAAAATTGTATTAAACGAATTCGTTTTCACTGGCTGCCTGCCGTAGCAACAAACAGAGTTGACAAAAGACATAACTACGTTTCGTTGACAATCAGCCACGCATGACGTTTTTCGTCTTCTCTGTTTGTTGTTAGGGCAGGCAGGTATAGTGGAACGGATTCGTTTAATAAAATTACGAAAATGCAAGCATTAAAACTTTGTTATTCCAGGCTCATTTTTCCTGATTGAGGTGCCATATGAAAAGGCAGAAAATGAACTTTCTAGAAATGTGATTTTCTCTTTGAAATTCAGATACTGTTCGCCAAATGACTTTTAAGTACCCTTTCTTCAAATTGTTTTCAATCACTCATGCATGAAATATGCATCATATGAGTTGCATCAACTGAAAGAAGAGGATCTAAGCTTTACAAATATGTGTCAATTATTAATTATAATTGTGCTTCAGTTATGATAAAACATCGATAATTCTCGGTTTCTTTTTTTCAGGGACGCACTGTACTAAGTTTAATGAAAACAAACAAACAACAAAAACAACAACAACCTTCAACATCTCATTCATATATTCGTTGTCACCGCATCATTGACAGTTTTTTTAGCGTTATTGATACAACCTGTACATGACTATCCTCCGCCGTTAAAAGGGGGAAATTGAATTAAATATCATAACTCCACAGTGTGCTTTTCATAATGTGCGTATTCAATGATATTCTGTTACCCGAACTGGTCGAGAGCTGCTAATGAATTAGAAAGTGATCTTTTGCAAACGGTAGTCATCATTCATTGATAAGGATCAATCATTGAATTACCTGATCGATTGTAAGGGACGATGAGGTCGTCTGCCGACGTGTAGGCACAAAGCCCATCCGTACAACTCCATGTCGTGTCACCATAGCAACTATCGTCCGTAGTCGCTGGAGGAAGGTGAATTGGGAAAAGAAAAAGAGACTGGATGATGAGGGGGAGAATCGTTTATTGGTATTGGCTGGTATAGATAATCAGTAGTCTGATGCATGACGAAGAGGAGATGATCGGGTTGCAGGAGGAAACGAACGAAACATGAAATTAATTTGATCACGTGGGTTGTATGAGCCGAAATAGATAGATAGATAGATAGTGGTGGTTATTTTACCTGACAGCTCAAAGCAATACATGCTTGTAAGTAAGCAACCAGAAGACTAAAGGCTTTAGGTCCTCTCCGAGGGACCTGGTAATGAGGAGTAATGCCTTACCAAAGGGCACTAGCGCATCGACTAGGTTTCGAGCCCGGGTCACCGAATTACGAGACTACTGCTCTGCTCGCGCCTTTAAATGAACGATTTTTTCCTTCATACTACCTCCTTTTTTATAACCTCATAAAATATTACTAAAGCCGGAAATAGAAACTATGAGGGTAACTTGAGCATCCCATAAAAAAATATATATATTTGATGAAATCAAAATCCTTAATTGGAAATATAACTAAAGTCAACCGACAGCGCATAATTATCATCGTTGTAGAAATGAGGGAATTCACGTTTTACGACTTTCGAAAGCAGAGATTAAATCGAATTACAAAATGATTGAAATTTTCATTTGGGCCAGGGAACGACAACGGTTTTAATAATCGAAATAGCGTCCCTATGAATCGCTCTATCAACTGGCCAGCCCTCATTTGCACAAATCAGTATGAACAAACAAATCATAGCCACGATAGATGAATGATGGTGATAATATTGCATGAGTTAGGATGACGATTTCAACATCAAGGCATGTTCCTGCTTTCCAATATTGACTTTATCCGAATGGGTCTATATCATGTTCAATTGGAAATTATGCCAATAATTAGTCGACGGGAAAATGATATTAATGATATTGATCTAGTGTACATAAATTAGGAAGTAGGTCTTTAGAGTAAGCATTCATGGAGATGTGAGTCGGTATAGTAATTAACTCTCTGCCTTCATGATACAAATGCATCATCTTTATAATACAATAGCGACAAACTGAAGGCATAAAGATTCTTCTTCCTTCCCCCCCCCCCATACATTTTGATAACCACAAAGATATTTTAGTTCTTTGATCTGAATATGAAATATCTTATAGATGAAATACCTTACAGTCGAGCCTCATATACCATTTTAGGTTAAACAAAAGCAAATAGAAATTATAAATAAACAATTTAAAAAATTCATGTTATAAAAGTAAACATTAAATAGTCAGGTCACACCTACTTGACAAAGATATGGGGCCAGGACTCTCCATCCAAACAATAATAGTAATATTAATTGTGTAACTCCGGGGAGGGGGGATGGGGCGTAGAAAAGGGAGCAAACAAATCTGGCGGCAAAGTGGGTGTCACACCTCCACTCAAAATGTTCTAGCGACGCCTCTGCATAAAGAGCCGTGTCGGGTATCGAACCCACGACCCTCGCATGCACCTCCATTCAAGTAGGTTCAAACCACTCGACCGCGACACTTCTTCTTACCAAAAGCTTCCGGGTAGATGGTTCTGTGAGACGTATCTAGCTCCCAGTCGCTGTAGGATGGCCATGTAACACTGGTGATATCCTCATCGCATACTTCATCAGCTTGGGTGATCTGAATAGCTTGGATTCCACCTGCAGTCTCACAATCTTCGGACGCCAAGATCACTGAAGAAACACGCACCTGTAGTATCGTCAAAATCTCAAAGTTAAGCCGTAGCGTCTAAGGGTGGGATATTAATACCACAATCCATTTCCCTCCGAATATTTAAATTTTATCTATGAATTTTAATTATACCGTATCTCTTGTGAGCAATTTTTCGAAATTCTGGGTCCATTATTCATTCTTTTTACTGGTTAGAAGTTGATCTTAATTCAATGTCGGATAAAATTTAGAAATTAACCCTTAGATCCATATTCTGCAATTGCAGTTATGCCCGCCCTGTGTCGTTTAACAATGGAAAATTTTAGAGAAAGCTTGAGCCTAGTGTCGGGTTGAATCTTATTAGACTACGATCGGCCCTTAAAATAGAGTGGCATAAAGTTTACATGCAGTTATTACAAATACAATTTTATCGAAAAATTATTCACCTAACCATGCTAACTGCGTTGTTGCATTACGATGAATTCGCTTTTCATCTATGTCGAGGTATATTTTTTTCCCGATTCAAGCAACCCATGATGAAACAAAGATTGTCAATCATTACGGGATCAATATTTCTTGTTAAATTGGATTACAGTTTCTTATTAAAACTATGATTGCCTTCTCCATCATTAATTCAAATAATACGTACAAAAGACACACATCACTATGTTGATTACAAAGAAAAACACGTGAAATATACTTATATCACAAACTTGATTATACTTTCTTTTCTTTTATCACATAATTTTTTTTCAGAGGTGATACTTTTCAACATTTTCCCTCCATAATATTTCCTTTAAATAAATGTCGAGTACGTTTGTAAAATTACATATATATATATATATATATATATATATATAAAATATGTATAAGCTAAACTAATTAATTAATTTAAAAAATACGTATTTTGAATTTATATGAATAAACAACTTACATATCTATCGCCTTTGAGCAAGAAGACTTCAGCCTTGGTTTGCTGGTAACCATTGATATCATCAAGAGCCTGACTACGAAGGAGAAGCTGTGGTTCGGCCTGTAAAGTGTTGATCACACGTACAAACATAGATTACACACGCATCAAAACCATATGATTTGTTTTATTTCTTTTGTTACGACAGGTATATTATACTGTTTTATACGTTACAGTCCCGTTGACGTTCGCGAGACCACAGGCCGAAGCGACCGAAAATTATTATAGACTTGCTACCTCTTTAATGAAGTGGAAATTTATAGTCTCGTTGACCTCCTGTCACATACATAATATTTCCATCATTCACAGGTGTCACAAATAAATATTTGATAAACATTCAACAAAGATTGATAATTGCATAATATAATTGAAGGCTACGTATTACATACGACTCATATGAAAAAAATCAAAACCATTATAGTTTAGTGTAATTGAAATTGGTGTAATTGGAATTTTGTAATTGATTTGATAATTGTAATTGCTAAACGGTGAAAGCTCAATATTCTTCATGTCTTTTCTCTCTTCTCTCTCTCTCTCTCTCGTATCTAAGCGCATAGAGACAATTTTGTAATATGCGCTATATAAGAATTGAACATTATTATTATATTGTTTTTAAGATATCACTTCAAATTAACATATTAAATATACTTGAGAAAATAAAAACCTTGGGAATCTAACACCTATGAATTGGAACATATTGTGTAGAAAGTTCATAGAAATCAAAACACGGTAATTTTTTTTAATGATTTCAGTCTCGTGGACAAACGTTTTCATCACTATTCATCAATCTTCGGTCTCGCGGGCGTTCGGTCTATAGGATCTCCCTGTTATTACTCTGTCAAAATATGTTACGAGTAATTAAAACATCAGCAGTAGACGTTTCCAAACCTCAATACTGAAAAGAACACAAATGAACGGCTCATAAGAATATTCTGGCTCACTTGGAATAGGGTGGTGTGGTATGACCAGGGGCGGCGATCCCAAGGGGGGGGGGGGGACTTCCCCCCTCAATTTGTTACGGGGAGATTGTCTCCCCCGGAAAAGACTGAAACATACTTTTAGGCTCTGGAGGGCCCACAGAGTGCAGCGTTTGGACTAATACAAATGCAAAAATCTTCTCGCTCGGTCGCTAAGCTCCCTCGAATAATATCCTCCAAAATATACAAGTAAATATTGTAGAAAATCTTGCATTTCGTCCCCCCCCCCCAGGTCATGAAAAGGAATCGCCGCCCCTGGATATTACTCCCCCTCCAAACTTCTGTTGCTCTGATTTTGTAATGTAATGTTGTTTTAAAAAAAAATTTTTTTTACCCTTTTTGTTGTTTGTTGTTGTTCCATCTCGTTCTCTTCTCTCCCACTCTCTATTTCTTGGTTGCTCTCTTAGACCCTTATACTGTTCACCTCTGATATCTGTCTGAATTTCCACTTTCTTTTTCTCAATCTGCCCTTTCTCGTTATTTCTCGTTATTTGACAGTTATTGATGTTATAACCACATTTTGTATGTATAGAACATATTAAAATGGAACGTGTATGGCAAGTTGGATGGTTTGACAGCTTACGGTCATGGTTCTGAAAGAGACAAGCCAGCCAAGGACATCCGTGATTAGTTCATTCAAAAAGACCCATCAGTTAACGCGACTCATAATGAAACTCAGTCACAATAGCTGTGAGGATCAGGTTGATTGATAAGTTCAATGAATGGAGAGAGAGAGAGAGAGAGAGAGAGAGAGAGAGAGAGAGGGGGGGGGGGGGGGGGGAGAGAGAGAGAGAGAAAGAGACAGAGAGGGAGTGACAGACAGACAAAAAGACAGACAGACAAATAGAGTGTGTGTGTGAGAGAGAGATAGAGAGAGGGATAGAGAGAGAGAGATAGAGAGGGAGAGGGGGCAGACAGACGGAGAGAGAGGGGAGGGCAAAAGAGGGAGAGTTTGTGCGTGTGTGCGTGTGTACGTGTGTGTATGTGGGTTTGAGGGAGAAAGAGAGGGAGAGAGGGGATAGAGAGAGAGATAGAGAGGGAGAGGGGGCAGACAGACAGAGAGAGAGGAGAGGGCAAAAGAGAGATAGTTTGTGCGTGTGTGCGTTCGTGAGCGTGTGTGCGTGTGTGTGTGGGTTTGAGGAAGAGAGAGCGAAAGAGGGGAGGGGGAAGGAGAGAGACTGGTGGTCTAATAATGACGAGATGGTGAGATCGATGCGTGAATGAACGCATAATGACAAGGTTAAGAAAAGAGTAGCTTAATGAATGGCGATACTAGTGAGATGGATTCCCTCATGAATACATAATGAAAAGAGAGACGGGTTGGAGAGTTAAATGAGTACACAATAAAATGGCAGTGATATTAATGAACAAACTTAAGGTTATAATGAGATAGGTGTTTTTTATAGGGTGATTGAGGATAACCTGAAATGTATGAGTTTTGCTGAAGTATGGTTTTTAAGAACCAATTTCACTTTTTTAAACCATAAATTATTAATGATTCAATAGATTTCATTATATCCAATACTTGTGAAAATATAAGAACTTTTCTGACACCAAATGAGAATTAAACATGAATTAATACTGTCAACTTCATAATTTAATGGTAGAGAAATATCACCATCCTGCCCGTACAATCTTGCTCTCCCCTCATCTTTTGGTCTCAATAGACTTTAGTTTTAATTGTATGAGAGATTCGGTGATCCTTTAATTGTCATCATCACAGGTTTCACGATTTGCATAAGAATAACCGCGTGTGTGTTTGTGTCATTTAATTAATTATATTCTTGGTAACTTAATTACTACACGATCGTCTCGTCGTCATTCAGGGACGGAGCGGAAATCGCACATCAGTGTAAAAGATCGCATGCTTCTGAATTATAACTGTATGCATCGTGCATGCCAGTCAAATTCTAGGCAAGTTTTTCGGATCTTAACAACTTAAAACACTTGATCAGGCAAAACTGATGCATGCCAAATCCACAAACTGTATTATATGAGAGTAGATCAAAGAAACAAATTGTTGGAAGTTTGAAGTAATTTGACAAATGATAAGATTGAATCTTTGAAACCAATGAACAATATTTTAATGTTTTGGTTCTCACTGCAGGTGCAAGAATCACTGTGTAATAATTTCCGAATCAGCATTTAAAAAAATTCCTTGAGCAATCGATTCGAATTTTGAAAATATAAGCGAAATAACTTCGAGTAATGTCAAGAGAAGGTAGATAAAAATCTTAACTTAAAGTAGATATTCATTGATTTTAAAAACTAACTTTATTTTCATTACTGCAAAGTTGAAACTCTGATTCGACAAGGTTATCAAAATTCAATGCTTGGAAAAATTCGAAGTAATGATTATTATAAATTACAAAACGCTTATACGCAGCCCCGGCATAGCAACTGAAGAGCTCTCCGAACGCTGCTGTGATGTGTGAGATCACAGTATGGACATGATTTGCACAAGCAGACGATGTCCCATGACATCTCACACGTTTTCAGTGCCTGTGTTTTCATCTTACCTTGAGTTCTTTCTCTTACTTCACTACCGTCAGGCTAAATGTTTAGTCTATTGCCTCACTCTAAACCCCGCGCATGGTTTTATTTTGATGACAAATGCAGCGATACAAAAATAAAGGAATCTGTCGCTTGTAAACAAAATAAGACGCCATTGTATATTCAGCTGCACACACCGCGGTATGTTCGGCGTTTCAAGAGCGAACAAATGCCGTCCTTAATATCCGGGGAATTAGTCAAAATGCCTTAAGATGCCTTTAAGAGCATTAGCACACTGTCTTTGTTTCGATCCCAGGAACTCCCTACGAGACCCCTGCGATACCACTGAGCAATAGCGCATCCACTCTCTCACCCTCTCTCACTTTCTCTCTCTCTCTTTCCCTTTCTCCCTCTCCCTCTTTTTCCTCCCTTCCTTTGTTCCCCTCTCTTACTCTCTTCGTCGTCATTTCGGCAACTGTGTTCAAATTCGCTGGTTCTATTTTTGAAGGATTTCTTATAGACTTAAAGTTGATTGCATATTGCATCTTCATCGCCATTAATTCTTCCTCATTCGCATTTTCATCATGCACATCGTGTGATCTAGGCATGTACAAATACACATTTCTTTCTCACCTTGAATGTTCAGTATTGACGAGAATGATACGAATTGACAAAAGGACGAATAACCTTGAAATGAAATTAATAAAGGAGTGTGGAAACATGTCGTCGCCAATCCTGCCCATACAATTTTAATGTCATGTCAATTTGGGGGTCTCAGTTTTCAAAATTGAAAAAATAAGAATAAAAAGTTGAATTGTACATTTTAAATTTTGATTTCCATTTTCTCCCCACACTCTTCAAAATACTGAGTGATATCATACTTTCACCCAGCTTTGGGCATTAAAAAAAAAAAACTCAATTTGGTTAATATTTTTTTCCCATTTAAATTTACTACATTATATCTTACCCTAACTGGACAATATGATACTGTAGTTGAGTAAAGAAAATGCCCAAACTTGGTGGGATACATGATTTGATAACCTCGTGCTTGGCAAATTTTGACCGAATAATATTAAGATTGCAGATTTTCCTCTTACTTTTTTTATAACATGTATAAGGTAATACTAAATTTTAAATTGACTTGAGAACAAAAAAATGCCCCTCAAAAGAGAAAAAAAGAAAAATAAGAAAGGGAACAAAATGTGCACTCACGTTTTGTTTCACGATGCAGAAGGGCGTAAAGTCACAGCAACAGGGCTCAGCCAGCAGGGATGTGATGTTACATTCTAAGGATTATAATCAGACATAGATATTGATACAAATAAAGAACGAGTTAGAAATCAAATCATGTGGTGTCATGTTCACAACCAATCTCATGTCGGGAAATACACGTAATACACGTTAGGTACCCCCTCCGAACGTGAGTAACACTCAGCAAATCCCCCCTAACAAACCGCTCCCAGGGTCCTTCTTTGAGTGTTCCCACTTCTGTAATAATCCAAAATGGCGGCCCATCTCAGACGCTTATTCGGTTTCCTCTCCTCCTGTCGGCGGTAAATTGTCTGAGACAGATGACAGCTGAGTAAATTTGACTTTCTCTGTTTGCGATTCTTACAGCCGCATCTATGATTTCCTGTTACCGTTTAGAATTTAAATTCACGTTTACTCAACAAAAGGTCACTGTCTCTCCATCAGACTCGACTGTAAGAGGAATGACATCTTTCAAACGGTTCTTCAATTAGATTGGGAAAGGCTAACAAAAAGCATCCACTCTGGGCAAGAGACATGTGATGTAGTAATTAGAGACCGATTTTTTTTTTTTGCAGTAGCATAAGATGAACTCCGGGCAAAAGAACGTTGAAGGAAAGCACTGTTTCTAAAACGTTGATGCTCAACTTCTTCCGGTGGTACTTATATACTAACGATTTTTTTGTTTGTTAATGATTATTTTATTTTGCTTATGACTATTTTGAAACCTTCAGAAAGGGGGCATATTTTTAGGGGATGCATTGGAGGGAGCAAATCCTCGAGTCTTCTTTAAACGCCAAAATGGAACTTTTGGTTTGAGATTGAGAAAATGCTAAAAATAGATGTTTTATGTTTTAAACTGTCTTATGTTTCGTAATGGATGGTAAATGCGTTAAATAAAACAGGGATTCATACAGGAACAGGGTTACACTTTTTATATACAGAGTGAACACAGGGGCTCTCCTGCTGAAAGTGGTGATTATTTCGCATCAAAACATGCGGTTAATTATAAGCATTTGTAATGATTATTATGATCGTAATGACATGTGATAATCTTTGATGAAATATTGGAAAGAATGATACCAGTCTCTGTTGGCAATTTCTGTTCAACTGATCTAAATTTTGTTTGCCGTTGAAATGAAAAACCTATTTTCCCGGCTCAAGAGAGTGCCATAAACCAAACGATCATATACTTTTCTTTAACGACAAATATTATTACAATTCCTTGACATTTATGGTATGCATTTATTGACCAATCCCCAAGATCTTGATAATGTGTAACGTCTCATAGAAACAATGACGAAGATTGCGTAAACAGTTATCATTATACATATCGTGAGCACAGGCGACAATTAAAATGGACATCCCCGGCCCCCTCACCCGTTGCTAACGAAACGATATCGACCAGTATCACTGTGGTATATCAGAATTCCTTGTTTTATTGGAAAGGGATTAATTCTATAACTGTTAGGTTAGGTTATGGAAGTGAGATAAAGAATCGAAGTTATCAATATATTGCACAAAAATGCTCTCCGTATCTTACTTTTGATACTTTTTATATTTTGTATTCTAATTTCTTAATTATTTACTTCTTATTAGCCTAACAATATATGGTATGCATATTGATTACAGTAATATCAAAATAAATAGGAGGCGAAAACCGAGCAGCAAAGCTTGGACTGGGAACGTTAAGAAGAAAATAGAGACAAGAAAGCAAAAAAGAGTACAGCTAAACAAATAAAGACAAGACAAGGGGGGGGGGGGGATAAAAATAAAATTAACAAACACATTATCATTTTTTCGTCGTCAACCCGGGATGCCCAAAATATTAAGTCATACAAAAGGCAGGAGTAGAAAGGAAGCAGGAAAAGGATCCCTTTCTTTTTTTTCTTTCATTATTTTTTGCAGCTCCAACGCGCCTCCACTAGTACACCAGTGATCGTCGTCACTCTATTCATATCAAGAGGTTTAAATATCAAGTATCATTCCATACTGTTTATAAACATCATGTTTATACGAATAATATCCCAAACTAATTTCAGTTTCCTTTTACCAAATTTTATTAATGATATTCACGATGACAGAAAAATAATCATATGACATAAACATAAACGGTTGTAATTTAAAAAGCCTAAATGTAATCAGGACTGATGAGCATTCTGAGCACAGATGACCTACAAAATATGATACACGGTACATGCATTAATTGTTATTGGTTATATCTTCCTTCAACAATAGTTTCAACTACTACTAATAATAATATCATTTTCTGTGAAGTCATTGAGGAGTATAGAGTACCGAAATGTGACGCCATACTGGCCACGTTGTCATGGTTGCTTGTTCCAAACAACTTTGTACTAAACAATGGCGTGATAATCACACCAGCCCCGACCACTGACTTTGCGCTGCTCCAGCCCGTTGCTTGAATGATTTCGCGGTGAACCTTATACGCAGGCTCTGTTGTTTAGAACCAGTAACCTGGGGATTCTTGCATAAAATTAAAAGATGCGATTAAACGCAACTATAAACATCGAACGGAACTTGATTTTCAGTCAATCAAAATTGAGTATTTGGAAGTTGCGTTTGATTTTTTTTTTTAAAGTTGCGTTTAATCGCATCTTTTATGCAAGACCCCCTGGACGGTGGGCGAATATGACGTTGGTACTTCGGTACTCTAAATAATTTAGGAGAGTTGAATGGAATACATACGTACCAGAACAGGGGGCGTTCATGTTTAACGTTAACGTTGCGTTATCACAGTTGCAGGTTGTTTCCATACAAGATCCTTCAGGGGTACACTGGCTTGACTCTGAGCAGGTTCCTAAAAAACAAAAAAAAAGAGATATGTCATAATAGGTGGCGAGCATAGATTTGTTAACTGACAAATTAATGTAATGAATGACTAGATTGAAAATAACCAATGTTTGAAAGGTATTTGACCGTTTTTTCTCATAATAGGATGTCACTAAACTTATAACCCATTCCCAAACAATTTGTCCAATTACAAAAACAGATCCCACTCGGTCGCTATTCCTTAAATGCTACTACCCCCCCCCCCTTTCCGTCATGACAACAACAAAATCGCCGCCTCTGACGACCACATCCCACACCCACAAATCCGGAAGTTTTTTAGCAGATGGTTCTGCATTTATTGAAGGAAAACAAATTTCTTCAAAAATATTTAAACAATACTTACAATATATGATATAATTGATGAACATAAAATATGACGACTGACGACTGAATACGAATAAAAATACATAGATATCATTGAAAACTTGAAAGTTTGGAAGTAAATGAAAGAATAAAGATACACGCAGAGGCCTACTTTCATAAGCATGAGTGCTTGAGTCGATAGCAGCCGGGAAAGGGGGGGGGGGGGGGTGGAGGAGGGTTAGGTCGGAAAATGGAGTGTCACGTACAGTGTGTATAAAGATTTTTTTTTCTTCAAAAGATATCTGAATAAAAAGTTGGAAGAAAGAAAAAAAAAGCAAGGAAAATTGCAAGTATGTGTATGTGGGTGTGTGCAGGTAAAGTAAGTGTTCAATTCGTTTTGTTTAAGAATTGGTCATCTCAAAGTGATTTATAAAAACAAACGATTTAATAAAATTGTTAAGACCCATACAATTTGTATGAATATTTGGATATTGAAAATAAAATTAATCAAGACTTTGCATGAATAAAGAGATGCAGACTGTTTAATATTCTCAGAACAACAGTTTTAGTTTATGAACAACAGCAACAACAAAAATTAATAATAACGACTATTTTATGATTATTTTATTTTGCTTATGACTATTTTGAAACCTTCAGAAAGGGGGCATATTTTCAAGCCGTACTCTGATTATCCATAGTTTTGGTAAATACAAAATATATATATCATCAAAATTGGATTTAGGCAATGTATTGGAGAAACAAAATTAGGCAGTTTTTCTCATCGACCTTCAACAATTTTACCAGTTCACTTTAAAGTCTAGTATATTGCTCACAATATATAAATCCAATCCATTAGTATTTTTGGCCTCGATAGATCTAGAATGAGGTAAACGATGAAAACAGATAAATACCCGCTCATCAAGTATTAAACTATTGTTATTTCTAATTTTCCAAGAAATGTTGCCTCGACCGGAATGATTGGGCGACGTCGATGAAAGAAGATAATATTTGCAAATTATATATACAAGGCTTTTAGACTCATCAATCACTTTCAGCCTATTAGCCGCCAGAACGGTGGGATGTGGGTATTTTACATTTAAGTTATATCAATTTTTTCAATAAACATCTTTCCAAATTAGTGTATTAATTCAGATTAAAAAGATTATTTTGTATTGGGGAGGGATAGGAGAGCGAAAGAGATGTCCTCTCAAGTGGAATAAGAATTGCATGCACTTATTGATAAAAACAAGGGGTTAAAGAAAATTGTATTTTTGACCACTTTTCTTTCTTTCTCTTTCATATTGACAGAATGTCATTTTAAAAGGCGGACGAAAGGAAAGATTTGGTGTGTGTGTGTGTATGTGGGTGTGTGTGTGTGTCGAGGTGGGGTGGGGAGGGGGCGTCGCTTTTTACTTTCGTCCACATCAGTCTATGAAATATGCCTATTTGAACTACATGCATTATTGACGATGGCAAGTCCTAAACAAAAACTTCTTGCTTGATTTGCCTTTTATCTTCATACTGTATGCCAAGTCAAAATGTCACTCGGTGTTGTTGTGATAACATCCCTTTTTTCCTGGTACGGATGATAATATCAAAAAGTACTTTTTGGGGATCAATAAGAAAACATAAATAAGAATCGCTGATGATCACTGATATATAATATCACCCATACCCTTTATCCATGTATTGCTTTTAGATTCTATGTTTCTATTGGGGAAAGAGTAATTTGGCCTATCGTACGAGCGGACAAAGGGTTAGACTCCGCCCTCTTTTAACTCTGCATTAATTATTCAAACGCCGAACATGTCAGATTAAATGATACATATGCCCTCTACAGCTTATTAGATGATTAGACTTAATATGAAATCTAAAATGAAGGCTGTTACTCCTGTTCCATATTGTATTGTAAAGAGTTTTGCCATTTTATTTGTTCACGCACCATTAACGAACGGTTTGTTGATTGCTGGTCTCATTAAAAGCTGGGAAATTATCACAGTTGTTTCCTTATTATGATGTTGTTACTATGCTATTATTAGCAATGGAAAGTACGTTCAACTGTCTGGTGTTAAAAGACCTTCCTGGAATCCAATTGGGTTGGAGAAATTACTTTTTATTTCAACAAATGCATCGACAAATACGCCTTTTTGTATGATATGAATCTTGATGATTAAAAATTTAGTATTGACAACCATAGACGCGCTTGATTACGCGTACACGGATCCACAGTCACTTTGTCAAATCGACCATCCCCAATTATGGGAGGGAAGAGAGATGGAAAGATGATTAAAAATTAAAGGAATAACATCATGTTCAGAATTGTTTTCATCATAATCCACTCTTTGTCTGCATGGGAGACAGCAGAAGCCGGCCACCGCAGCGGGATTCCCGAAATGATGTAATTATTATGCTCTTATAAATAGCATTTATACTCCTATACCCCTTTCAAATATTGTATATTGAACCCATGGCCTACCGTGAAGAGTTCAGAGGCTTCCGTTACAACAAAATAACATAGAATACATAGTGCTTTCATTAAGTGTAAATTCTCCCCCCCCCCCCCAACCCTCTGACAATCGTGGATCGCTTTCCTTAAATTAATATTCTTTTAATTGATAATTTAGTTTAAGGTATTTGAGAAATGAAATAGACATGAAAGGATGTCAGATACATATTCCCAGGACATCCCAAGTATTTTCCCTCACCCCCGTCGGTACACTCAAATTCACATTTACCAATAGAAATTTGACTGTATATTTTACCCCCTTCTCTCTCCCTCTCTCTCTCTCTCTCTCTCTCTCTCTCTCTCTCTGTCTCTCTGTGTCTCTGTGTCTGTCTTGGTATGCATCTCTCTTCCTCCCTCCCTCTATAATCTAGATCAGAGTCAGATTCTCCTCTCTACTCTATCATGCCTACATGTAATCAGGATATTTAAGCTCTCAGTACTCACCATCAATCTCTCCCTTTCTTCTCCCTTCCCCATCTCTTTCTATTCTTACTTCCCTTCTTCTCCCCTTCTCTTTCTCTCTCTCTCGTGCTTTCTCTCTCTCTCTCTCTCTCTCTCCTTCTCCTTTCCTCTCTATGTATGTCTCTGTGTCTTCCGAGCAGGGGCGTCGCTAGACCTTTTTCAGGGGGGGGGGGGGGGGGGGGGGTGTAGAGGCCAACGATAACCGACAAAACTAGCGACCAATTACCGACAAACTTAAATGTCCATTATCTACTAATTTAACCCTATAAACCCGAAGGCTAAATTGTTTTTCCTATGGACTATCTATAGTATACTTGCATATGCGCAAATGGTCATTTCACAGTCACAGTTCGTAGGGGAAAAAAAGTTGTCGGCCGACCGACAATATTCATCTAATCGACTTCAAACTTCTGCATTGATATAGTACAAGAGGATCGAGCAAGAATACCGACACAGTTGACCTGACATAGCAACATATTTACCCGCGTCTTTCTTGCTCCCTCGACGAGACGACTCCACCCAACAACCCCCTTCGCTCTCTTACTCCCACTCCTCCTCTCTCAGGCTCTTACCTCTCCTCTCTCTCCTCTCTTTCACCCCGTTTCTTTTGTTTCCCTTTTACTTTTTTTCCCCCTTTTCTTTCTTTTCCTTCTTTCTTCTCCTCGCTCTTTTTCTTTTTTCTCTTTTTCTTTCCTTTCTTTTCCGTTCTTTCTTCTCTTTTCCTTTTATTTTTTCTTTTCTTTCCCTTTCCCTCTCTTTTTTCCCCTCCCCCTTTTCTCTTTTTTTCCCGACGGCAGCGCAATTTTACAGACAATATCCTTACAGGTGGGGGGGGTGTCGCACCCCCCCCCCACACACCTCCCCTTTGGCGACACCCCTGCTTCCGAGTCCAACTCTGTTACTGGCTTCTCCTTTATTCCTCCATTTAAGATAATTCATGACAAATCTAACTTTTCCTACGTTTGCTTTAATTTCCCATCCTTCATCCCCGCTCTCTCTCTCTCTCTCTCTCTCTCTCTCTCTCTCTCTCTCTCTATCTATCTTTCTCTCTCTCTCTCTCTCTCTCTCTCTCTCTCTCTTCCCATGATTTTCTTTGGACTCTCTGTATCCCTGCATGCTTGCAAAGTGTAAACACAATTTTTATATCGTTAATTTCAAACTGTATACATCCATGGCAACAAGCATCTGGCATTCATCAATTTTCAAAAGAACTGGAAACATGTCGCCGCCTCGATATCTATTATTCACACGATTTTAAAATATTTAATGCATTTCATTTTCTGCCAGTACTGAATTGCATGATTACGCGCACCCAGTCGAGGATACTAAGTTAATCTAAAGTTATCATTGTTGTCAATTTTATTGAAATAAACCATAGCTAGATTATGAAATAACGGGAAAACATATACATCCTAAACTTGTATGTATTACCTGTATGTATACACGAGACAACCGCTAACTCGTATTCGAGTAGTTCAACATAATGATATTAATACGGTGTCAAACTTTAGAAATTGTCAAGTAACATCAAGGTAGTATTATTGATAGTGGGTAATGAAGGATGACGATAAATTTATTAAATGCTGTAAACATTCCCAGGGTCGATGCACATGATTTGTCTGGTGCAGGCACATGCATGCGGGTATCAAGTACGGGCATATTAAATTAGACGTTCCAGCCGTTTTTTAATTCTTGATTTGTATTATTTGTAAATTGTATTCTTGTATGTATTGAATTTTTATACGGAAAATAAAACCAAACCAAACCAAACATGCCCTTTATGTTTTCATTGCATTGGATCCACCATTGACTTTGTAAATAGGAGCACATTTTGGCCTAATCATTATCTTCGTTAGATCGTAAGTTATTGGCACGATTGATGTGCCTAGTTCGAGCAAGCACCAGACATGTAATTCCCCTTGACCAGCTATACCGAGGAAGCGCGATGGCTCAGTGGTAGAGCAGTGGTCTCGTAACCGGGGGGTCCAGGGTTCGAAACCAAGTCGATGCGCTAGTGCCCTCTTGTAAGGAATTAACGGGTTGATGTTCATAAGGCTAATTGCCTCTTTTGTTAACCCCACATTCCCATAAAATTTTGTTTGCTCCTTCCCTTCGTATTTTTCTTGTTATCGATCTTTATCTGTATATCATATTTTAATGTTTTTATGGAGAATGAAAATAAATGAAATTAAATGAAATTAAATGAAATGAAATGAAATGAACACCAAGTCCGTCGGATAACTTTTCGGTCAGGTTATGGTATGATAATGGTATGGTATTTATATTTCGAATCACAATAGAAAAACTATTAAAACAAAATAAAAAGTACATAACATACCGAATATGGTAAACAGCTTGATAGCCCACTCGACTTTGTTAACATGACAAAACTGCTCTTCTTTGGGGTCCTGTAAAATGATGTCAATTGTCTGTATATGTGTGGGAATGGGTGATGTGTGCTTCTTATAGTTTATACATGCCTTCATTAGTGGGTACTTTAAGATCACCGTTACAAAACATAAAAGAATAGTCAATAAACTTACCTAATGCGAGGACGGGTGCAAAGAGAGCAGCAATCACAACGACCACCTGTACACCAAATAGAAAGAGACAAAGAAAAAGAAAATCACAAAACAAAGCATATGGACCTCATTCAATTCAAATTCAAATTATTTGTATTTCTCATGCAAAACATGATACAATTAATAGTTACATTACAAAAAGTATACAACGAAACGACAAATATAATTCATAGTAATAGCACGATAAAAGAGGAACTAACTATAGAAGCAGAGCTTGTTTAGGTATTCCTCAGAGGCTGTTTTACATTAAAAAAAAGGCTTCATATATATATATATAAGTAAGGTCGCGTAAAAGGTGTTTATAGTTCATGAAATAGTTAGGTGCTTAAAATACTCTAAAAGCATAAATGATGAAAAAGCAGTTGAAAATGTCAAGGAGAGGAGAGACCGTATTTTAATAATACTAGATTAGACATAATTATCCGGGAGAAACAAAATCTTTTTTTTGTTGTTGTCAATCTTTTTATTTCCTACAACACACCGTACCAAAAGCGATACACGAAATAAATGTAGATATGACCGGAAACTTGAAAAATTCAATTCATGATGACATGAAATTTGTTATTATTTTTTGCTACATTACTTGTATTTTTGACAGGATGAGGTTGAAATATGGTGTTCCTTAAATCTGTGGCCGAACTTGGTTGGGATTTTTAAATCGTTGCTATATATCATTTTGGTAACGAGTTGGATATATCAATATCATAATTAATCAAATGCATTTTGAAAGTTTTGTCACTCCTGGTATTTTGTTTATGTCGATTATAGCATGATTTATGATACAAAATGATAATCATAACACAAAACGAGAAAAAAATGATCAGAAATTGACAATATATATTTATGCAGAGCACCATGGCAGTAGGTGCACATTATACATAGCACATAGGGTATTTCTGATGTTTTCGACACCCTAAAATCCAGAAACTACTTTATTCCTATTCGTTAGAAATAAAGAAAACAAAAACTTAACTTGTGTTTTGAAGAGCGTATAGAGGAATATAATGAAGCATAACAGTAAAAGAATAATTCAAAACAATAAGCATTTATCTTTCTGCCGACTCACTTGACGCGTTATTAGAAAACAAAATACATGTTCTATCTGATCTTGTCGATTTATCGACAAATTTGCTTGATCTGCCCCAACCCCCCCCCCCCCTCTCGTCTCCGCAAGCACAAGGCACGAATTTGGTTAATTGAGCTAACACTCTGAAAGATTTTTTTCTCTTCTCCTTAAAGGTAATACAAAGTTTTGGTATACGGTCATGAATTTGGTTCAAATGAACATATTGGAAGCATACACGATCCTACAATATTCAGTGATCGTTGTCGCGGTCGAAATCGACTCTAAAGTTATGAAATTGTAAATAATAAACACTTTATGTTGGATAGATCCCTCTCAAGGTCAAGATATTAATTAAGCTATAAAACAATGTTATTGATTAAAATCGACCGATTAGCTATCCTCGTTCGGAAATAATATAACACATCTACATACTCTGAGATTTTCATGGTCGCAGCTACCAGTGCACGGCCATAGGAGCTATTTGAAATTTATCAAAATTTACCGGGAGCACCGGTAAATCTTTATATTCAATTTTTCTCGAAAGCAGAAGTGTTTTAGGGGCTAAAATTTCTGGTGTTATCAAAAAATCCACAGGGGCATCCAAATATATCAAAATTGTAAAGAATGACTATCCCCCTATTTTTCAAAATTTCCCAAAACTTTGTAATACCTCTAAACTGGTTTGAAACTAAAATTGATGGTTAATGATCAATTATAGATTAGATAATTATATGGGATATAATGAATCATATTATCCTAGTGATGGAAGCGGAATGAAGGTCGCTATGGCTTTATCTCTGTTTTCATTTTGCCACGTGCTTTTTAATTATTCAGGAGGTGCTTTTTCTTTAGGAAAGATAATGATATTGTTAATGAAACGAAACTCGCTTTAGCCAGCCTAATGAGCAATTCGATCTAACATGAAAGCCCCAAAGGTGATATTTTTAGAAGGCTCATCACGATGAATTAGTAACGACATGCACCTATTGTTTGTATATTAGACCGTACACTTTACCACTGGAAATTCATGAATAAACCACTATAATGACCTTCCTGTCATCTTTACCAACATGTTTCGATAGAACAACACCGCACATAATTATCCAACGAGACAAGGTGATGATTATCACTTACCATTAACAAGAAAATTATTGGCTCAGAAAGCTTTTGTTCTCTGAACTGGAATTCTTAAAGCAATGAAATTAAAGATCCCCTAGTCTCAATAATTTATAATGTAAATTTGTATATAATATATGCTCAGTCAATAACCTCCTACCAACAAGATAAGCCTTAGCAAAATGATACCTATATACACAAAGGAAAAAATACTGAATGTTAGAATTTGAACAGTTACCTAACGATCCCATATTCGCTTTTGTTCCCGATCTTCACATTCTTGTCTCTCTCTCTCTCTCTCTCTCTCTCTCTCTTTCTCTCTCTTCTCTCTCTCTCTCTCTCTCTTTCTCTCTCTCTTTCTCTCTCTGTCTCCTGGTCTATGTCCCTGTCTCTCTCCCTCTCTTTGTCTCTCTGTCTCTCTGTCTCTCTCTGTTTCTCTGTCTCTCTGTCTCTCTCTGTCTCTCTGTCTCTCTGTCTCTATCTATCTCTCCCTCTTTCTTTTTACGAATTTACTCAGGCATACAGTAAATTGCAGCTTTCCCTGTTTTATTATTATACTGATACAACAATTATTATAACGACAAATCTGTATTTATATTTATGTAACTAAGGGTGCGTTTATCGGGTCTTGCCACTAGATATCGAACCCCACTATCGAACCCCACTATACGAAAGTGATTTTCGGGATGTCGCGTTTATCGTCTCCTCACAATTCAAAATAAAGGCCTTATCTCTGCGCAGCTGCTTTGCGCCGTTTGACCCTGGAAGCAGAAAGTTGCTCGGAGGTCAACTAGGGCATAGCACATGAACCGGAAATTAGCCGGGGAAGGTCCGATTTGTAAGTGGGGTTTAAAACAGCTTTGCGTTTATCATGTCTCAAAATCGTGATTCTGACTGTATGTCACATTCAAAACACACCTTTTTGCGTCTTTAGATATGCCCATATCTAAAGACGTTTACAAAAGGCTTTGCGTTTATCACCTTCAAAATTTGCCTAAAAGACGTTTGAGAAACCTGATTCTAGGCAAAAATTTGGTCAATAAACGCTCTGATGTAGGGGTTTGCGCCATGCAAGCGTTGACTTCTGACGCATGCCTCTTCGTTTCATCGCATGCATTTAGGTAAAAAATGTTTCGTTATCATTTTCAGTTCTTCAATATTACTATTTTGTCTTTATACAATCTTATTACATTGTTTTATGTCATTATTGAATTTACATGTACCTTGTATATGTTTGAATATGCTTATATTGAACGGAAATAAATAAATAATAAATCTTAATCACTGCCAAGGCTACCACCTTAGTTCGTTTCTCTAAACGGAGCATCGAGAAAACATTTTCTACGGCGGTAAAAATCTGTTATTTAAAAACAAAAGAAGACTTATAATAGATAATTACAAAGAAGTAGAACTTCTTCTTTCTAACGTTCTTCTGTCACCACGCAATATAATATAAAGATGTTTTCAAAATCATAGACAATCGAGAGAAAGTAAGACTGAATTCCATTTTCTATGTACCAAATACGATGAAATATACAATATCGAACATTAATGTCACATGAAACTAGGAACATTTATACCTCTGTAATACCAACGAGATCGACCTTAGCCCGACAACAGACCGAAGTTTTTTAATAAAAACGACATTGCTCTGAATGGCCAAGAATTGGACGGTTCAGAGTCGGCATGTGTCCGAGGTGTTACAAGTATTGTAGATGCGGTGATATAATAAGTTCTACTTTGAGGAGGAAAAAATGTTTCATCACGTCTGGATGGATCCAGGATATGAGCTATAATTTATGTAATATTTTTCACCAGTTCTGATCCGCTGTACTTATGATTATTAAATGACACAATCCCTACGTTATATTGCTTCTATCACAATGGTTATGACAAATTTGATGGTGAAGGTCGCAATATTGATCGCGGGGCACTGATGAGAAACGTAATGTCCATCACTTTCCAATTTCAATAGATATATTGGTACTTAGCTGGGAGACAATATTAAATTCATACTAGGTAGTCATCAATATAAGAGTTCATGTATACATCAAGGTGAGCGCTTTACAGATCATATTATATTTTTATCACACTTATCGGATTTCATGCTAGAAAATGAGGAAAGATCCCAAATATTCAACGAAGACTGTAGTAAAAAAAAATGTTTCCTTGCGTTCGAAAGTCATGTATTCGTGGGAGGGAAGCTCCTATTAATTTTCATCCTTTTTAAAAATCTAAGACGTTTGATGATTTGTATGTGAGTGTAGTATTAACTCTAGGCTACCTATAAACAGTGACATGTCCCTGGTATAATAGAGCAGACATGCACAGTATAATTATATAGATACACCAAAAACATTACAATTCGTCATTGTTGTGAATATTGTGTCTAATGTTGCGTATTGATGAATGGTACGTTTATAGCTAAGTGTCATATGTTATTGTTCAAAAAAATAATGTTGTTTGCTATTGTTGCATCAGCACTTTGCTCAGTATACTTTAAAAGCGTTTATCTAAGAAACGGAATAATTTTTTAGTTTGTATTTATTTGTTTCTTTTTGATACATTAAATGTTTGCAATGGATAATAAATTGTGCGTTTTATGTCATGCCGTGTTCAGAGTAATATTAACAATTAAATGATGTCATTCCATCATTTAGTCTGGTTGGGGGCTCATATAGAAATATCGCTAATATTACAAATTAGACATTTCAAGTTATAAACTCATTTAAATGAGCAACAGCAGCGCAATAATTTATAATCTCGTTTGTGGCGGATTAAAGCAGGTGTATATACTGAGAGGACATTATCTGATATTTGGGACACATCAGGTTATAACAGGAATTATGAAATGCGTAAAGAGTTTGGGACTGTGAGGGGTGGATGTCCCCTCCCCTCCTCTTTTCTCTCTCACTTTCTCTCTCTCTCTCTCTCTCTCTCTCTCTCTCTCTCTCTCTCTCTCTCTCTCTCTCTCCCTTTCTGTAATATACCCACCCTATTTCTTTCTCTCCCCTCTATTTTCTGCCTCTTTCTTTTTTCTCTCCCTTTCTCTCTTGTAGTATTATAATGAGGGGGGGGGGGTACGGCACTTCATGTCCCCGTAATAAATGTCACCGTCAATGAATATATGAAATGACTTTCTACCTATAATTATCAATGTAATTGAAAACGCTAATAACTTTGATCTGCATACGGTATCCATTCAATCCCGCTTTCATTTGACGAATTATACCCTCTGCATCATAATTCGCAGATTATTCCAATATAGGTGAACTAATACCGATCAATTACCGAGGCACGAATCTTCGCGGACGTGCACGTACTATTCTAACAGACAAATACGACTGCTAAATAATTCCATTTTGTGATTGAATCATTGATGGATCGCACTTATAAATAACCACAAAGACAATTGATCCCATGTAAATCACTATTCCAAAGGGTTATATATGAACCTTCTGGGCTATTTATTTCTCTCTTTTCCGTCCTTAAGTATTTCGGTTCATTTTAAAATGGAATTATATGTTTCCAACAATGGTAAAGTTATTAATTCGATTGTAATTAAAAATGCCTCTTAAGATATATTGTGGTTGGTGCTTCTATCATTTACTTCTATCATAAAACGTTGCGATTGATCTCAATCAATCGCAAGTCCTCCAATCAATCGCAAGTTTGCAGTCTCCTATCTCGTATGTACATAGTTGCGACTTGCGATTATTATTAATCGTAAAAAGTTGCGATTGATATCAACTCTTTATACGCCTAGGTGATAAGGCCTTGCAAAATGAAAGAGATGAGTCATATGGCCATCAATGATAACTTTCGGGTTTTTTCTTCTCCTCATATTCAGTTTATACTCCACTCAAGAATAAAAACATTAATTTTCAACCACTTAAAAGATAATACCTGGTGATTTCTTGCAATTTAAAATTGAACGAACTGATTTCATTACATAAATGGGCTTGTTAGATTTTAGATTTTGGTTAAAATTATTTTGTTTCGTTCCAAATTTTCTCAATGTTTATAGTTGCGCTCGATTATAATTACCATCTCTCTCGCTATCACACCACCCTAACACCGTCGTTAATATACAGCCGTCGTCATCACTATCACCACTATACCACCATCATCATCTCATCATCATCGTCGTCATCCCCACCATCACCACTAGCATCACTACCACCACCATCATCATCGTCATCATCGTCATCACCGTCATAACCATCACCACTATCACCACCACCACCGCCATCATCGTCATCATCATCATCGTCATTACCATCATTACCATCATCACTATCACCACCACCACCGCCATCATTATCATCATCGTTATCACCATCATCACCATCACCACTAGAATCACTACCACCATCATCATCTCATCATCATCGTCGTCATCCCCACCATCACCACTAGCATCACTACCACCACCATCATCGTCATCATCGTCATCACCGTCATAACCATCACCACTATCACCACCATGGCACCACCGCCATCATCGTCATCATCATCATCGTCATTACCATCATTACCATCATCACTATCACCACCACCACCGCCATCATTATCATCATCGTTATCACCATCATCACCATCACCACTAGAATCACTACCACCACCATCATCATCGTCATCACCATCATCAACATCACCACTAGCATCACCACCATCGTCGTTGTTGTATATCTTTCTTTTAGTTCACTATTTGCTATTTCACCTTAATTATATATAAACATGACCATTTATACAATATTTAGGAAGACAACCTGCCTCTAAAAAAATACAAAGTTGGGGAAAACCCATGAAGGCCATGAGGATCAAATTTTACTCAAATATTCGCTATTTAGCGTGTTAAACTCATTGTTATGTTTTTTTTGTTTTTTTGGTAGTGTTGAAGCTTGCGGTAGAGCTTCATTGTAATTACAGATTGAAAGAATCTGAAACAGGCTGGAATGTCTATTTTTTTAAAATACAAACCGGTATCATTTAAGTGCATTGAACAAGAATTTCTAAATTTCTGCTCATACTATGTATTGGATAAATAGATAAATGCAAATTGTTGACAATTTCGAGTTGAGGTTTTGGATTAAAATACACATATATATTCCGCAACAAAATCTTCCAAGATTCTAATTCATATTTCTTCACAATACGATTTACTCCATAATTAAGCCACCTGTATCTCCTACAAATCATTCCTAATATGAAAACGAATGAGATACTTACAGCAAGTCCTATATTTTTGTCTCCCGCCATTTTGAGCTCCTTGCCTTCTGTCTGTTCCTTTCCAAGTCTTAGGGTGTACTCCCAAGGTAAGAAGGAGTTGGTGTTACTATGGTAACAATAAGTCTACAATCCTGATTGGCAAACAGTATCAGTCAAGTCTTGACGTACGACCAACCAAAGAGAGAAAGCTTGCGCGTGTCCAAACATCAAAAGGAATCATACCTTGATGGGCGATGGGCATATGTAGGTCATTTAGCAGTCAGGTAAAAAAAAAAAAAACACCACCACCACCATATTTATCTTTATACAATTTAGGATGAACTGTTGAACTCGGATGTGAATTTAATAACACTCTTTTCGCATGCTGTTTGACTCCATCATGTTTTCTGATATTCTAGAAAGAAGATTATCAGGCGAAGGTAGACCTCAGTGATGTAAATAACAGAGTTTACGATTTACTGAAGACGATGTTACCGATGGCTTTGGCGAAGTTGTATGTTGTATATAGACGGAAGTTGTATGTTAAAAAGTCACGATCGTAATGATAAATATAACTTGTGAGTTGAATCCCAGAAAGCTTTTTTTTGTAAATGTCTATTAGTAGACAAGATGCCCTCGGTGTGTCTAGGGGAATTTCGTTGAGTTCAGACGTCCTGATGCTCCGCTCATCTCAACCAAAATGAAGCTATTTCGCGAAATATGAAGAAAATGCTGTTTTTGTTGCTAGGAAGATAGAATGATGAAGGTCATGTTACCTCCACATTTACCGCCTTTGAATAATCAACACGTCGTAGGAATTTGAAGTTGATGCAGCAGCTGGCAAAGCAAATTGTTTTGCAAGACGATGCAAAAATAGCCGAAATGATTTCTAATCGATAGTCAATATACTCCTTTCCGCCAATTATCACTCCAGCTATTAGAAGACCCCGTCGCCTTGCATACTGCAGCAATCTAATCGAACACCTAAATCACGCTCATGCGCCCGGATGCAGGCGAGATGCAGTTAACACTATCCTGTTAGATTGGGAAGCCGTCCAATCACAATCCTCGTTGTCATGGTATCAGAACGCCATCTCGTACGCTCTACCGTCTGCTAATATTTGTTCGCGAGGTCTATTCTGTCACTGTGGATGTTCCCATGCAGAGGGGAATTTTGCCATCGACTGTCAATTAATTTCCCCAACAATAGCCATCACTTACCATCTTTTATAATTTGATGAAGTAGACGAAGTAGAAAGAGAAGTAGTAGAAGAAGAAAACGAAGAAGAAGAAGAAGAAGAAGATTGGAAAAAGAAGTAGAAGAAGAAAAAGAAGAAAGAAGATGATGACGACGATTTTGTTGATGAGGATCACGATGATGATGATGATAATGATGATGATGATGATGATGATGAATTTGATAATGACTGCTTTCGTGCTAGATGTCTCCGTATGCCTTCTTCTATCTCATTTCCTTTTTCTATTTGATTTCGGTCAATCTTGTTGACGCATTAATCATGTCCACGTCCAAGCCATATTAACCGGTATTACTCTATCTCAGTCTCTCTGTGGAATAACTCTCTCTCTCTCTCTCTCTCTCTCTCCCTCTCTCTCTCCTTTTCTTTCGTTCTCTCTCTCTCTCTCTCCCCCTCTCTCTTCTTTTCTTTCGTTTTTTCTCTCTCTCTCTCTTTCTCCCTCTCTCTCTCTTCTTTTCTCCCCCTCTCTCTCTCTCGCTCTCCCTTTCGCTATGTCTGTCTTTAATAGTCTCTGTTTCTCTCCCTCCCCTCTCTCACCATCTCTCTTTGTATTTCTCTCCCTCGCTTCTTTATCCCCTTATTTTCCTTCTCTGCGCTCCCCATCTCTCTGTATCTATCTCTGTATCTCTCTCTACCTTTCACTCATTTCTCTGATTAGCTTTTTTGCGGCCTTCTGTAACGCTGACTATTCCCATACAAAAGTAATCCAAACACCTGTTCTCATCTATCACAAGTTCAAAATAGTAGATAGTTTGTGTGTCTGTATGATGTACGAAGTTCATTTTCTATCTAGTGCTACATAATACCTCTACTTATTACATCGATAATTCAATGAGTATAATTCTTTGAGTGGAATTGCAAAATGTTTTACAGATTGCTACACCATTTTAAATAGAAATGTACACGTCTTTGCAGTTCTCTCTCTTTCCCTCTTTCTTTCTACCCTTTGTCCCTTTTTCTTCTATCTATTTCTTTATATTTTCTCTCTCTCGCTCTTTCTCTCTCTCTCTCTCTCTGTCTCTCTCCCTCTCCCTCTCCCCCTCTTCCTCCCTCTTCCCCTCTTCCTCTATTTCTCGGAGAAGTCATGGTATTGTTATTTGTATCAATTTACTATATATTTATGTATGAATGCATTAATGATGTGACTCAGTATAATGTTCTTTTATGTACCGTCTACTGACAGATGAAATGGTGTTGAATCATTCTTGTTCAATATTACCTTAAAGCTTATCTACCGTAGTTTACAGGAGGGATTAGACCGCTCTGCAAGGTCACTGGACAGGTGGTTATCTCATCAACTCAGCTCTCAGTTAACATAAGAAAAAGAGGATCATGGGGGACCAATGGTCACCGATTAGGCATTGTTTGTTATATAGAGGGCGCAAGTAGCTACCAGTAGTGCAGTGGGCCTTTAACACCTTTCTGGCTCTCGGCATACAATGTCATTCTTATGCTAATATTTAAATTGTAATTAGCAACGAACTTATGTATTATTATGAACAATAAAACTTTAATATTTAGAATGATTGTCTTTTCTCCAAAATCACCTTTTCTTCGAAAAATATTCTTTAAAAAAAAGCTGTATATTTCTCAAAATAAACCAGAAGAAATTTAGAAACTTTTTCGTTTTATTTCATGTTAATCCATTCGTCATATAAAAACACACATAATTATAACATTGATATTTACAGATAAGTAAAGAACATACAGACAACATAACGAAAGATAAAACATAAAATACAATTAAATATTCGAATGAGGAAACCGGTGAGAAACTGAATATCACCACAAAGAATCCAACCATCTTCTTCTCTCATTAACCCAATTAATATCATTCACCAACCAACGTTCTTTCTATTGACATGATGACACTACACAAAGGCAAATTAAAAGTTATTATGGTGGTAACTGAGAGAATAAATGACAATGTAGATATCACATTAATAATGCATCTCATCGATTGTCAACCACTTGCTTGTCCCATTTAGTACAAACGCTATAATTTGACAGATAAGGAATGATGGGATGATAAAATGATGGAATGGTGATTATCAGTTCGTGTAGTTCTACTTACGATGCACTAGTTTCAGCTTCTAGGTTGTGGGAATATAGTGTAACGATCCACCCTCACAATATTATACTTGTAACTGATTTCCATGCTAGCTGTCATATCTTTCAGTATCTGAAACTTCTGAAACATGCAGCTTGAATCATCCCATCCTTTCTTTTCTCAATCTTGTCTTATTTCTGTCTTTTCTCCTCTGTCTCCCTCTCTCTCCCTCTATGCTCTCTCTCTCTCTCTCTCTCTCTCGCTCACTCCGAGATCTTGCATTCAGCCAGCCTATTTCTCATCACTTCCTTCACATTCTTCATTTATAGGTAAACATTATCTCGATTAACCTTATTCCAGAAGTACCGCTGCGAGTTATAGTCTGGATTGTGTGTGTTTTGTGTATAAATACCTGCTTACAAGCAAAAGTTTCTAGTTTGAAGAAAGTCTAGTATGAACGGCTTCACGTATAAACACAACCGGAAGCATACGCGTACGTTGCTTCCGACACACTACCCACTAGATCCAATCTATAAATCGTAGTAATATGCCTAAGAATTCATTGTTTATGAAATGTGTGATTAAGTTGAATATTTATTCAGATAGACAAGCAAATTATCCCTAATATCATATTATTGTCTTAACAATCTCTTGTCAAAAACGTAAGAGAATTCGAATTTTGTACTTCTTTAGTTTATTAACTAGGATCGGAATTCAGGTTGTGCGGTTTACGCGCATTATGTAAATATGACAGTGAATCCCAAATTCATGCTATGAAATATTTGTTTGTTAAATTTCTGCTCTTATTACAAAGGAGAGCTTGAAATATTTATCTTATGCCTTGTATAAAGTTTCAAATAAACACATTGTAATGTTTCCATTACTTAAGCAGTGTAACGTTTGGAATAAATAAGCATTTAATATTGAATTAATAAGTATTTTGAACTATATAAAGACCAGTTGCAATGTGTACGCGCGCATCTAGCTCTGTGCATGATCGCGGCGTTGCTTACAGCACGCGCATAGATTTCCCCCACGTACGCATGATTTCCCCCACGTACGCATAGAGTGTATATATAAGATAGATTTTTCGGATTCGAGGCGATTCGGGAGAATCGCGCAACAAACCAGGTCCAACGTTGACTCGCAAGAGCCGCCAAACAAATTAAGTCCAAACTTTAACACAGAACTTTAAATAACATTGGCTTATTTCTAAACTCTCCTTCATAAACAAACAGGTATAGTTTCTTAAAATTAATATAAAGTCCATTACCAATTTAGTGTTATAACAGACAGATTTTATAAACATGAGTATTAACTTGTGTGTATATATATATATATTATATAAAGACTTATTAAATTTGTAACAGTGGCGATAATATTATTGATGTAAAGAAAGAAATGATTAAATGAAGTTTTTGTTTTTGTGTTCAAACTAAAATCTTGTCTCAAACAAATGTGTTCTTCTTTTTGAGTGTCAATTTAGTATTCCATTTACCTGTATTTCTATAGTCATATATTTTGACTGAAACGAATTAAGATTTTATAAAGATACATCGCTTCCTATCTCTCTTTCACGAGATATGGCCACAAATACCAGGCTCGCCGTGAGGGAAGGTAGGGGCGATGCGGTCGACGCCCTCAACGAGGGCGACGGCCGGTACAAAAATGGTGTCAGAAGTGGGATGGAAATACAGGTAGAGACTAATGGAATTGAGGAAAACACATCCAAATTGAACCAAAATAGTAAATGGGAACAAGATGAACTTGAAGAAAATTTGGCAAAGTGTCAGGAAATGAAAAATGACTCGAATAATTCTTCAGAAGAAGAAACCACACAAGTGAAGAAATCTAATTCTAGAAAGAAACGAAGCGTGCAAAACAGAATTCTTTCTAGACTAACCCAACTAATGGAACAAATGATGACTTTGACTAACAAATCTCGGACGCGGCAACGCGCTGGTTCAAACTCTTCTACTGAAGAAATAACTGATGCCAGTTCTATTGACAGCGAAGTGATGTTGAACTTCGACAAACACACCAACGACAAAACTAACAAACAAAACAAAACCAACCTTGCAGAACCAAAACTAGAACGAAACGAAACTAACTCTGAACAAAAACGAACACAGAACCAAACACGGCCAAACATAATGCCCGACAAATATGATGGTAGTTCGGATTGGCACGATTACGAAACTCACTTTGATTCATGCAAACTAATCAATGACTGGGAGGATGAAAACGCAGTCAAGTACTTGTCTGCTAGTCTTAGAGGACCTGCTCTAAGATTGCTTAATGAACGTCCACATAAACATTGGACTTATGACGACTTGAAAGCAAGACTATCTCTAAGATTTTCTTCCTCTAAACAAGCAGAAACCTATCTGCTGGAACTGCGTGGTCGCAAGAGACGACCTAATGAATCGCTCCAAGAGCTCGGACGAAACATTAGAGAATTGACAACGAAAGCTTATCCTGATTTTGACTTTGACGGAATTGACCGTCTTGCTAAAATCCACTTTACGGATTCAATTCAAAGCCCAGAGATTCGAACGGGTATTTTCCATGCCAAATCAAAGACCTTAGATGATATGATTGAAGCTGCAATCACCACAGAGACATTTCTGTTAACCGAATCTGAGCGTTCTTGGAAAAAGAACACTCATAATAGAATTGTTGGCACAGAACAAGCGAGTAAAAGTGACTTACAAAGAACAATTGATATTGCCGTGGAACAAGCCTTGCTTAAACAAAACAACCAGCAATATCAAAACGACAAATCCACCAGAACTAACAGAAACCACCAACCGAAACGTTCATGTGCTACTATTGTCAGAAACCAGGTCACATTGCAAGAAACTGCTTCAAGAAACAATCTGACAGGACACAGGCACCTACTAACGAACAACAACGACCTAGAGGAACACAACAAAACTTCCGCCAGACACGAGGCCATTTAAACGACAATGGGCCGCCCATGGGGGCACTGGCGCGGCCAAACCAACGTTAGAACCAGCCCAAATACATGGAAACGAAAACTATGATAACATGACTTCAATTAACCTTCCTTTGAGCAATTCGAACTGTAATGGTTTATTTGTAAAAGTTAGTATCCATGGCCAAGAGCATAGATTTCTGATTGATACTGGAGCCTCTGATTCTTATATATCTAAACAAGTTTATGAGAACATTCCTAGTAAGGATAGACCTTCATTGCGAGAATCAGATAAGAAAGCAAAACTTGCTAATAATACCCCTCTGCCCCTATTTGGTGTTGTGGCACTAGAATTGAAGATAGGCCCAACTTGCGGGTTTACTAAGTTGTTAGTCGCAGATATAAGTAATGATGGAATTCTGGGCCTAGATAATTTGTGCAAGATGGGTGCCAAATTAGATCTTACGACTTTCCAACTTTCTACTAAGTGGGGAGACCTAGAGTGTGAACGAGAAAATGGTGAAACCCTGTTCTGTCGTATCAGTACGTCAGAAACAGTCACCATCCCTGCAGGACATGAAGTTCTGATTAGAGGAACCATGAAAGATAGAATGAAACCAAATAAACTAGGCATTGTAGAAATGGATAACGCCCAAAACCATCTAACCAAAAGTGGTTTAATTGTGGCAAGAACTTTGGTGAGAACAGGGAGTGAAGAAATTCCCGTCAGAATTTTCAATCCATCACCGTCAAACAAGGTGATTCGGAAAAACACCCACCTTGGTACAGTAACAATTGTAGAAGAAAGTGAAGTTGAAACGACACCAAAGTACACAAGATCAAACCTAGACAAAGTACCCGAACACTTACGAGACCTATTAGAGAGAAGCACAAAAGAACTTCCTGAACAGTACCATGAGGACATAGCAAGTTTGCTAATAGAATTTCAAGACGCCTTCTCAAAAGGAGACAATGATATTGGGAGAACAAATCTTGTTGAGCATTCCATTAATACGGGAACGCAGCATCCCATTAGACAAAGACCCAGAAAGCATCCTTTAGGACAAAGAACGGAAATCAAAGAACAAGTAACAGAACTATTAGACAAAGGACTAATAGAACCTACAGATAGTCCTTGGGCCTCTAACATAGTTCTCGTAAGAAAGAAGGACGGTACACAGAGATTTTGTATAGACTATCGATTACTTAATGTGGCAACAATCAAAGACGCGTATCCTTTACCGCGCATCGACGAGACACTTGATGCTCTATCAGGTGCTCGTTGGTTCTCCACACTAGACTTAGCCAGCGGCTATTGGCAAGTTGGACTTGACACTGACGCGAGAGAAAAATCTTCTTTCTTAGCGGGCGGGGGACTCTACGCCTGGAACGTTATGCCCTTCGGATTATGTAACGCCCCCGCCACTTTCGAACGATTAATGGACAAAGTACTCTCAGGATTACACTGGGAAACACTTCTGGTGTACCTAGATGATGTTATCGTTTTTGGTAGTTCGGTACCCGAAGAACTTGCTAGACTAAAACAAGTGTTTCACAGACTTAGACAAGCGAATCTAAAACTTAAACCTAAGAAGTGTCACTTGTTCAAAACAAAAGTATCCTATCTTGGACATGAAGTGTCTGACATGGGAATATCGACTCAGACAGAGAAAACCGAGGCTATAAAGAACTGGCCTACACCGACAAATGTGAAAGAAGTGAGAAGCTTTCTCGGACTAGCTTCATACTATAGACGTTTTGTTAAAGATTTCGGATCTATTGCGAAACCACTTCATCAATTAACTGAGAAGCACCGTGCTGGGCGATTCGAATGGAGTCCCGCCTGTCAAGATGCATTTGATGAACTTAAACATAGATTAACGTCTGCCCCGATTTTGGCATATCCTTGTGCAGAAGGTGAATTTATCCTCGACACTGATGCTAGTAACGACGGTATCGGTGGGGTATTATCACAAATCCAAGACGGACATGAACGGGTAATAGCTTACGGAAGCAAAGTCCTTAGCAAATCAGAGAGAAATTACTGCGTAACTCGGAGAGAACTATTGGCAGTAGTAACTTACTTGAAACACTTCAAACAGTACCTTTATGGTCGGCATGTTATTGTAAGAACAGACCATGGAGCCTTAAGATGGCTCACCAACTTCAAACAACCGGAAGGTCAACTCGCGCGTTGGCTGGAAGTAGTATGTGCATATGATATTGAAATAATACATAAAGCTGGTAGAAGCCATGCAAATGCAGATGCACTTTCGCGACGACCTTGTAAACAATGCGGTAGAGAAACTGAATGTGAAGCAGAACTTGCGAGAACTGATATCGGTCGAACTTGTGTTATTGAATTGACAGACACAAATAACAATGTTGAGATTAGAAAGGCTCAACTCGAAGACCCGAATATCAAGCCGGTGATAGAAGCACTTGAACGAGGTACGAAACCTACAAAGGAGGAAATGTCACCTCTGTCGTACAAAACGAAAGTGTTATTAGGACACTGGGAACAGCTAGAGATTCACGACGGTGTTCTTTTCCGAAGATGGGAATCGGAGAACGGTAGAACTATTAGGAAGCGACAAGTATTGCCAAAGCAGAAAATTCGTGATGTATTAGAGGAACTGCACTCGGGTGCATTTGGTGGACATTTGGGATCCACCAGAACTTTGAAGAACGCTCAGATGCGTTATTATTGGGTAGGAATGAAGGCGGATATTAGATCTTTCATTCGTGAATGTTTGGCATGTAATAAAAGAAAGTCGCACGGTCGAAAACAGAGAGCTCCTTTGCAGCAAAGACGTTCAGGAAGTCCAATGGAACGAATTGCACTTGATATTCTAGGACCACTTCCCACCACTGAAGATGGCAACAAGTACATTTTGGTAATAGCAGATTATTACACAAAGTTTGTAGAGGCCTATGCCATTCGTGATGAAAAAGCCCATACTGTGGCTCGGAAATTGGTAGAAGAATTTGTTTGTCGTTACGGTGTACCAAAAGAAATACACTCTGATCAAGGTCGGAACTTTGAATCAAACCTATTCAAGGAGGTTTGTAAGATTCTAGGTGTAAAGAAAACAAGAACAACTGCTTACAATCCCAAGTCGGATGGGATGGTAGAACGCTTTAACAGAACTTTGTTAAATATGCTAGTAACTATGATTGATCCTGACAAACACCAGCAAGACTGGGATAGATATATTCCTTTTGCTACCGCCGCGTACAGAAGCACCGTACACGAAACAATACAGGAAACACCAAACATGATGATGTTTGGCCGAGAAGTTACCCATCCTGTAGACCTTTCGCTTGAGCAAGCAACTTCAGAACTAAACACTGATTATGCTCAGGATCTACGAAACAGAATGGATAGTATGTACTCGAGGGTAACAGAACAAAGTGACAAAAACTTGAGACGACAAAAGCGAAACTATGATAGGCACACAAATGACGAAACGTTCACTGTAGGTCAATTTGTTTGGCTTCGCCATGACCAAAGGAAGAAAGGTATAAGTCCAAAACTAACGAACCGATGGGATGGACCTTTTCGAGTAATAACCAAACTATCCAATGTAACTTATCGCATTCAGCGAACACCCAGAACACCCCAGAAGATCGTTCACTACGATCGTCTGAAACTATATGAAGGACCAGAACTCGACGCTTGGAAGAAACCAAAAACACAAAGAACCATCATATGTGATGTCGATGAGACACTCAACAATCACGACGGAACTCGTAACAAGGACAACAATACTAACACCACCGAACTTGACAGACGTTATCCCCAAAGAAATAGACGTCCGCCTACTTATTTTTACTAATGAAACTATGATCATTTCTAATTTCGGCACATGAAGTAATAAATATATTTTGATATTATCACAACTAGACTCATCACCATGGTTTTCAAGTGCCGAACATGTAGATACCAGAACAGCAACAAGGAGGTTGTAAGACGTCACGAGAAAGATAGACATGATGTCAGCCTGAGTAAGCCTAGAGATAGAAGCCGTTCCCCTATCCGAACCTCCTTTACCAAATCAGCCTTTAGCCCGTATCGAAGACGCCTCACTACCCCAGATTTTACCATTCGACACCCCACTCGCGCCATCCTCCCTGGACTTCACCGAGCCCGCCCACTTCCTTCGTTGACCCCTACCCCATCTTTGATCTCCCCAATTAAGGACACCATCCCGATGGACATTGATGACTATGCACTTTCCCCGGAAAACACACCACCAACTTCCCCTCTTCCAGAAACTCCGTCCCTGACCGAAGACACTCAACAACCACCTCTCCCAGAAACTCCGTCCCTGGCCGAAGACACTCAACCACAACCAGCTTCCCCTCTTCCAGAAATCGAACCCCATCATGATCATGACGACGGAATCAGCATTAACACAAACCCTGTAGACGAATGGTACGAATATACAAATGACTCCGAAACTCAAACACAGGACCCAGAAGACCACATCGCAAAACTAATGAACAGGTGCCGCATTTCCCTCAAAAACAACCCAGACTCCTCACGCACCGAGGCCTGTAGCGAAACCCAGAGTTACTTTCATACACTTAATAGTAGGGAAAGTGTTGCCCGGGTCGTAGAGACTCTCCACCTTCCGGAGGAGGATTCTACACAAGATTTGAATATAAAGTTCGGAAGTTTTAAAGCATTCTCTACCCTATCTTTCCTCTTCTTATCTTCCTATCAACTTCTTAATCTTTTTCTATCTCTATCCCTACTTCTTATAAATGACAAACTTTGTAACGCCACTGATAAGTATATATGATTATTGTGTGTATATAAGTCAATTGAGCATTACTTTGATAAAGACTTCATGGGGAGGCCAAATTACACAGTTAAGATAATCTTTTTGAGGTGAATTTCAAACCAAAGAATATATACGTCAAATTTTGGCAGGACAAGAGATGTTATTTAAGTAAATGAATATTCGATTAATAGACATGTATGCATTAGGTGATTGATTGATGTTGTTGATGATGATAGGACGTTCCTATCGGGTGATGGATTAAGTACATGAGAGTTATAGTGTTTAAAGGAAGATTAACGGGAGTTGTACTAAAGAGCATCTCTTATATCCTGCCAAATAGACTGCCATTTTAAGAAATTGAGATTACAATTTTATATTGTAGATTTGTGAAATTAAACCTCAGATGTTGATGATTTAATGCATGTTCGTTTTGTTTATATGAAGTCATTATTACGGTGATATTGAAATATGGATATATTATGTATATAGTAACAACATGAAATGCGAGGACGCATTTTATGGAGAAGGAGGCTGTGTAACGATCCACCCTCACAATATTATACTTGTAACTGATTTCCATGCTAGCTGTCATATCTTTCAGTATCTGAAACTTCTGAAACATGCAGCTTGAATCATCCCATCCTTTCTTTTCTCAATCTTGTCTTATTTCTGTCTTTTCTCCTCTGTCTCCCTCTCTCTCCCTCTATGCTCTCTCTCTCTCTCTCTCTCTCTCGCTCACTCCGAGATCTTGCATTCAGCCAGCCTATTTCTCATCACTTCCTTCACATTCTTCATTTATAGGTAAACATTATCTCGATTAACCTTATTCCAGAAGTACCGCTGCGAGTTATAGTCTGGATTGTGTGTGTTTTGTGTATAAATACCTGCTTACAAGCAAAAGTTTCTAGTTTGAAGAAAGTCTAGTATGAACGGCTTCACGTATAAACACAACCGGAAGCATACGCGTACGTTGCTTCCGACACACTACCCACTAGATCCAATCTATAAATCGTAGTAATATGCCTAAGAATTCATTGTTTATGAAATGTGTGATTAAGTTGAATATTTATTCAGATAGACAAGCAAATTATCCCTAATATCATATTATTGTCTTAACAATCTCTTGTCAAAAACGTAAGAGAATTCGAATTTTGTACTTCTTTAGTTTATTAACTAGGATCGGAATTCAGGTTGTGCGGTTTACGCGCATTATGTAAATATGACAGTGAATCCCAAATTCATGCTATGAAATATTTGTTTGTTAAATTTCTGCTCTTATTACAAAGGAGAGCTTGAAATATTTATCTTATGCCTTGTATAAAGTTTCAAATAAACACATTGTAATGTTTCCATTACTTAAGCAGTGTAACGTTTGGAATAAATAAGCATTTAATATTGAATTAATAAGTATTTTGAACTATATAAAGACCAGTTGCAATGTGTACGCGCGCATCTAGCTCTGTGCATGATCGCGGCGTTGCTTACAGCACGCGCATAGATTTCCCCCACGTACGCATGATTTCCCCCACGTACGCATAGAGTGTATATATAAGATAGATTTTTCGGATTCGAGGCGATTCGGGAGAATCGCGCAACAAACCAGGTCCAACGTTGACTCGCAAGAGCCGCCAAACAAATTAAGTCCAAACTTTAACACAGAACTTTAAATAACATTGGCTTATTTCTAAACTCTCCTTCATAAACAAACAGGTATAGTTTCTTAAAATTAATATAAAGTCCATTACCAATTTAGTGTTATAACACAGATTTTATAAACATGAGTATTAACTTGTGTGTATATATATATATTATATAAAGACTTATTAAATTTGTAACAGTGGCGATAATATTATTGATGTAAAGAAAGAAATGATTAAATGAAGTTTTTGTTTTTGTGTTCAAACTAAAATCTTGTCTCAAACAAATGTGTTCTTCTTTTTGAGTGTCAATTTAGTATTCCATTTACCTGTATTTCTATAGTCATATATTTTGACTGAAACGAATTAAGATTTTATAAAGATACATCGCTTCCTATCTCTCTTTCACGAGATATGGCCACAAATACCAGGCTCGCCGTGAGGGAAGGTAGGGGCGATGCGGTCGACGCCCTCAACGAGGGCGACGGCCGGTACAATAGTCTATATGGAGCGGTATAGAATGGTACAGAAATCAAGACCTTGTAATCGACACCTTCTTTATTCCATTCTAATTATTCGGTGAATTCAATTTAGAATTCTTGAATACGTCTATAATGTATACCATGAGGCTAATATGATGCTCAACAAACACTCATGACAACTGCTAATAAGTGACAGAAGACAATCTCTAAGCAAATTACGTTTACTTTCTTAAATGAAACTTATTTACAATGAATGAAACTCATTTACGAAAGATGCATGCCGGCATGACCATCACTCTCCACCTCCTCCCTGCCTGCCTGCCTCCCTATGCCTTAATTTCTGTCTCCCTCCCTGTCTCCATGCCTTCCTCACTCCCTCTCCACTTCTCTCTCTCTCTCTCTCCTCTCTCCTCTCTCTCTCTCTCTCTTTCCCTATCTCCATTGTGTTATATGTGTTATCGCCTCTCTCCCTGACGGCTTTATTAATTTCTATCCAACAATTTAAAAGTTCATTATATTTATGAATTCGCCCGGCCCCCAGTCATTCCTCTATTATTGACGAAATATATATCGACTGATGAGATTAATCAATTATTAATTATGTATATAAACTATGTATTTCTATGTAGAAGGAAATTGATAGAAAAACAAGAAAATATCAAAATTGTAAAAAACATTAGCCGATTGGACGCGTTTATGCGCAACGATGCTTTGCCACCGTGAAAAGGGAAAAATAGTAATGACAATAGTATACACATGATGAATATCAATTCGATAAATATAATCCAAGGATGTATTACAGGAGACGGCACGTACGAAAATATGGTTAGGGGAAATTAATGTCAATTTTTTAAAGTTTCTTTTTTAATTTGCCTTGATCGTTTTAAGGTTGCACGTTCATTATAGAATGATGACAGAATCAAATAAGAAGTCGATGATAAACAGACACAGAGCAGATCGATACACGGATTCTTGCTCGACTCTCATATATATATTTAAATATTTTATATATATATATATATATATATATATATATATATATATATATATATAAATATTTTTTTTTTGGGGGGGGGGCGGCAGAGAACTTTTTCAGGTATCCCCAAGTGCCCTTGTTTATTTCTAATAAGTGCCCCTTTACCATTCTCATAAGTGCTCCTTCACCTCTGATAATAGGCCAATTCAAATATGAGTGTTTCCCCTTGAAAAGTGTCCCTTTTCCTTTCCTTTCTAATAAATGCCCCTTCCCCTTCTAATAAGTGCATCTTGTCCTCGCTAATGAGTGCCCCTTTTCATCCCTGATTAGTGCCCCTTTTTATTTCTAATATGTCCCCTTATTCCTTCTGATAAGTGCCCTTTTCCTTTTTACCAAGAGCCCCATCCCCTTCTAGCAAATGCCCCTTAGTAAATGCTCCTTTTCACCCTAATCAACTCCTATTAATATTTGATAGGTGCCCCTTAGACAAGTGGCCTTTGTAATAAGTGCCCTTTTTCATTCTCATAAGTGGCCCTTTTCGTCCCTGGAAAGTGCCCCTTTTCAAGTACAAGATGCCCCGCCACCACTAAAATGGTGCATACTGTGCGTGAATGAATCCTATGACCGGGGTAATTAAGTAAAGCGCTTAGAGACGGTATTCCATATTTTTCATTTTCATTTCTTTACTGTGTCCATATAGGATAATTGTTTATCTTGCTTCAACATAATTATGAACATAGGAACAACATATAATTGACATTCACAGGGCCCTGTTTTAGTATACATTTGATATAATATACATGATCATGATGAATATACATTTAAATACTTTTTCTTCTTCTTCTTCTTCTTCTTCTTCTTCTTCTTCTTCTTCTTCTTCTTCTCCTCTCTTCTATGAAGCGTTATGTGAATCCAGATTATTTATTCATTTATAATCATTATTACGTTCATTATTTATAAGACTATTTTATTTCTTACTACTATTTATTTTGAGTTATATTGAACGTATATGATTGTATATGTTTTTAAATGTATTTTGTATATGTCTGGATGTCCCTCTTTTATCACAAAATCCACTGGTAAGCAATTTTTCATTCACTTTTTGCCTTCTAAATAAGATATGCCTTTTATCGTGTGTGTATTGCATCAGTTGCATGTTTAATTCAGATATAGCAGTGATAACTAGTAACTACTGAATTGCAGCTGTTTTCAAGATTAATTAATCATCCTTGTGGGTACGTACTACTCGGAGTAAAATGGTCATTTTCACTTATAGTTTGTCTCGTCATCAACACCTTAACTCACTTTAACTGGTACCTGAATGCGAGAGAGCGAGAAAGGGAGGGTATTTTTTTTTTTCGCGTCGTCAGCTGACCGTCACTTGAAAAAGGTTGTCTCGACCAGTAGACACTAATCAAAATCATCATGATTTACATAAGAACGTCATTTATACGGTTGCATACATTGCTGCAATCAGCGAATGCCGCCATTACTTCAAAGTCTCGTCTGTCTCTACGTAACGTCCGTACAATGTCATCAGCAAACCGGCTCGACTTGAGCGGTGTTATGCCGCCGATCGCTACTCCTTTTGACAAAGATGAGAATATTCGCTATGACCTGTTGGAAGAAAACATTAATAAGTGGAATAAGATTCCATTCCGAGGTGAGTGTAGGCGCTTACTTTACGTTTAAGAGCCACGTACATATGTACGTACATATGTACGTACATAATAATGATGGAGATGATAAAAATAACGATGATGAGGATAAATGATGATGGGTCTAAATAAAAAATAATGTCAATGACAATGGTAATGATAATGATGAGATGGTGGTGGTGGTGGTGGTGGTGGTGGTGTGGTGATGATGATGGTGATGATGATGATGAAAATAATAACAATATGATGATGATGTGGTGGGCCAGTAAATGAGTTGAAGATGACAAGTTCAAACATAAATGAAACACAGGAAGCTCGGAATTACAGTTGAAGTCCACTTTATTAAATATATATATCAGCCGAAGCTTCAATCGTTGCAAACGACGAGTATTATTATTATTTGAACATGGTAAATAAACTGCTTCTCTCAGAGGCTGGGCGGCCCTATTGATTGAAATTAGCAGCACATCCTACTGAACATGGTAAAGGAATGAAATAAAAACTCAAATAATATCTACTTTCAAATAATATCAACTAAAACTCCCTTCAAACTCCCGCACCTCGCATTTAAATACCGCGGCACCCGATGAGGCTTAGATATTACATGATATTGCCAGCCAACCAGGAGGGCTCTTACGAAGCCAACCAATTGCAAAACGGGATATATCCAATTACCCTTTAGGTCATCCGACCAATTAATTGAGGAGTTATACCTTTAATTAATTATAACCAATGACAAAGCATAATAGATGAGTGTTATCTGATCTAGTCACCGACAGAAATGGGAGGAGTCTATCTCTTCGCGAGAATGTCGCGTCCCCGGCAAAACAGTCTATTGTCTAACTTGTTATTGGAAATGAACACCTGTACATCTTGACGCAGGAATTCATTTCCAACGTGCTTTTCGAAATGAACACTTTAATCTAATGCAAGAATTCAAACCCAGGGGTTGCTTACCCGTTCCCGGCATACTATTGAAAACATAATTAATGCTATTTAACTTTTAGGTGAATACAATTAATCACCCAGCTCGGCTCTTATATGGCTCTAGCGCCCCCTTTAGCCCAAATGAGCGTACTACTACAATGATAATAGTAATAAAAATAATAGTAATAATATTGATGATTATTAAGATAATAATAATTATTAGAAGTAGTAGTATTATTAAATTCATGACACTTACTGTACATAATTAAAACATGTACATTTAGGCCTAAATACAAATGATGACAGAGCTAAATTGGACACAGTCTTGTCAAGACAGATTCACTGCTAAAATAGGATTTAATAATCCTAGATCGTTAGATGGTGGTAAAACAAATATCAAGCAAAGTTATCAAACAAAATACTTAAAGTAATTGCATCTTGTTCCACACATTATAATCTTTGTTCACTACTTGTATCATATTCCAATTTTTTTAAAAAATTTCTATTCGATCAGGTTATGTGGTACAGGGGTCCAGTGGAGAATACATGTATTTAAGCAAGGAGGAGCGAGTTGAAATAGTCAAGCGGGTCCGGAACGCTGTACCCTCTGACAAACTCATCGTAGCTGGATCAGGATGTGAATGTAAGAATTCAAGATTTCATGTTTGAAAAAGGGATAAATTCACCCTTTTAAAATTCTCTCATTCTTGTCTCATTGAAATTAGACGGTTAATTTTGAAATAACTCACTTGTAACTCACTTGATCCAGGATTATTCAGTCTTAGACTGTTCCTATCCATGGTTTTCTATGGTTGGGGTTGTCATCATATTTATCTGGGTCATCTTCCACCAGTTCTCAAGTCCAGATTTGAAGTGATTGATAGTAGTACTCTCCACAACATCGCCTGGAAGACCATTCCACACATTGATTATTCTCTAGCATAAGGATGAGTATTGATATCAGTAAGCTTTTTGTCAGCAAGAATCATTTTATAATTCAGTTCACAGGATTTAAGTTTGAACTACATGTACTTATTTATAAGCCTAGCCTATGACTGAAATGTCTACCAGTAATGTTAGGGAAGGATGCAAGGGATTTTAAGAGTGCTCCGGTTTCCCAGAGAGCAAACATGGCCGACATTGATAGGGAATTAGTCCCCTTGTTGAAACTTTCTATTTTTTAATGGATGCACTGGAACTACATGAAATTAATTGGTTGATGTTCAACCATGATGTCCATGTTTCTCTTCCATTTTCCGTATCCTATTTTATGAAAATTAATATTATCAGAAATGATTGGCAATGAAAATTCAGTTTTTAAATTGCTACCTTGGAAAGGGATCAGTTTGGTGTAATGCTGGTAATTATATAGCTAGTGTCGAGTGGATGTAACCAGTGCAATAACACAATGTATGATAATTAGGAAATAGAATCACACATTGTTAAAGGGGATGTAAACTGACGAGACTATTTTCAATTCTAAATTGTGTTTGGATATCCAGTCAAAGCTGATGTTTCAATTTTCATGATTTCATCTCATCTCCAGCAACCCGTGATACGATCGAGATGACCCAAAGAATGGCTGATGCTGGGGCTGATGCAGTTCTTGTGGTGACACCGTGTTTCTATAAGGGTGGAATGACTGCAGAGGCCCTTACAAACCATTACACAAAGGTAAAGATATCATTCTTGTGACATGAATTCTTGAAGGGATAATCAATGGGTATGGTACATGTATGTCACCCTTTCCCCTTACAAATGTACTAAATAAGATTTCATTTTCTTCACAAGAGCTGTGATGGGGGGGGGGGGGGGGGGGGGGGAGGCTTTTAATTTGTAAAAATGGTATTCCTGCCAAGGAGTAATTCCATGTATTTCATTAACTTGTGAACATTTTTTTTTTTTATACAAATTTACATTGGATACTCCAGCATTCAATATAACAAAATATATGAACCAACAAATTCACAATTTTCTGAGTAATGTTATATATATCACCGAGGGCGTAGGTCAAGGTTGAAATGTGACGGCACAAGGAAATTCTAAATTTGAAGGGGAATAAATCTTATATTGAACAATAGCGTGTATACAATATCAAACTTGCGATGTCATGCCTTGCGCCTTTGGAGTCGGGTCCTCTAGATTACATTCAGATTGCTTTTGCATCAGGTGCACGTACATGTAGATAAGACGATGCAAACATTGGGTCCACGCAGGGAAGAGGGGTGCACAGTCTAATTCACTTCTGTACATGTTGTACAGTACCTCCAAAAAAAAAAGGTGTACACATGTCACATACATGTATAACAATATGTTGAGGGTCACATGACACCTTTCCAGCCAATGGGATACTCCCTAACAAATACCCTATTTTATATAAATTATGATCCCTTTGACTTTTACCTACTATAGTCTGATCTAAAGATTTTGTTTTACATAGGTAACCAATGTAATATGAATCTGCTATCTCGCTCCTAGACACAATCACACAATTCTATTGCATATAGACCTACTTGCAATTCAATCTTAAAAGTCAAAGGCCAAAAGTAATGACAATAAACTGAAAAAGGAAGTCCCTTGGAAATGATCAAAGGTTACCTTACATAGTTACATTCATTTTTCAACAGTCAACAAACACAGGGGATCATGTGGTTAATATTTGGGTACTATTCTGGAATATAGATGACCTTTGTCATTGATATGTATTTTCGTATTAATTTTTAAAAGACTTTTGAGATATGCTAAATGAAAGAAAAACATGTATGTGTAGGCAGTGCAATATTTTTACACTTATCAATAGACATCAGATTCCCATTTATTTTTTAATTCATTTGAGATATATACAATGTATTCGACTAAATCTAAACCTGATGCTGGGCTTAAGCTCTTGTTCAAAATCAGGTTAAAATAAGGAAGGTAGTCTTTTCCTTTGATGAATGTGATCTTAGATCCAGGTTAAGATATCAACTAAATTAGCAGAATGTAGCCATTGTTTTTTTTAGATTGTTAGTATATTATTATTAGTCATTATATTTCATTGCTACAACTATCAACATTTATAACAAATACAAAATATCCTAACTGATAATAGAAAAAGTATCTTCATCCATGTTTCTTTCTATTTTGTTCTTTTGATTGATCAGGTAGCCGATGCTAGCCCAGTGCCTGTCATCCTCTATAGTGTACCGGCTAACACTGGAATAGATCTCCCAGTTGAGGTGGCAGCTAAGATGTGCAGTCATCCTAACGTTATCGGCATGAAGGAAAGCGGTGGTGATGTATGTTGTTCATTCAGTTCATGGCCCATAGAGTTAACAACTAAATACTAAATACCCCTTATAAATTTGATGTTTTGTGTGCGTTTTTCATAAGTCAAGATTGAAAGGTGGACTGGTTGAATTAGGGCCTTTGTTGAATACTTGTATAAGCTGTAATACTTCACATCTTCTGCCTCGTAACTAATATAGAGCTACATGAATATGAATAGGACCATTGTTGCGTGCTATTGCTGTTCATTTACACATTTAAAGTAAACCAATCAGGTTCTTTTTTGGAAGGGGCACGTTCCCGTATTTTATCTGAATGAGCCTTAACTCTGTTACACAATGAATAAAGATGTATCCAGTGATGAAATCTAAATGAAAATTGAATTCAAAATCAAAAGATTCCTGAATTCTCCTTTAGTAGTTAGCAAATTGGGTTTGATAATATCACAACTCTTTTATTTATAACACATGTACTTGGGAGTTTATGTGCTGATGGTTTGTACTATTCTCTTGTCAACATTTTCCAGGTATCTAAAATCGGTTTGATGGTTCACAAAACAAAAGGTGAAGATTTTCAGATTTTAGCTGGTTCTGGTGGATTCTTCATCCAAGCAATGACTGTAGGTAAGTATCTCCGCACAGTGCTGACAAATCCCACCATGGTTGAATCATTATATTAACAAACATAAACTTTATTCAATTTATGTGAATCTTGATTTTAGGACAAAAGAAATGTCCTTATTGTACAGAGCAGAACACATTATTTCCCTAAATGTTGTGGCAGAAAATTTAGAAGAATGATTTCTTAAACTGCAAAATATGGCACACTCTGAGAGTGTTTATGTATCTGACATTTTGTTGATTTTGAGACTTCCCTGTACTGAAAATGGCATTATAGTATTCATATGATAGGAAGTAATTCCTCTGACCCTACAATAATCACTAATCAGTTGAAGCATATCATGAAAAGTATAGCAAAAGTGACTGTTGTTTCATTACCAACCATGTGGAACATCCCCGCTGTTCTCACAATTGATATTGTATTTAATAGATAATTAATGTTTACAGCTCACGAAAACACTAAAAGTACGCTTTTTATTTGATATTTGGATCTAAAGTAACTGCTGTTAGGTGGCAGAGAAACATTAATTTGTATTTGAGAGTAAAAGGATCTCAAGTTTATAGCTGGTGGATTAATACAATTATTTCCATTAATGTCAAGTTGAGAGTTATGGTGTTATGGTAATAACTTTGATTGTAAAAATAACTTATGCAACAATTCACAATGTTTTATCACACTTTAGCTAGTATTTGGTGATTGATTGAAGATCATATTACTGGTAGCTTTTGACAATGAGTCTTTGAAACCTTTGAGAGGGATCAGGGGAGTGTTTAACAAAGATCCTAAGTTGAACTTATCTCTAATTGGACTTAACAATTATGGAAAGCTGTTAGCATCTATGAAAATATTTTGTAAAAGTTATTTTAATAGGCATAAAATGTTGATTCAAATCATTCATATTTTCTATTATCAAGGAGATTTCATGTTCTTGGTGTGGAATTTATAAAAAAGAAAAAAATACTTTTTTTCTCTTTTGAATATATTTTATTTTGAAGCCTACAAATGGCTCTCTATAGTTTAGAAGTCCAACTTAGAGTTAAGTTCGACTTAGGATCTTTGTGAAACACCCCAGTACATATATCCCTTGAAAAGACACTTTCCAAAGTACCATACATGTATTTGTGACATTTATGCTATGATTGATGGTGTTATACTAATCTGATTTTATCTTACTCTTCAATATATACAAACAATGCTTTTATAATGCTCATGTGACTTATATTTCACATCCTATCCGAGGGGAAAATGTAACGCTTGAATTTCACGTTCTGTTTACCTTTGCATATATAGGTGCAGTAGGTGGAATCTGTGCTGTAGCCAATGTCTTGGGAGGAGAATTGTGTCATCTTCACCAGCTCTTCAAGGATGGAAAGATGGAGAAAGCAGTAGAACTTCAGCATCGCATCATTGCTCCAAATGCTGCCGTAAGTATGCAACAGACCACTAAGGTCCCAGAGTCTAAGGGAGCTTTGCAAAATGAAATGGCCCTAAATGCATAATTGTTGAAAATCGTAATTTAGAACTACATATTTAGGTTATGGAGCTGGTAAAGCAAATGTTGTTGTTGTTAAGATCACATAAGTTCAGGTTTCAGTGAGAAACATTGTTAAAGGACATTGTAAAATTTGGACTTTGTAGAAAGGTGGTATTTTTATTTTTAAAAGGTGGTCACTAAAGCAGATTTCTCTGTATTGCTTTTTCCACATTAACATAGAAAGAATGTATATCTACATTTAATTTTGAGGGCAACAATGCTGACCATTTTCTTTTCTGATTGGTTAAGTATAAGTATATTGTTAGACTCGGTATAACACATGTGAACAAACCAATGGCAATGGCATTTTGACTTTAACCTTGAATGTTCCTCTGTCTTCCTGCGTTGTTTCCTGTTGCAGGTCACAAGGAAGTTTGGTATACCAGGCTTGAAGACTGCCATGGATTGGTTTGGGTACTACGGGGGACCTACACGTTCCCCTCTGGTACCCCTTGCTCAGGGCCAGCTGGACGCCATGATGAAAGACTTTGTAGAGAATGGATTCGATCCAAAGAAGTGATCACCTGCCAGCGATCATCCAGAGGTGAAAGACCACACCGTCCCATCGTCCCTGTGGTGATTGGACTTTAATGCTTAAGGGTGGTATTCTTGAAAGCGGACTAACTTTAGTCCATGGTTTAATCCACCGACTAAGTATGGAATGCCAAGTGTCCATATGAATATGTTTTTGAATAATTTACTCTGTCATTAAAGTAAAATATAATGTAATAACATAATTAATAAACAATAATATAACTATGATATAATTATGTTATCATGGTAATTAAGGGACATATCAAATTACTTGGCATTCCATTCTTAGTCGTGGATTAAACCATGGACTAAAGTTAGTCCGCTTACAAGAATACCACCCTTAGAGGAGGGTTGGATGAAGTCAATCATGGTGGGAATCATATGAAATTAATGCATGGAGCAGTGGCAGCATATGAGTACGCTGTTCACCAACCATCCAACCCATCCACCAAATGGGGAGAGGTTTCCACTACACTTGCTGCCAGAAAATAATCAACAGCTACGTATGGACGATGGATAACTGCCAATTGAAAGAGAAAATGAATTTTTGCTAGGTGATTAAATTTAAATGTTATGGCAATGGGTTTAAAATGCTTGCAAAAATATCATGATGATAAGAATTCTGAAAACCTTTCCTGATGCGGGGCATTCGTTGTAGAATGCTCTCCCTCGAGAGATGAAATACATCAGATCATTTGAAGAGCTAAAAAATATTTTACAAATTTGATTTTGCCTATAGTTAACTACCTGTACTCTCCTTTTTTGTATGTTCTATTCTTCTGATGTTGAACGTGGGTTTATTACTGTTGGGTGCTTTGACAAAAGCTCCCGCTACAATTGCTCCGAGTATTATTTTATCAAAGATATTGGGTTAGGATTACAATTGGGGTTGAAGGTCAGAGGGTTAGGTGTAGTATTTGGTTCAGAGGTGACGTTAGGAATTTGATCAGTAGTGTGGGATATTGATTGTCTATCAAGCATTTGTCGATGGAGCATGCATCATAGCACGGCTTCCTTCATTCCATCGGGTCTTTGCGTCTTCGGGTTACATTTTGTGAATATTCAAGCCCAAATTCACGAAGGGTCGGGTGTAAGGGTTGTGAAATATGTGCCCCTCTTATCGCACAAGTGTTGGGTCCAGTTTACCCAACACTTTCTGAAACACTTTAATACAAAATAAACAATTACAATAGTTCGTAAAAAGGCCATCAATCGACACTTAGTCTTTGTATGGCCATGTTTTTCACAAATATGTAGAAGAAATATTACGGTAACCTTATCTTAAGGACCATCTTTGAAACAATTGTGATTTTTTGCATTCAGTTTAACCTGACAATGTGATGCACCTGACCCGTCATGAATATGGGGATATGTTCATGTAACCTGACAATCTGACCTGACGTGAAGACCCGATAGAACGAAGTAAGCCTTGGAGCACTATGTAGTACCTTGAGTATCCTTATGTTCCCTTTGGTGGCTTTTCTATTGTCATCACATCTGTGATCCAGCCATAAAACTAGATCCAAAATAATTCATGTCATGGGAAGTGGATTGTGGAAAGAATAGGAGAATTGCTTGTACTGGTAAGTAATCTTGAACTAACAATTTTAATCATACACAAACTTTTCTCATTAAACAGCGGCATTTGCAGAATTTTCAACAAAAAAAATTGCCTCCTCACTTCTTTTCTTCTTTTTGATGAAAATAGGTCAACAACAACAACAACAACATCAAAATAGATTTAGAAAAAAATGAAATGAAAGTTGTCTCATTTAATTTTCATAAGTAGTGTTTTTGTTTAGCGAAACTATTATGCTGTATTATGACTTTGGACTTGGACTTCCATACAGTATTTTCTTAGGGGAAGTAAAATGCATACAAGAATATATATATATATATATATGATATACAATGTATTAATGTATGTTTGTATTTTTATGAATAGTTATACTTTTATCAAGTTCCTTCCAGCATCACAAAAAAAATTCAGTACTGGATAGGTTCACAAAGTTAGAAACATAATCTGTGATTTTATATGCAATAAAATGAAATTCAATCTCAATTTTGAAGTTTTGTGAGTTTTCTTTTGTAGAGCATGAGTTGTTTTATTGGTTTATTGGAAGACAGCATATGAAGGTAATATTAATACTGATGAGGCAACAGTTGGTAAATAAGGTGTTATAATTATGATTATTACCATTATCATGATTTTTAGTAGAATTTTTTTAGGTTGAGGCGATTGAAGATGTAAGTTACAACTTTTATTTCGCCCACGAAACACATCAAATCATGAAAAATAAATAAATAAATAAAAGAGAATCAAAACAAGTCATTGAAGTTCATTAGAATCAAGCGTGTTTTTCATACGTTTTATTTGCTCCAACACAACCTCGAGAAGAGGAAGCAAAATACATGAATATCCAAAGGAACAATTTACATATTCATATAGTATCATCAATATTCTTCTTCTTTGTCTTCTCCTTCTTTTTCTTCTTCTTCTTCTCCATCTTCTCCTTTTTCTTCGTCTTCTTCTTCTTCTTCTTCTTCTTCTTCTTCTCCATCTTCTCCTTCTGCATCTTCTTCTTCTTCTTCTTCTCAATCTTCTTCTCCATCTTCTTCTCCATCTTCTTTTTCTTCTTCTTCTCAATCTTCTTCTTCTCCATCTTCTTCTTCTATTCCTTCTTCTTCATCTTCTTCTTCTTTTTCTCCATCTTCTCCTTCTGCATCTTCTTCTCAGTCTTCTTCTTCTCCATCTTCTTCTTCTTCATCTTCTTCTTCTTCTGCATCTTCTCCTTCTGCATCTTTTGCATCTTCTTCTTCATCCTCTTCTTTTCCTTCTTCTTCTTCATCTTCTTCTTAATCTTCTCCCTCTTCCTTTCCTTCTCCTTTTCAATCTTCTTCTTCTTCTCCTTCTTCTTCCTTTCCTTCTTCATCTTCTTCTCATTGTTTTTATCATCATTATCGTTGGATGTCTTTGTTGTTCTCACCATTGACATCATCAATGTCACCGTCATCATGAGCATCATCATCATCATCGGAATTTTGGCAAGGGAGGTGGGTCTTTTTATCTGTATTCGTCATCAGGAATGCCCCCCGCCCCCCCCCCCCCACTCAATACTTTTAAAGCGAGAGAAAGTGAAAGGTGCGTTAAATTAATTATTTTAATAATTGTCATGAAGGCCCATGATTTTAATTTGATTGTTTTCCTTCACTGCACCTACAGGCACTGAATTCCAGTCCATGAATAAATACATGATGTATTTATGTATTTACTTATGTCCAATATACACGTATTTATATATTTGATATATCATTAAGTCATCATATATTTTTTATATAAACACACGTAAAATTAATATGCATAAACTATAGCGCATTTGCGCGGTGATTGTGTTGCGCGATTATAGTACTTGTATATAGGGCCTACGCGCTCTCTCAAAAGGCGTCGACTAATATCATTAAAACAGAAAGATAATTTTGTTTGCGCCGAAATGGTTTCTAATTTTCTAGATCTATTCTGATCGCATTGTCTGTTATAATAATGAGGGTTAAACCATGTATTTTGCAACATCTTCACCTGGACAAGACGTACGGCATGCTGACAGGGAAAAATGTCCGAACATTGATGGAGTATTTCGATCTGATAGATGTCCATCAAGATGGATCAATAAACGGTAATCAACAACTTCATCTTCTCACCATTTTAAATTTTGAAGGTGGGGGAGAGGGAGGGATAGGCATGCGATAGGACGACAGGTCGGAAGGACACCCCCTCCTTTCCGGTGTATAACGCCTATCATGGGTCTATATATTATTTTTGAATGACATTCAACGGAAAACGTGACATATTATTTTTTGTTAAAGCCCCTCTAAAGCGTTGGGAGCCCCAAATTCAACAAAACTTGGATCGCAAAATTTCACTTTAATTTTGTAATGATGTGAAAGAGGCTGGCATTAAACACACACTTCTGCAAAGATTTTTCCCACTGAACGTAGGCCTACTTGAAGTCGAATATTGATAACAGAATATAAAATTCGGGTTTTCTGTTGTACGCAGAAAACCTAAATTTTATGTTCTTTCCTGATATCCTCGTTCACATCGTTATACTATCTTATTGTAATTTAGGGGCTCCCAACACCTTAAGAGGGGTTATAGTGTATGCTTATATAAATTAAAAGGGAGAGGGGCAGGGGGACAATGCCTCCCCCACTTTCTCAGGTACCTACAAAGTGCCCCTTTTTATAGGAAAAGTGCCCCTTTTCCTCAGTAAGAACTGCCTCTTCTCTTTCTAGTAAGTGTCCCTTTTCCTTGTGATAAGTGCACCCCACCCATTTTTTTAAACGTAAACGTCCTTCTTCACCTTTAATAATTGGCTCAGTCTCTGAAGGCCCTCTTTCAATTAAGTCCAAGATTCAGATTGTACACAATCTTTTTACAGAAGTTACTGTTTACAACCTCACTTTTTTCTGTTCATTATATACCCCGATGTGGGGACATTAGGCCATGTTAAAAAAAATATACATGTTTAGCCTCCCCGCCCGCTTCCTTTTTTGGGGCCGCCTCCTATTTTTTTTTTGAAAACAATTTTGATTTTGATTTTTTTTTTTGAATTTTTTTTGAATTTTTTTTTTGTTTTGAATTTTTGAAAAACACTGCTAAAATGGATCTATTTCTGATTTTTTTTAAAAAAATTTAAAAAATGGCCTCCTCCTTCCTATTTTTCAAAAAAACAGGACGCTAAACATGTTTTTTTTTTTATTTGGCCTTAGGGCCTACACTGAACATTCTGTACCATTCTATGATGTCTTCTTATGAATATACAGACATCCAGTTTTGCTTGGTTCTCGGAGCCATGACAGACTTGAAAAGAAATCAGATCTACATCGTCTTTGATATGCTCGACATTGATGGTTCCGGTCAGATTGATTTCGATGAGTTTTATCTTCTGATCTGTATTCTCATCTCACTTAAGGTAATTAATCCAATCCAATCCAAAAGATATTTGATATAGCGCCTTTTCCTTGCAGTCACAAAGCGCTGCACACACGCTCCACAATGTTTGGGCCACTTTAAAACAAAAGTTAGACACTTCTCAGAGATCAAGACTTTATTTATCCTCTGCTTGACCACGTTGTCCACCAACTGACTCGATCAGTGAATATAACATAACTTAGGCCAACCGATACCCTTCAAAATACACACCAGCTCATAACCTTCGCCCAACAACTGAAACAATAATATAAACTAATTTTCCCCAAATCCAGACTCTCATCTAGTATTCCTGAAACGTTTTACAGTGACTGCTTCGAAATCATGGAACATATCTCACTTTCCATCAGAGAATTAACCCATCTTGCCTCTTTCAAAAGATCATACTTCTTCCCTCAGTAATGTAATGCGATTTAGATATTAGTATTTTCATAAGTCTATGTATTTCATCATTTTCATGTTAACTTTCTTCTTCACATACTGTCATTTTGTAAGGACCATGGTACTCTTTGATTGTCGTGCTCCTAACATGACGATCGACATTATTATTATAATGGGTGTAATTGATAGCCATTGAATAAAACACTGAATTATTTTTTTTTTATATAGGGTGCTATATAATTTTCAACCATCAAAATGTTGATTGATGAGGTATAAGCCTTGTTTTCTCGTACAAGTAAAAAGGCAACACAATAATAAGAGCAGAAAAGGTGCCCATGTTGTTATTATCTGCTTATACCTCCCCGTAAATCTTTCTTATTGGTGAGAAAGGTATCGTTTATTTATTTTATCAAGTAAGATTTTAGAACTTGAAAACCTTTGGAACTTTTTAATTATGTAAACATTTATCATTTTATCATACTCTGAACAGGACAAAGATGAGAAGCAGTTCATCTACCGTCATTCCCGAACCGTGTTCGAGCTCCTGGACGAGGACGGGTCACAAAGCATCTCAGCTCAAGAATTCTCAGCTTTCGGCTTCCTCTTCAATTTCTACGGTGATGCCGTCAAGCAGATCTTTAATGACTTCGACATATCGGGCGATCAGGTTCACATATTTCAAGACTTCTCTGTTGAAATTAATGAATACAATATTAATAACGACTCCAAATGCACAATATCTTAGAGCCATTCGGGCAGGAGTGGTTCTAGAAAAATGGGGAAGGGGTGGGGGCTTTTGAGATAGGGCTGCAGGTTCTTGCATATATTTTCTTTACTGTATCGCGATTTTTTTTGTATATATTTTTTTTAATTAGCTTCAGCCCCCCAAAAAAAACAACAACAACACAACAACAATACAACAACAACAACAACAACACAACAACAACAACAACAACAACAACACACACAAAAACAAACAAACAAATAAACAAACAAACACCTGATACCAGGCGCGGATCCAGGATTTCTTAGGGGGGGGGCCCAAATTTGAAATTATGCGAGCCAATTATTGGTACGTAATGGTGACCACAGTGACGTAATGTGGGGGGGGGGGTCGGTGCAGGGAGGGGCGAGTTTCCCCTTCTCTCCTCCGCGAAACGCGGAAGCTTTGACGTTTCATTAAATTATTAGAGAAAGAAGACGGTTCGTTGTACCGTTCTCGAAAAAATAATTCTCGTCTGAATTTAGTTTTTCCCCTCACGCGCGAAGCGCGGAAAATTTTAGGATTTATTAAATTATTAGAGAAAGAAGACGATTCGTTGTAGAGTTCTCGACTCTTAATCCTCGTCTGAATTCAGGTTCCCCCCCCCCCTCCCGTGCGAGGCGCGGAAGCTTTTAATTTTCCTTAAATCATTAGAGAAAAAAGACGATTCGTTATATCGTTTTCGAAAATAATCCTCGTCTGAATTTAGATACTCCCCCCTCCTGCGCGAAGCGCGGAAGCTTTTACGTTTCATTAAATCATTAGAGAAAGAAGGCGATTCGTTGTACAGTTCTCGACTCGTAATCCTCGTCTTAATTCAGTTTACCCCTTCCGCGCGAAGCGTGGAAGCTTTTACGATTCATTAAATCTTGAGAAAAAGAAGACGATTCGTTGTACTGTTCTCGACTCTTAATCCTCGTCTGAATTCAGGTTCCCCCCTCCAGCGCAAAGCGCAGAAGCTTTTATTTTTCATTAAATCGTAAGAGAAAGAAGACGATTCGTTGTACCGTTCTCAAAAATAATCCTCGTCGGAATTTATTCCCCCCCCCTCCCCCTCCATACCGCGTGAAGCGCGGAAGCTTTTACGTTTCATTGAATCATTAAAGATTTGTATTACCGTTCTCGCCTCTGAATCCTCGTCTGAATTCAGTTTCCCCCCCCCCTCTCTCCCGCGCGAAGCGCGGAAGCTTTTACGTTTCATTAAATCATTAGAGAAAGAAGACGATTCGTTGTACAGTTCTCGACTCTTAATCCTCGTCTGAATTCAGGTCCCCGCGCAAAGCGCGGAAGCTTTTAAGTTTCATTAGATTATGAGAGAAAGAAGACGATTGGCTGTACAGTTCTCGAATCTGAATTCAGTTCCCCCCCCCCCCCCTCCCGCGCGAAGCGCGGAAGCTTTTACGTTCCATTAAATCATTAGAGAAAGAAGACGATTCGTTGTACAGTTCTCGACTCTTAATCCTCGTCTGAATTCAGGTCCCCCCCCCCTCCCGCGCAAAGCGCGGAAGCTTTTAAGTTTCATAAGATTATGAGAGAAAGAAGACCATTGGCTGTACAGTTCTCGACTCTTAATCTTAGTCTGAATTCAGGTTCCCCCTCCCGCGCAAAGCGCGGAAGCTTTTAATTTTCATTAAATCATTAGAGAAAGAAGACGATTCGTTGTACCGTTCTCGAAAATAATCCTCGTCGGAATTTAGTTTCCTCCCCCTCAATCCCGCGCGAAGCGCGGAAGCTTTTACGTTTCATTAAATCATTAAAGATTCGTATTACCGTTCTCGCCTCTGAATCCTTGTCTGAATTCAGATTCCCCCCTCCCGCGCGAAGCGCGCAAGCTTGACGTTTCATAAGATTATGAGAGAAAGAAGACGATTCGCTGTACCGTTCTCGATTGTTAATCCTTGTCTGGGGCGGCGGCGAAGCCGGCCCAGGAAGCTCAGAGGTTTTAGGCGTGTAATTAAGGTCAGATTTTTTAAAATTTTTGTATACCTTATTATCTTGTGACACTATTTGGCGTGGGGTCCAGGGGGCGGAGCCCCCCAAATCAGGGGTTTTATGCATTAAATTTCCGTCAGATGAGCATCTAAGGGCCCGCCGTAGGGCCCTAGATGGAATTCAGGGGGCAGACCCCCCGGAAGCTTATAGGGGTTTTAGGCATTTAATCACGGTCAGATGAGCATATTTTGATGCCTCATTATTTTTTAACACTGACAGTTAACTATTTTTTCTTTCTTGCTCTCATTCTATTTTTTTTCTCTTTAACATACTTTTTCAAAAAAAGTGGGGGGGGGGGGGGAGGGAGCTCGAGGCTCCCGATCCCCGCCGTACCTCGGGCCCTGACATGTAGGAATCTCAAGAATCATATTTCTTGCCTGGCTGCAAATTTAGGAATTTGTCATTTTCCAACAAACACATACAAACGTATAATTTACTAAAAAGTGAGGAAAAATCTCGGCAATGATGTCATTTCAGCATTATTTGTAATCCACCGTTGTGGAATTAGAAATAAACCACGTTTGAATTCGATTACTCCCAAGCCCTCCCCCCCCCCCTATCAGTACGCCCGTATCTCCTCTTTTCCTTTTTTCTTTCCCTTTCCTTCCTTCTCTCTTATTTTTTTGATGGGGGGGGGGGGGGTCAACAGCCTGGGATGCAAGGCCCTTTCGGCCCCCCGATCTCCTTCTTCCCCCTTTTCTTTTCTTCTTCCTCTTCTTTTCTTTTCTTCTTCCTCTTCTTTCTTTCCCTTTCTCTCCTCTTTCCCTTTCCCTTTCCCTTCTTTTCCTTTCTTCTCTCTTTTTTTTTTTTTTTTTTTTTTTTTTTTGCGGGGGGGGGGGGGGGGCCAAGGCCCGCTCGGCCCCCCCCCCTGGATCCGCGCCTGCCTGATACGTCTCCTACATTCGGGGTAAGGTATTTTTTGTTGTTATGTCCGAGATTGTCGTTATTTTTTAGGTCTCGTCTTTGGAACTGGCGTATTTAGCAACGTAAAACTATCTAAAAGCATAAATTATGTCCGATTCCATACGGGTAGCACGAAGACCTTTTGATAAGGGAGCTATTTGAAAATAAGTCAAGTATTATGACTCCGAAAAGAAATTTATTATAATTGTACGAATTTGTTGGTTTTATGTTGTAAACAATTCAAGAACAAAATCGAATTCAAAATGATTGTTTTAATTGGCAATATCATGTTTCCATATTGTGATGCTTTTGCTCTTACTTGAAACATTTTATTTTTTCTCATCAGGAACTAGACTACAAAGAGTTCAAGATGTTTGCTATGGCCTGCATTGATCGCCAGAATGAGATTGATCGTCTTAAACGTGAGGAAATAGAGCGTCAGAAGAGGAGACGAGAAGCTAAGGCGTTAAAACGACTGGCTGCAGGAGGCGGAACGTGGGCGTGGCTCCGCACATCTTCATGTACTATCGTGTGACTCCGCATTCAGTGGGGTTTCGTGGCGTAGGGTAGATCCAGCTCACCTAATGCATTGACTACTAAATTCATTCATTGCCATAGGCTTAATACAGGTGCCACCCGGTTCTAGTAGGCAATGAGTTAATTGAGGGGGCTTTAGAGAAGAGGAAGGCTGGCATCAGTATGAGATCAAAGCCACCGAATGTATAGGAGGAAAGATGAAGAGCTGGAAGTCGAGTTCACATCATCTTCTTTTTCATAATCCATCCCATTTTCTCACTCTCATTTCCCATCCACCTCCTTTTTGTATTGGGGGCCATATGCCTCAGCACTCACGTAGCTACGCCCAATGTCGTGCTTAAGGATACATCAGTAATCACCACTAATAATCTTAATTTTCTTTTCATCGATTTTTTTTTTTTTTTGGGGGGGAGGGGTTTAGGGCGGGGGTTAAACTTGCGACCGGACCAGAGGAAGGTTACAGGGAGGAGAATGATTTTATGATTAAATGTTTGTACATTTTGCTAGGAGTATGCCATGTTCTTCACGGTCTCTATAATTTTTCGGATTTAGATAAATCCATTTTTTCATCGATACCGGAATTGCCAAATATTTTTTTCAATTTTTTTTCTTCCGAATACAAGAACAAAAATAATTGTAATCCGGTTATAATCCCTCCAGCACTGATTGAAGATAATCTGGTGTGAGTTTTGACTAACATTTCACCGGACGTAACGAAATAAACACGGGGTGTAAAAAATAATGAAATGTATGGAAAAGAATTTTATTTAGTGAACGTAAGTACGAGGAGGAGGAAGAAGAGTGGGAGTAGTGAAGATAAAGAGAAGGAGGAGGAGGTTTGCGGAGGAGTGAGAAGGAGGAGTGACGATGAAGAGAAGGAGAAGGAGGAGGAGCTGAGGTGGAGGAGGGCGATGAGTGAAGATAAAGAGAAGGAGGAGCGGAGGAGTGAGGAGGAGGAGTTACGATGTATCTAAGCGCTTTCTTTTAATCACATGAATACACAATTGTACTACGATAGGCAATTCCACAGAAAATGTCATGAATTTGGTGATAAATAACAAATAAAAATGAAAAGTTTAAAAAAATTGCTCAATGCCATGTCCCCTGATTGTCAAATGTGTCTTATTCGCTTGCTGGAGTAAATTTGAGGACTTTTGATTTAGCTTAAAACCATTATAATATTATAGGCCTATCTTAAATAATAAAACTAGTTTGATCGAATTTCATGTCCGTTACAATAATTGCTTTACCCTGGAATTGACCTGATGATGATGATGACAGATGTTAGTATGAACCATGGAAGCAGGATGAGGACAAACACCTCATCTTAATAATGCTAAAATAAAAATAAAAATGTGAACGTGTCGTGGTAAAATGGTTCATTCACTTGTCTTTAGCAAGAAATCAATCTACATTTGCCATTCTCATCCCAGTAAAAGCAAAAATTGGGGGCAAAAATAATTGCAGGTCCCGCGAAAATATATAGCAGTATGAATGTGTGGCTACCTTGGGTAAATAAGACTGAATTATTATTATCATCTTAGCTGATTTTTGTTCGGAACGTGTAGCTTTCTATTTCTATAATGTAGGCATATAGTAAGTAGGTCTCCTTTTTTACTCTGAGTAGTCTCATCAACCTGTTTACAATTCTTTATATATTTCATGTAAATGACTTCCAAATGTATTTTCAAATGTACCCTTATTATGTATTCACTGGTTTGTCTTTGTCTTTACCGAATAAATAATAAAAATAATAATAATAACAATAAATGTACTTCTGGCGAATGAGGCTTTGCCTAAATATAATATCTATCTCTCATTTAATTCTCTAATTGAGTAACGGGCGATTAAATATAAACCCATTTTTATTGTAGTTCATATAACTGTAACGCGAATTTGAAGTATAGTTAATATTGTATTCATTATTTGTTATTGTATTATGCTTTAAAAATTGTATGACCTGCCTTGCCCAGAGTGGGACCATGGACTGTATCTACATGTATAAAAATTTCCTTTGAAATAAATAAAGAAAAGTGGTCAACTATTGCACATTATGTTAATGATTTAAATATATCTTGTATTTCTTGTCACTTTTTTTATTTTTTAATTTTTTATATATATCTTTTTTGTTATGTACCAATCATTATTGATGACCTGTAAATGTTTTGATATGAGTTTTGATTTAATAAAACATACAACAAAAAGAAGGGAAAAAGGATGGTCAAATTAACTGCTGATGCAAAGCGTGATAATGTGCAATGCAAATATCGGAGTGCAAATTACAGCACGCCCTCACCAGTCCATTCTAGTAAACGTCAACAAAAATAACGCGTAGGAGTGGAAAACTCTCGGTGAATATCACTTCTTTTGATACACGTAATTTCAGTTTTGAAGCACATCTAGCTACGAAGAACATTTTAAGGAGTTGAAGTGCTATCTTGATCCAGTCTCCGTTCCTCAGGATACCCAAACGATCTGTACGGAGGAGAAGTTTCGTTTCTTGTTCGATTGTGCACGTAATCTGCGGTTTGGTGAGATCAGCTGCCCCTACAGGGCCCCGCCTTCCTATTGCTGTATTTCCGTAGCCTGAACGTAAATAACCACCACGTACACATGACTTGCTCGTGCTGCTCACTGCACTGTCATCGCACCTGGCGCTCAGCGTAGGACTAGAACTGTTTGTGTGACTTGTGTGTTAATTGTTCCGTCGGAGTGAACATGGTCATTGCTGTCTCACGCACAGATTTCACAACTACTTGACTCATCATTGCCTGTGGGACCATTCAGACGTCTAAAACAGAGAGAATTAAGGATTAACTTTCAGGAGATCCACTGTTATTTTGCATTTTTGTTAAGCTCAAACCCTTAATGATTCTGTAACCTTTTTTTGTTTGTTTGGAGTTCAGAGAAAAGAACAAAATGGCAGGTCATTTTAGGACGTTTCAATATTTTGCTATCTTGTTCATTATTTTTTGTAATTGTATAGTCGGTAGTTTTGGACTGATTGCATCTGTGAGTGCATTGATAAGTGGGAGTGGTGTGAGTGTGGGAGAGGAGGGCAGTATTGAAATCGTACAGGGTACACTTGGAACCGTGAGGCTAATTGGAAAACATTTCAATAATGACATCATGATATGGATAACTACTGAAGCAGCCGCCAGGGGAACAGTTTGTGATGATTCTTTCCAGCGAGAAGATACCGTTTCTTTCACAGAAGTGAGCGGCGATGGTAATGATACTAGTGCTACAGGCTCCCCCAATACTGGAACCATAGATATTGTGTTGAAAAGTCAGGAGACTGTTTACTACCTATGCCTTCAGCAGCCGGATGGTTCTGCATGGCTTCACCAAGGTACAGATCAGTGGTTGACGATCGTTACAAAGGCTCCCCCGCAGCCATTACTTCCACTGTGGCTCCAGATCATCTTCATCGTGATCCTGCTTATTCTATCTGGACTCTTCAGTGGCCTCAACCTTGGTCTGATGGCCCTTGATCCTGTGGAACTCCAGATCCTTCAGAATGCGGGATCCAGCAAAGAGAAGAAGTATGCCAAGCTGATCATTCCGATCCGGCGGATGGGCAACTATCTCTTGTGTTCCCTGCTTCTCGGTAATGTTCTTGTGAACACCACCCTGACTGTTCTCCTAGATGACCTTTCATCTGGGATCTGGGCAGTCCTTGGAGCAACAGCAGGCATTGTCATATTCGGTGAGATTATTCCTCAAGCAATCTGTTCCCGCCACGGTCTGGCTGTCGGTGCGAAGACAATCTACCTAACACGCTTCTTCATGGTATTAACTTTCATTATTTCGTATCCGATCAGTAAACTCCTGGACCTGATCCTGGGAAAGGAGATAGGAGCTGTTTATGATCGAGTTCGGCTATTAGAGCTGCTGCGAGTGACGGACGAATACAATGATCTTGCAAAAGAAGAAGTGAACATCATTTCAGGCGCTTTAGAACTCAGAAAAAAATGTGTCAAGGATGTGATGACTCCGCTTGGCGATTGCTTCATGCTTGATGAAGAAGCCATTCTGGACTTCAATACTGTGACAGACATCATGCACAAAGGATTCACTAGGATCCCTGTCTTCAGTGGAACACGGGACAACATCATTGCCATTCTCTTTGTCAAAGATCTCGCCTTTGTGGACCCTGATGACTGTACCCCACTCAAGACGGTCATCAAGTTCTACCAGCATCCTATCAACTTTGTGTTTGAAGACACCACCCTTGATCTCATGCTCCAAGAATTTAAGAAAGGTTGGTATAAAATTTGATGAAGTTTAAAAAAAAAAATCAAAGTATCAAACAGGTGAACATCAAATGACAGGTGTCATTACTCCTAAATTACATACCTGTAAATTCTTTGCTTTATAATGGCAATTGATGTTTTGTCCTCACAACTGTACTTAATATTATTCAGGGCATCTTTCCCGGAAACAGTCATAAGTACAAGTTTACTGACATCCCTTCGAAAAATGTGTTAGATTTAATACAATGCATTTCAATGAGTTGTCGCCAACCTTGTACTTTTTAAAAATATGATGGATTCGTGAAATGTTGCCCATGGTTTTGATGATCCAGTAATTAAAAAAATTTCATTATTAATTATTATGGCTCTATCAAATCTCAAATTACATTAGTGATTATACAATACATGTACACTACCATTACTTCAGTTTTTAAATTATATTTCTATCCAAGCTCTCCCCCCCCCAAAAAAAAAAAGGCAGTCACTGATTGGAATCAATATACATGTGTACTTGTATACCGTGTATATTTTTGTCTTGCCGACCCTCTTGTGTGCAGGTACTGTACATGTAAATGTAAAATGTAAATCATATTTTAAATTTCCCAGGCCTTAGACTAAAACTTTCATTTATACACAAACAGTGTACATACAGGTGTATGTAATACATCTATGTGTACTCCCACTCAAGTCTCAAGGAGATGTAATAACGATGTTGATGATGATGATGAGGTTATTTATAAAATGCTCTTCCCAAGAATGCCGAGTGCTGCAGCTGAATACCATTATTACACCAGCTTGGGTCTTAAAGGTACTACCTGTATGTCCCTTTTGCAGCCAACCTCAAATCCTGTAGAACTTTGCAGGAATTATGAATAGGTCATGTATGTCCTATCTGTGAAATTAAAACATTAGCAGTGTCCTAGTATTCAAATTATGCAAGGAAACCCGTTTACTTACTAGACTTCACTGTCAGACACATCAAGTGACTGACTGGCTTTTCTTCTTCTTTGATAATAACATACCCGGTACATAAAATGAGTACATCAATAACCCACTTCTTGTGATGGCCAAAATTAAACTGATTGAATCTTTGCGCAGCATAAAAAGTATGACCATTCAGTACAATGGTCTGAAAATCAAGACTATTACTTATTGGCTCTATAGGGTAAGTCGATTTGACAACTAATAGTCGTTATTTTCCCACTTGAAGACATTTTCAAGCCCCACCTTTTTTTTTTTAGGGAAGTTCTAAATTAGTATTATCTTTCAAATGCCGTTGGAATTTAACTTTTTCATTTTTTGGCCTGCAAATGGGACATAGTACCTTTAATGAACATGATATAAAAGGCACTCAAGCTGTGTTTCATTCAAGCAATTATTAAATGCAAAACATAGAATACTGCTACCTTGCTACAGGTAAATGTACATATTGTATGTTATGTAAGCACTTTAATAAGGCCTAATTTTTACCAAGTCATCATGTACAGATACCTAAATTCAGGTGTGCTGGGTATGTTTACAAGCAGGAATGCATGCTATAAATATTGAACCTGTAGTTAGCTATCCAAGAGTTTGAGTGCCCAACAGCTATTGCATAATCTTGCCATTTTATGACCCGTTTATGATGATAAAACAGATCTCTAACAATGATCCTTTCAGTGATTCACTTCAAGATACAACAACAAAAATCAGTTTATTGAATGGTGTTAACTACATGTAAAGAATGTTTGCCTAAGCAGCAAACCAAGACTAGAACTTGCAATATAACTGTGCCTTGAATATTGCAGTCTATACATGTAGAGTATATAGACCTGTACTAAAACAACTACATTGTTAAATGCAGTCTGCGTAAGAAACAATTTACTTATGCCATGTACAGCCTGCATACAATATGAGTGAATTGTGCCAAAACTACTTGTTAAATGCATTTCTATCTACATATACACATGTACATGTACATGTTATATACATGTACATGTTATGTACACGTTTACATACATGTAAATGTACATGTACAGGTACACATAATTATTTGTCAGTCATAAATGATAAGAATCGATGCAACATTGCAAACAAAGGGGCAGTCAGTGATTTAGCTCCGGAAAGGTCAAAAATAGCTCTGGTGAAATGAAAAAGAGCTCTGGTAATGTAACAATAAATGAAGGAATAAATATTTGTGTTGGCTCAGTCAGTAGAGCGTCCGCCTCACAACCGGGAGGTCGTGGGTTCGAACCCCGGCCGCGTCATACCTAAAGCCGTTAAAAGACGGGAGTTGCTGCTGCCTTGTTTGGCGTTCAACAATAATAAGGGATAGAGCAACGTCGATCTGGCGCTGCTCCGTGGCTGCCGGGCTCACGATCAATCGGGCAAAAAGAATTTCCATTTTCAGTTTATCTTTATTAATAAAATTTGGAGTGGACTTTGAAAGATTATTATAAAAAAAAATTTAAAAAAAGAATAAATGACTGACTGACTGACTGAATAAAGCATTGGAGGGGGGGGGGGGGGGGGGGGGGGGGGGGGGGGGGGGCGCAGGCACATGATCTTTTTTGGTGCTATTCTAGTCTGCCTTACATCAGTATCTGAGCCAAGTCGCGATGCGAGAGACAAATGTCTTTAAAAAGGGAATCCTTAATGTTGTCTTCCTAATAAGATTATCACTAAACAAAGGGATCTCAAAATGACTGTCCCTTGAGGCAAAGTGCGGATGACATGTCTCAGACGATGTGGTCTTGTGACAGTTGACGTCAGAGAATCAAGCGAATCAAGATATTAATGAAAATAAAAATATATTATTTGTTTTGAATGCCACAAAGAAAAGGATAGATATGAAGTTTAAGATTTTGTATAAAGCTACAAAATTGAAATGCATAAAATAAATAAGTTGAGAAGAGTTCTTTTGCATGTATTCTGAAGCATGCACTACTGTTCATGTTTCTGAACTTCTGAAGCATGCCAATTTGAAGAAAAAAAATATTCTTTTTTTCATGGATATTTACCGGAACTAAACAAGTACGACCTCTTAGGTGATTTCTAAATTTTGTTTTTGTTTATGAATGCTGTACAGAACATTAACTATAAAACTTTCACTGATCAATGTTTTAAAACTATTTTGTTCCTGTGATATTTCTGTGTTATTTCCAGGTCAATCCCACATGGCGATCGTAAACCAAGTGAACAGTGAAGGCGAAGGAGACCCATTCTACGAGGTGCTAGGATTGGTTACTCTTGAAGACGTCATAGAAGAAATCATCCAATCAGAGATCGTGGACGAGACGGATGTTTATCGTGAGTATATTTCCATATTATCTGTCTACCTATCTTGTTGACACATAAATTTACACCCCAAATAATCCCATTGCTTATTTGGTGTCACTTGTAGCCCCTTTAAAACTTAAGCTACATGTATTTAATCACTGGGAAACGGTTTATTGCATACTTTTTTGCTTGTTTGTTTTTGGTCAGATCAACATAACATTCAATGAAAAAACATATTGTACATACAGACAATCTTCTGAATTTCTTCAAAAATCAAGTTAAAAAGCATGACTAATAAATATAGCAAAAGTGTACTCTTCCCAACAGTTCTCGTTTGGTTTCCAATGGGACATTGAGAAGTGTCCTCATGAAAATAGAACATGTACACAATACACACACCTCAGTACTTGTATTTATCCCCCAAACGATTGATTTTGAGTTTTGCCTCCAAAGTTATGTCAGTAGTAGGCCTCACAATATTGGCATAGTCTTTGGGAAAGTGACAACTCACATTCTGTGAGTGACACTGATGAAATTAGCTGTCTGTTCTCGATCTAGTCACATGTACGTGTTTGTACGTGTGCTGTACGTCATAGAGGTGATACAGTCATGTGGTTGCTTCGGGCAACCAATACCGTCAGGAATAAACAGTACATGTTCATGCCCTTGTACAAGGTTGCAATTAGATTTAGAATAGAGTATGTCATTTTACTTAGGCAAGTATATTTTGTTATCAGGTTGCCCGATTATTAAAGACAGGTCTGTCTGTCTCTCTACAAAAAAATTGAAGCGTCTTCCTACTAGTCTTGCCATAAAAACCAACTTTGAAGAAAAAATATACCTACACCTTGAGTACTTACTGGAGAGTGGTTAACATGGAGATCTGGGGGTGTTTCACAAAGACCTACATGTAAGTCAAACTTAACTCTAAGTTGGACTTAAAAGTTATAGACAGCCATTTGTATCCTTAAAGGTACCGGTACTATGTCTCATTTGCAGGCCAAAAAAATGAAAAGGTTCAATTCCAACGGCATTTGAAAGATAATACCGGGTACTAATTTTGAACTTCCCTAAAAAAAAGGGGGCTTGAATTTTGAATATTAGAACATTGCTAACGTTTAAATTTCACAGATACATGTAGGATATACGGTACATGACATACAGTGTATTCTTTTTTTTTATAAATTCCACATCGAGAACATGAAATCTCCTTGATAATAGAAATATGAATGATTTGAATCAACATTTAATGCCTTTTAAAATAAATTTTACAAAATATTTTCAAATATGCTAACGACTTTCCATATTTGTTAAGTTCAACTTAGAGATAAGTTCAAATAGGATCTTTGCGAAACACCCCAATGGAAAGCTTCAAAAGAGGTGTGGAAATCTAAAAAAATAAATGAATTTATAGAAATAACAATGAAATCAATTACAAATGAATGAAGACCATTGATTTAAGAGAATATTAAAAAGCCACTGCAGTGATATTTGACTTCTCGATAGTATCCAATAAGTGCTCCCTGCAACAAAGAAAATATCATATTTTTTCATTTCCTGATACTGAATTGATAACCATCTTGTCGGTAACAAGGTATTATCTGCATTCATGTTTGTAAGCACCTGTACATACCTGAACATGTACCGGTATACAATGAACTGTATTCATGTGATTTCACGTTTAACTACCAGCAGTCCAGTCAAATTTCAAGGAGACATTTGTCATACCCTGAATCATTTCCTGGAATCTGAGGTACTGTATGAAGTAGGAAAGCTTGGAAATATTGATATCTAGCTAATATTTACAATGTACTATGGAAGTTGCGGATATTGTTGCATCCTTCAAGCACATTTCTAGATATGTTAAACAAGTTGACATGTTGTTTCAGACTCATGTATTATTGGCTTACAATGGCTCCATAATGCTTAGCACTATCTTCAAAGTGAAATCATGATTACATGTAGGTATTAATTTTACTTTGAATTCATGCGTACTGCAGACAATGATATCATACATTATGGCTTTTAAAATTAAAACCATTAACTTTTGTACTTGCACTTAAACTTTACAATGTATACAGTGTATTCATGTTCATTGTCTTAAAATACATTTAAAGAGTGCATATTTCTGTGACATGATCTGCAATTGTTCATATATATTAAAGTTATATGGCCTTTAATACCCAAGTGCATATATACAGTGTACATGTATGTCATAGAAGAAGTATTGATATAAAACCAAAAGTTTTCTGAAACATTATATACACTGTAGAGATATTTTTAGACCAAAGGATTTAATCCTCTTGAAACAATGGATTGCGACCTTTTCTAGAAGAATAGCATATTCTTGCCAAGTATCAATTACACACTTCCACCATATTAAAATTAAATCAGAAGTGAAGTACTGTAGATTAAGAAACTACAAACTGAGAAAAGTATGAGTTGCTTTTTTGTTGACCTTAGCTATTGTCTTACACAATAATGTTATCTGATGAGTGAGTCCAGCCTCTACTTTTCTAAACTTGGACCTGTAACTTCTGTTGCTTGATTCTAATGTTACATGAGCTGCGTTTACACTGCCTGCAAAAAACATTGGTTTTCCTCACAATCTGGGCGGTGTTTCACAAGGATCCCAAGTCAAACTTAACTCTAAGTTTGACTTAAATATTATGGAGAGCCATTTGTAGCCTTAAAATAAAATATATTCAAAAGCAAAAATTCAATTATTTTAGACGTTCTATAAATTCTACATCATATCAAGACATGTAATCTCCTTGATAATAGAAAATATGAATGATTTGAATCAACATTTTATGCCTTTTAAAATAAATTTTACAACATATTTTCATAGATACTAACGGCTTTCCATAATTTTTAAGTCCAACTTAGAGATAAGTTCAACTTAGGATCTTTGTGAAACACCCCTCTGGAGTTTTGTCACTACGGTAGTTGCTAGTCATGAAGCAATTACCCATAAACACAACCAAAAAAAAAAATCAGAATTAAAAATCTGACCTCTGGAGTGTCATTTTTTTTAAACACTGGCCAAAACTTCACTAGATTTTGTAGTGTAAATGCTCATGCTCAAAACACCAGTGAACTGTTCCAGTTTACGCTCGTGTGACTGTCCTCATTTCCATGCTAGTGCATGCAGATCAGCAACAAGTGGCGCATGTACAAAACTCACAAGAAAAACCCACAACAAGAAAACCCAGAATAAACATGGGTTCTTCCAGTAGTAAATGGTAGTTTTAAAAAATAAGGTTTTTCTAATCAATTTTTCTCTGGTGTTAATGGGCCTAATAATGTATCAATGTCATGTGAGTAGTACACTCACTCACTTATGATCAGGGATGGTGATCGCGCAGAGCCGCAGACAGGAAAGAACAAAAAAAAGAAAGTAAAAGGGACTACCGATAATCCGATATCAAGAAATTTAGAGTCCGGCAGACTATTCTTGATGGAGTTTATGATCTACATGTACATTGAACATGCAGGGATGGGGCTGTGATACATTGTAACTGCATGAATGACATTTATCACAGTAATGAGCAACTTATTTGCATGTGAAAAAAACCCAAGAGTAATGTGACAAATGAAAGTACAAAATGTATGTCTGTAGAATCATTCCGGAGTGATTAAGATCATTATTCAATTCAATTCAATTCATTTTGTTGATTTCCATTTTTAATAAAAACAATACAAAGGTATATACAATGATAAGCATTTGCAATAAGAAAATGAAAATAGGGAACTAAAAAATAAGGCCAAATGGCCTTGTAGAGGCATAGTTCCCCGAACAATAGTTAAGATATTTACATATACAAAAAAAAAAAACAAAAAAAAACATACATGACAAAACATGACAGGGACATCGTTCATGGCAGGTAATACAAATGGAAATAATCATGTATTATCAAGGCATTTTTATCCAAAATGGTTTACATGTATATAGTGGAAGAGGTGAGGGCGAAGAAGAGTTTAGGCAATTATGTATACATATGGGACATAATATTTTAACATTCAAAGAAAAGGGAACAGTGAAGTGAAGACTCTGTTTTATGATCATAGTTAAGTTAGTCACAGTGTTACAGGAAGCAATTAAGTCCTAACCAGGCATGCAGTATACATGTAAATGTGCACAATCATCATTCTTTTCCTTGGGGTTTTATTTGATGCAAAATCATCTAATGTAATCTAATTTACCCGTAGTAATAATTGTTTTTTTCTTTCTCTTTTCCTCATACATGTACAAGGCATTTTATTCCTGTACTTTATATCATTTTAATAACATTGCATATACCGGTAGAGTTTGATTACAACAATTATACAAAATCAACAGATTGATATGAAATAAAATAGGGGAAACAAAAAGAAAGTGGAAGGGAAAGATCAAAGCATGGATAGAATAGCTGATTTAGTAATGATAGTACCTGTATAACCTAGACATATTAAATCAAAGCATACTTTCTGAAACGACATCTATCAAAAGTCATAGAATCCATTTACAATGTATTTACAAATATATGTCTATGACTTTTGATAGATGTCATTTCAGAAAAACTAGATGCACAGACAAACAATTTTTACCCTTCTAGAAACTTTAGCTACTTTAGTATATTAACCTTTACTTTATCTGGATTATATTGGGGTACATATTGTAAACATTCAAGTATACATGCATCTAACAAATGTTTGTTTGATAGATTATGGAAGTTAATTATGTACTTCTATAAATAGTCCCTACTCACTACAGCTCATGCATACAAGTAGAGATGTTTTTGCAATTTATGGAAAGTGTTCAAAATGTTTAGGAAACACCAGGGAAGTTAATGACTTCCTGATATTGATGATAAGACTATGTTTTCTTAATCACTGGTTTATCACTTTCTATGTACATGTACATGTGGGCAATTTCGCTCAATTTTTTTTGTTTATATTATTTTGGTATGAATACTTTATTTCAATATTAAATATTCAATATTATTATACTTTATACAACACTCTTTATTATGACTTTGTAATGCTTATGAATTTTAGAATACAAGAAGATTGCACAGCGCTGCCATGCCTGCATTTTGTGCGTTTACCGATATGTACATTTAGATAGTAAAGTGTAAAGCAGTGAAAAAAATATACGGGGGCTCAGGGCGAAATAGCCCCCGAAAAGCCCCCCAAAAATATTAATTTTTTCCCTGGTGTAAAGTAGAAACAAAAGTAGCAAACATGCAGAGAAAGACATAGAGTTTTTAAAAGAACCTCGTACAAGACAAGACAATCAAATCAATTTAATTTACATACAAACTGTACAGTACATGTACATATAAATGGTCATGTTTTTGTTTTTTTTCAGCAGGTATTCTTGACATTCATTTAATGCATTCATGCATTCATGCATTTAGGGCATTCAGTCATCAAAAAATTGTTAACCGGTACTCATTTCAGTGAATTGTTGCTTGAAGTGTAATACTAACCAGGATTTACTTAATACATGTATATAAGTTCATGAGATGATTGTTATCACTATGGTAATTAGGTCAACAAATATTTTGGTTTCTTATCTGCAAACATGTAGGGCAATGACTCACATCCCCATTAAATTTTGTTACAAAAGATCATGGTTGCTAGTGTAATCTATGGATCGTATTACTGAGGCTCCCCAGTCCCCACTCCATGTGATCTTGACTTGAGTCTTTTAATAGATTCTAGGTTGAGTGAAATTATATTGACCTTCAAAATATAAAACAAGATAAGAGGAATGTTCACACAGGGCCATTGTCGTTTAAAGTTTCAGTTTGTGTAACATTAAAACAACAAGTATTCAGAATTTTAAACTATGGTACGTACATGAACAAGCAGGGTAAGCTGTCATTTCAACTACACGCTGGCATGTAGTTAAAGGTAAAGACCAGTTATGGTCATGCGATTGCATTATGAAAGAAATGTTGTGGAATCGATCAGAAAAGGTTGATCATCTAGCATCTAGCATCTGCAAGGTTCTGGAATCATCAAAATGATAAGAAATTTGGCCCTTTCTTTGTAAAGTTACAAGCACTATACACAGAAAGATGTATATGGGACTACCCTATATCTCTCACAGACCATGAGAGAAACAAATTTACCAAATATATGAATTAGTAGGCGGTTTCCCGGCAAATTTTTTTATCATCATGTATTAGTCAAAACATATACTTTCACATGATTGGTAATGAGAGCTTCCATTTAATTTTTTGAAATTGGGGCGTTTCCAATACTGGTCTTTACCTTTAATTGTGTTCACACAGTACATAACTTTGAGTAGGGACCACCTCTTCACCTGCCCCCCCCCCCCCCCCCCTCCTGTCCCGATGCTGGTACGTAGCAATCAAGCTAACCTAACCTCAATGTTGCTTGGGATTTATAACTTTGAGTAGACGTAACGTTTCGAAACAACTAATGCATCTGCATGGTTCCTAACTGATAGATTACTTTGAACTTGGTTTAGAACCACAACCTAAACTTAGAGTTGACAGACTGCAGCGTGAACCTAACTATTGAATTGTAATGTAAGCATTCGATGGGACTAATTTTCTCCTTCGGCAGGTTTAACATCGATAATAAATGAACATGATTGTCTCATGTACAGTGCATACATCTTTTTTGACACAGTGAAAGGTCATTCTAAAGATTATTAAAGCACTAGTGCACAACTGGGGATGAATATTTGATTATTAAATGCATTGTTGATATTTGTTTCATAGATGTATCTAGCTTGATAGTGCAAAGAGATGGGCATACTGGTAATTTTCTCATGTGTACATGTACAGTAGGCTTACTTTTGGAGGCATTTTTTTACTTTTTAATGATTCATGCAACTTGCATTTAGTTACTCATTGTTAACAATGCCTAAATTTGATCTTGCTAAAATTTATTTTAGTTTCTAGGCTGAGTCAAACACTTCTGCCTTTCAGGCTGTAACAAAAACTGGATAATGAATTGTAACATTCAGTTAGCATTCAGGGGCACGCTACAAGAGTCTCGCACCCCTGTCCCCTGGGCAACGTGTCTGACACGGCCGGTTGAAGCAACTGCTCCCAAGATCAAGATGGAAGGACTTGATTTAGGAAGTTTAAATTAATCTTGATCTAAGGTGACACAAACAAACAAGCATTAGACATTGAGAGCCCCCTCCCCCAATATCCATGAAAAGATATCAAATGAGGCGCCAGTGAATAAGGGGAAAAAGGTATATATTTATACATACATGTAGATCAATGAGTATCAATGCTACATGTACATGTAAATGTACTAAAGCCTGCTTGAGTGCTTGTAAAGCTTGCAACTCATACCATGATACATTCCTTGAGACAAAGTTGTCATCACACTGTACTTGTACTATCATCAAACTATTATGAAAGTAAAATCTAGTTGTTTGCTTGGGATATTGAAATTATGGTTATGCACAGATACAATTTATCATACATTTCACATGTTTGGTCTTCAATACATTGTAAAAAGCTCAATGATTTTATACCCTTTTTGATTAATGAAATACATGCAGTGTACATGTGTATAATTTTTTTATCAAAGATTACATTATTATTGTGAATAACCCTGAGCATATAATGTACAAGTATACAAATAGAACACATTTTGAAGCTAACACGGTCGCCAAGACTTTCTAAAAAACAGACAATTTCATTAGGTTTATCCATCACCTACATGTATGGTGTATTAAAATTTGCAAACATTACAATGACACATTAGGTACACATTCTGTGCATTATTTCTATGGAGTTTAGTATTGGTTATTGAGATTACCACTGAGTTTATTTTTCGAAAGTCTTTGCATTCTAGTTTAGATAATACCTCGTTTTCGCATTAATTTGATACACGTTTTCTATTAGACCGTGTGTTTTTAACTTATAAATATTTGCCCTTGTCTCTTGATTAACCTTGCAGTGGATAACAAGACGAAGCAGTTCGTGGGTCATACTAACAAGCGGGACTATTCCATCTTTGCCCGGGAAGGGGAGTTAGCACGACCCAAGATCACGCCTCAGCTTACCCTCGCTACATTCCAGTTCCTGTCAACATGTAAGTACAGTATACGGTAGTCCTTTCTTCCAGGATCTCTTATGAACGATGCCTTGCATGATGTAAACACTTAATTTGAGCCTGTGTCCTTTACAAGAGATAGCGCATTCCCTGAGGTGAGAATGCAGCAATGTTATTTCTGTTTGCCAGACAAAAAAACCACAGCGATCCAAAGCAGCAGACTTTTGAAGTACCTGCTGGGGTGGTCCACGAGAGATAGCGCGATCTAGAGCGTGCTAGATTGAGCTTTCTCCTGTAGTAGGAACGGTCGATTTGAATGGCTCGCGCTAGCACCCATGTGTAAAATTGAGTAAAACCTGTAAAACGACTTGTAATAATGCAGAAAATCGTATTATACAGGCAAACCTGTCTAAAGCAACCTTCCAAGTGTACATGAACAATTATTATGGTTAGCACTTACGTTTAAAAAAGGACCAAAAAAAAGAGAAATTGTTTTGTCATACTTGATTGCATTCATTATGTTTTTATAAAATCTATATTCTCCATAATTAAACAAAATATGCACATTTCTTATATAGATTTTGGATATTTTGAATTATTCACGAAACTTAATTTAGTCATTGCTCTGAAACACAGCATAAATGAAATCTAGACCGTTTTATCTATCATAGATCTCTATATCAATATAGCTGCAGTGAAGGGGAGGGGGGATGTTATTAACTGGTAGTCTTAACAACAAAATACGTGAAGCCTCATGACCAGGGCCTGATCAAAGGGGAGCAAGGATATACAAATTAATATTCATTACAACGATCTAAGTAGCTTCCACGCTGGCTGACTAAACCGCTGTACATCAAAACCTGTTGGATCCCTACAAGGATAATGGAATTAAAAACGTTGATGTGTCAACTACGTAGGATGAATTAGTCATTGTCATGCGTGAGAAATTGATGGGCAACTCCGTGTTCAAACGTCTAGCTGAATGACAATGCAGCGATAGTGATGTATGCGAGATAGAGAGAGTTGGATAATTGTGGTGAATGTATAATTTATTAACATTTGGAATAAGAGCAGGCTTTCAATCTTAGTTCCCAGGCCAGTTGTTGAATACATGCATGAAGTACATGTTCTGGGGGTGTTTCACAAAGATCCTAAGTCGAACTTAACTCTTAGTTGGACTTAAGAATTATGGAAAGCGGATAGCATCTTTGAAAATATTTTGTAAAAGTTATATTAAAGGCATAAAATGTTGATTCAAATCATTCATATTTTCGATCAACAAAATGATTTCATGTTCTTGATGTGGAATTTATGAAAAGTCTAATAAAAATACTTGAATTTTCACTTTTGAATATATTTTATTTAAAGGCTACATAATTTTAAGTCCAACTTAAAGTTAAGTTTGACTTACATGTAGGATCTTTGTGAAACACCTCCCCCCCCCCCCCAGTGCCTGTATCATGTCCATTTGAAATAGCCTATCTACAGCCCCTACACTGTACCTTGTAAGTTCACTCATATCTTCTATTCTGAAAGGTCAATGTCGAAGGTCGGATTGGTTACCTGTACATTGGGATGAAATACATTTCACACATTCACTTTTAAAAAATGGTGTTGTTAATTTGAGGTTAAAGTGTGAAACGGGTCTGCAGCCTCTTGAACAGGGTAGAGAAAGTTGCAAGGGTTTCCTTGATTCAGATTGCCTTGTCACCATTTAATGCATTATCATCCATTGACCTTGATCTGTTTCAATCGAATGCAGCTTATTCAATTAGAGGGGCTCTTGGAGCAAGCAACTCTCACAAACCTTTCTCAATTTTCCCCCTAAACTTTTCTTAAAACCTAAGAACAGAGCCTTGCAACAACAAAAAAGCATAGTCCATGTTGACACATGACATGGTTAACTACCCAAAACAAATACACAAACAAACAATGTGGCAAAATAAATCAAGATGAGCATGGTGCACATCATATTTTGTATCACAACACACATGTGAAGCTTCTCTTTGGCGGCCCACTTGCCATAAATTCATATGAAATGGTAACCATTTAATTTCACCTCAATATGGCCTAAAATAAAAACTTGTTATATTGCCCTTTGCGACCGACCCAAAAATCTGAAAATCTATGGTCGGCATTTTAAAAAAGTTTTTTTTTTATTTTATTTTTTATTAATGAATACAAAAATATGTATTTTGTTTGTTTAAATGGGATATAAATGCATAAAATCAAATTATTCCGAAATTCTCACTCATGCAAACCATGGATGATTATGAGATGAAAAAGATGAAACACATGTATTAAAGCATTAAAAACTGAGAAGTATCAGCCAAAAGAGGGCGGGAAAAAGAGAAGAACCAAAAAAAAATTCAAATCTGAAAAATATCGGCCCAAAGAAAGTTTTTTAAAAAAACTTTTCCGACCGACTAACCCATGTTTTGGCACCCAAAGGGCAAAACAACAAGTTTTTATTTTAGGCCTGATTGTTGCTATGATGTTGTTTCCCATGTCACATATGAATGAGGCCTACGTGTACTTATAAGTGTGAGTAGGATCAATGGGAGAAAGGAAGCACCCTTAGTCCCTTATTTGAGGGTGTATCTATTAGCATATAAACTACATACTTGTTGGATGTACAGTATTTACATGAGTAGGATTACTGCACGTGACAATGACCCTTGCTTATCAAGATTTTATTTCCTTTTAGTTCCCCCTTTTCCCTCTTGTTTCCCCTCTACTGTTTTTTGTTTTACTTTCTGTGTTTCTTTTTCTCTCTCTGTATTTCTATCTCTTTCTTTCTCTCTCTCTCTCTCTCTCTCTCTTTCTCTCTTCTCTCTTTTTCTCTCGTTATCTCTATCTCTCTATCTCTCTATCTCTCTCTCTCTCTCTGTCTTCCCCCTCTTTCTATCTCTCTCTTCCCCACACCCCCACTCCCCTCTTTCTATCTCTCTCTACCTCTCCTCTCTCTCTCTCTCTCTCTCTCTCTTTGTCTGTCTTCCCCCTCCTCCTCTCCCCCTCTTTCTATCTCTCTCTTGCCCACACCCCATTCTCCCCTCTTTCTATCTTTTTCTACCTCTCCCTCTCTCTCTCTCTCTCTCTCTCTTTGTCTGTCTTCCCCCTCCTCCTCTCCCCCTCTTTCTATCTCTCTCTTGCCCACACCCCCTCTCTCCTTTGTTCAGATAAGAAGGCTTAAATGCACAAAAATCATTAGTGAGAACCAAAATCAGAAAGATGATGGTTGTTTAGATTTCCATAATTTTCTAGTATAATTGCCATTTCTTCGAAAAAAGATCACAGGAGGATCATAAAGTGTGTGGTGGGCTTGTAAATGAGTTTTAATGTGAGCAGAATTTTACCATGAGAGAGATAAAACATACATACTGTACACCTGGGAGGCATTTATACCTCAGCATCATAATTATTCATGTCACATCCTGAACTCAAAGCATTATCATTTAGAGCAGGCCTTCTCAACTGGCGGCGCGCGCGCCACTTGTGGCGCTTGCGGTCAGTCGGAGTGGCGCGCGACTGTTGCAACAACAACACAAAAAACAGAAAGAAATAAAATATTTATTTTAGAATTAAATACTCAGCTAAATCAAGAAGTTGCAGTCGAATTTGAGCCCAAAATTTTACCATTTTATACAAATCTAAACCTAAGGTCTGAACAACAATTAGCTTACGATGGGATACCAATTTTAACATTGCCAATCTTTGGAAACAACTTGTTTTTGTTTGTTTGATTTTCACTTTACTTTGACATTTCCCGTGTTTATTGCACACAAAAAAAGCATATAAATATACCTCCGGTGTAATTGTACCCAGGAATCGTACTTATTTTTTTTTTCAATAAGAAATTATGATTGATTATATATTGTGGAATGAAATGGTGTTGAAAATGCCCCATTTGGGCCATTAAAAAGCCCTAGATCCACCAGCTTCAGGGGCCCCACCCCCTGCCACCCCCGTTAGGGCTTCGCCCCTGACCCCACCCATTTCGGCTCGGTCGCTACGCTCCCTCGCAGCACAGTCAACTATACAGGGTGGCGCTTCAATTACAAATTCTTTTCGTTTTGGCACTTCTAATAAACTAGTTGAGAAGGCCTGATTTAGAGTGTAGTGAGAGAGTCTAATGAAACTGGAATGGTGTATAAATGATTAGCATTTAGCAATCAATACCTTTTGGCTTTTAGTTGGGACCAGGGCCCTGTTACATAAAACTTGTTATCAATAACAAGTTTCAATAACTGTTATGACTTACTGAAATTGTGGCATTTGTTTGGCTGAGAGTAACTTTGTCATAAAACATTAGCATTTTTTTATTGATAACAAATTTTATGAAACAGGGCCAAGGCTTCTACCTGTAGACCTATCTGTGTGTGTGTGTGTGTGTATTGGGTTTTTACAGAGGTGTATCAATCACATATATTTACGTCTGGGAACCGACCTTTAAACGTCACCATCCGAAAGACGTGACTCAGTTTCGAACCTACGTCCTCAGCTGAATCAGTTTGTAACTTCCACTGTTAGCTAGATTACAGGCGCACCCCAAAACGCCTAGTCTTGTTCTATCTTGTTCTATGTATTGTAGTCTTTACCTCAAGCCCTTACACATATAATCAAAATGTAACTAGATGGTACAAGAAAAGTAAAACTACTGGTACTGGTAGTCGAATACCCTTGAATTGTATACCGGTACATGTACCCATTCCACTTCTGATAAAGCCCCCCCCCCCCCCCCATCCCCCAAGCAAAAAAAAGGGAAGGAAGAAATTAACAGAATATATTTTTTGCTTGCCCAATCTTGAAAATAATATTTAAGTTTGATTTCTTAGGGGATGAAGAGGTCTATTACACAGGTGAAATCTTTAGTATGAACGGGTTAGCAATAAATATCATACTCAGTAGCTACAGTATGTAATAATTTATGTTCCTAAAATTTGCTTGCTAGATACACCTCATAAAATGTATTGACATCTGTCAGACTGGAAGATAACAACTCTATAGTATAGGTGTGGACAATATTGTAAACTATATTTGATCAGTGACAGGTCTGAAGGTGGGATGATTTGGTACTTTGCACTGTATATATGGACAGTACATTCACGTCAGTATGTGTGATTTGACCTTTCAAAATTGTACATCATCTATGTACACTGCACGTCGCATAGATCATGTGCATGATGATGTCATCCCTATTTATAGCCCATAAACAAGATTGTCTGAGATGCAGCATCCCCATGATGATGATATCCCGCACGTGCATGTGATTCCGAGATTTATAGGATGACATTGTAAAAAGTGACGTGAAACATGCACTTGTATATCCATACACAAGTCTGCTCTCCTAGACAGTAAAGCAATAGTATACAGCAATTAAAATATAATTGGTTGAAATGTAAGCAGTCCCTGTTTTTTTGTTTGGGTGGGGGGGGGGGGGGTGGGGGGGGGGGAGGGGGGATCCAATGGTAGTGTATACTGGATCTCCTGACAGTGTCAAGCCCTTCTTACATACTGTATGAAATATACCCTGTATGTGCATGTGTATGTTTACAAAAATCAGATAGACACTACCAGCTACAATATAATGCATTGTATAGCTTAGGAGAAATATCAATTCATCTTTTATTCATGAGTACCTGTTCTATTTTATACGAGAACACTGGTTTTCTAGACTGCAAGCATGATCCCATTTAGCGCAAGCAGGATTCTTTTAGAAAAACGATCCCCGGATATTCATGTGACTGTTAAAAAAGGAGCGTGAGGCAGGAATATGCATGATGATGAGTCTTCCCCATTCCCAGGGTTTCCCACCTGTACATGACGTCATGCTGGCTGAGAGGGAGGGAGAGAGAGAGAGAGAGGGAGAGAGAGAGCGAGAGGTCCGTCATCGTCCTTGCGCCAGTACATGTACCGGTAGCTAGTCTGGAGCTTATTAGGCGAGGGATGGTTATTGGCTCTATAAATAGCCCTCTCTTGTCGGTCGCAGTGCATGCAATCAACTGCATGTTTACCCTGTGGGAACTGGACACCCAGTAGAAGGGAATGGAATGCATTCATGTGCACTTTCATTGAAGGCATTAAGTATGAAAATTCATATACAGTATGATGTCTAAAAAGGGGGCCTTCTCTTCTATCTCAGAGCTACAATTTTAGATACAATAATAATGTATTAGGAATTCTAGTATATTTGTGCTCTCTCTCTCTCTCTCTCTCTCCCTTCCCTTTCTTGTTCTCTTTGTTTTCCTTTCGCCCTCTTTTAAACTCAGTCTGCCTATAGATCCTTCTTTGATGAATCAATGAGTGGGAGTACATATTTATATTTATATTTTTCAAATTTGTATTCAAACAAGTGTTGTACATTCATTTATTCCTGATTTATGCAGATATTTTTAAATTTTATTTACACCACCATCTTTCTCCTTCTCTCCGTTTAATTCTTTCTGTAGAGATATCTATTTCTTATTTACTGTCCCTTCTTGAAACCAGATGCATTAAATCTTTCCTCTGTACCTTCTATTTCTTCATCTCTTCCCATCCTCCCTCTTTGCTCTCTATCTACATGTATACCGTGCGAGTCAAAAAAAAGCTTACACCTAGAAAATTGCTAATTATTTTTAAAATCATCTATGAACAGTAAATTATCATACATCTTATGAAAGAGTGTTTTATCCCAAATCATTTGGTACCATTTTTGTGTGGTATGTGTTCACCCTTGGATGAACAGGTGGCATTGTTTGCGAGAGTGCAAAAATCGACTTGCGCCAAAGTGATGCCTTCAGTATGTATTATGTTGGGATTATTGGAGTGAGAGAATGGATTGAATGTATCAAATGAAATGCATTGCATATGTTTTTTGCAAAGGGCAAAGTCACACACACCCACGCTCACGCGCACAAATGTTTCTTGATATTTGATATTCGATATTTGATATGTGTGGCATGATTAATTTTGTTAGGGGTGTTAATTGGATCTGCAAAGACTGAATTAATACCCAAATCCCAATTGATTTATTCAAACATCACATAGGCAACTTTGGCGCAAGTCGATTTTTGCACTCTCGCAAACAATGCCTCCTATTCACCCAAGCGTGAACACATACCACACAAAAATGGTACCAAATGATTCTGGATAAAACACTCTTTCATAAGATGTTTAATAATTTACCGTTCATAGATGATTTATATAATAATTAGCAATTTTCTAGGTGTAAACTTTTTTTTGACTCACTCTGTACTGTGCTTCTTTGTCTAGGGAATAGATCTCATTTTATTGAATGTGTGAAGATGGAATGTTTCATTACCAGCACACCTGATCAAACAACTCTCTCTCTCTATCTGGTCTCTTTAACCAGCTCTGTCTGCATCTACTCCATTCCTTAATCGACATGTATGTCTAATATGCATTTGTACGTGTGCAACCTCTCGGATGGTTTTTCAGATGCGAATATGATTATTTATGGTGCCAGCCAAAGAAAAATAATTTATACATAGACAGCAAAACACTGTCATCAAAGAAATAGAAATGCAAATGATTAATAAGTGAAATATGGGCTCCTCTTTGTCTTCTTGCTACTCCTGCTCTTCCTGCTCCTACTCCTCTTCATCCTCCTCCTATCTTCCTCCTCCTTCTTCTCCTCCTCCTTCTTCTCCTCCTATCTTTCCTCCTCCTCCTATCTTTCCTCCTCCTTCTCCTATCTTTCCTCTTCCTTATCCTCCTTCTCCTCCTACCTTTCCTTCTCCTCTTCTTCCTCCTCCTTCTCATCCTCCTATCTTTCCTCCTCTTCCTCCTTCTAATCCTCCTACCTTTCTTCTCCTCCTCCTCCCGCCACACTATTTCTCACTCCCCACTCACCTTTATCTTCTATTGTTCTTATACAATGTGTGATCGTTGCATTTATTTAAGTATTTTATATAACACATATTTCATCTTATCCTACAATTTACAGCTGTGGATCCCTTCAAGGTAGAGAAGATATCCGAGACGATCCTCCACCGCCTCCTGGACCAAGACATCATCTTTGAGGTGTTCCTACCAGAGAAGAAGGCTCCTCTCTTCCTCTACCAGCGGGGCAAACCAGCCGATCACTTCATCATGATCCTACAGGGTCGCGTAGAGGTCACCATCGGCAAAGAGAACAGTCTCTTCGAGCAGGGGGCATTCTCCTTTTACGCACAGCACGCCCTCACTGGTACAAATCAACAAATTGGTGAGAATTTGATTCATAATTATCTTTGAATCAGCAGATGGCCATATAAATTTGAAGTAACGTCAGTTGAATACATCCTTCTGTAAACTACATGTACTTGAATTCCATCGTATTGAATTTTGACAAGATTAACCAAAATGTTTTGTCATATTTGCACAGTGGTAGCCAAGCAAGTGTAGGGAGTATAAAACCCAGCCTTTGAAGACATAAAGGCAACTCTAAACTCCTTGAATTCCATTGCAATAAGTTTTGACAAGATTAACCGATATGTTTGTTATCTTTCTTCATATTCAGATAACAAGCACAGTGGTAGCCGAGCTAGTGTAAGGAGTATAGGTAGCGCTAGCAACCCGTCTCCACCATCAGCCTACATCCCAGATTTCACTGTCCGTATCCTCACCAATGTCCAGTACATCAAGGTACGTAATGACACAGCAGCAAGAATAGAGGGTTCCATTATTCAAAGCAACTCTTCAATTTATTCTTTCCACAATGCGATAGGAAATGAAAATGAGAACATACAAGACAACCTATAAACGTGACAATGTAGTAAAGTAAAGCAATTCAACAACAATAAAAATTTAAGTACAAAATTACAACGGATAGAAATAACAAAACAAAAACATATTAAAATGTGGAGGGACAAACAAAGGCTTGTCCCAGGAAATATTTTACTTAAATTCATGAGCATATTTTGAATTTCAAGAAGAATGATAGATTCCTCAGTCACACCAACGAGACCGACACCAGACCAACACCAGATCGACCACAAACCATACAAGAGATTACATAACCTCCCATGGCCAGCAGTCAGTCGGTTTGCAGTTGGTTTGCAGTTGGTTTGCAGTTGGTGTGGAGTCGGTTTAACAGTGTACAGTAGCTGAGATAAAACAAGCTGATCTTCATCTAAGAATTAAGGCTTGTTCACATATGCTGCTGCAAACTGTGTTTAAAGCGTACTTTATCATACTGCACTTCAGATTTTAATTAAATGTCGTGATTAAAGGTAAAGACCAGTTATGGTCAAGCGATTGCATTGTGAAAGAAACGTTGAGGAATCGATCAGGAAAGGTTGATCATCTAGCATCTAGCATCTGCAAGGTTCTGGAATCATCAAAATGATAAGAAATTTGGCCCATTCTTCGTAAAGTTATAAGCACTATACACAGAAAGATGTATATGGGACTACCCTATATCTCTCACAAACCATGAGAGAAACAATTTTACCAAATATATGAATTAGTAGGCGGTTTCCCGGCAAATTTGTTATCATCATGTATTAGTCAAAACATATTCTTTTACATGATTGGTTATGAGAGCTTCCATTTCATTTTTTGAAATTGGGGCGTTTCCAATACTGGTCTTTACCTTTAAGATCTGATTGGTGTCCTGTTGGTAAAGAAAAAACACATATTACCACACATTTTTAACATAATATTGCAGATATTAGAAAGATTTATGATTGTATTGGAGATATTTGTTGCACAAAACATTACTTGTTTAAAAAAAAGTTAAAACTAATTTTGTCTGTTTTTTTTTTTCTTTCTCTGGTGGAATTACTCAGGTGACCCGTGTCCAGTACAACGCTGCCCGTGCTGCCACCAAGATGGAGCGGGAGAGCCATGGAGACGTACACGTTGCTGCTCAACAGTCCAAGGAGCTCTTTGAGAATGAGTGGCAGAAGGCCGTAAACCAGGAGAAGTTTGAACAGAGTGTGGAGGATGCCAGCAAGGACAACAACGTCAAGAGTTTTCAGGTCGGCAACCAGAAGAAAGATGAGAAGTTGTGACATAAGGAGCAACCCTAAACTGAGCGAAGCTGGATGTCAGTGCATTTATAGATCCAGTGGAAAAAACTCTTAAACAGCATCAGACTGAAAGAGAATTTATAAGAGTTAAAGCGGGCAGGATTCATAGAGTTTTAATACAAGTATTTCTTTTGATGATTGGATTTTTCAAGCATGGAGGGGGGGGGGGGGGGGAGGTGATCATTTTATAGTTTATAATGCAATTTCTGTGAAACACACGAGACGTACACTTTTATATCCCCATAGTTCAAATGAAGAAAAAAAATGAACCGAATAAAGTTAGATTTGAGATGAAGATGCAATAGGAATTAAAATGATGAAGATGATGGATTTGTATGGTTCTACTAGCTGTATTAACAAAAGAGATGATAACAAATAATTTGTTTTCAGCTAGAGATTATAAAATCAATATCAAAAAATTATCAGGCATGCTATAAGTTGACAGTTAATATTATAAAGAAAATGTAGGATAATATATAAACTGCCATACGGAACCCAAGTTTGACCATGCACGCCTTATTCTACTACGAGCATGTAAGGAGCCATTGAGTAAACTAGTCGACCCAGCCGCTTTTGTGTTTATTGAAAGTGCATTCGAACCTGCAAAATATCTTTACAGGAGTAATATTTGAAGCTCATGTTTTGATCAAAATATAGCAACAAGGCACCCCTTAAAATACTGTCAACATCAATTATAATGATGGTAATAAATTAATTGCATGTCCTACCTTAAACATATATGTATGATGGTTTTCCTTCAAGAATCTGATTTTCTACTTTTTTGTGTGTAAACTAAATCTGCATGACTATTAATCATCTACGGTAAATGAATGCAAAGAAACCAAAACCTCAATATCAACTTAGTCAGTTCATGTGTATTTAGGGATAGTGAAGTTTCCTACACTTTTAAGAGACATATTTATTTAGTGAACTTTTCTAGGAGCTGGTGGTATTTAGGGAGCAAGTGCAAATTATAATTATCCATATTCCACAGTAAAGGAGATATTGTACATATTTTCTTATTGAATAGTTCGATTTTTCATGTTGAATATTTTTCTTTATCGCTGTGGCTTCAACAGACTGCATGGTATATAAAAGAAATAATATTTTGTACTAAGAATGAGAAAAGGAATGGTGCTAGCTTTAATTTGAAAAATGCATGATTTTTTTTATTATTTTTAATTCAGTTGGATAAAAAGTTACTGTGAATCAGCTGTAACTGATTTAAATTGAAGAAACTATTTATTATTTGATTAATACAACATTATATAACTATCGGAGCTTTATACAGGCAATGAAGTAATGCATGTTGTAGATTGAATGTTTACTTCACATGCACATTATTGATATGTATACAATCTACACAAGAGGAATGCTGGGTATTTAGATGATCTTCAAGAGTTTATGTCAGACATATTACCACTTGCTACTCTGTTCGCAACATCACATAGTTGTACCTCATTCACAGTAGGCATTTGACCTGGTGCTGACCTCTGAGCTGATTTGGAGCGAATTCAATTCTGATTTCTCCTGCACAAACTTAACACGCTTTACGATGCAACTCGGGCTTGAATCCGGCCAATTTCCCGTTTTAAATCGGTTTCCCCCCATGTTTGTTTAAATCATGGTGTGTTTTTTTCTTCCAAAAATAGAAACCAGTAGTCCCTGAGATCGATGTAAATCCAGTATAAAATTAGGGGAGTGAGTTGCCGTCTTTTTAAGACTTACTTGAATGCCTCGCGCTAGTGCTTGGCACCTCGATTTGCTTATTTTGTTTGTAACTCTCACTATCACCTCTGATCCGGCCCAAATCTGATGCGAGAATGACTAGTTTTGAATGAAACCAGTGATAACTAGTGGGTTAAAATTCAAGGGAGATGTACGATCAAAATGAGCTGCTGCCCTATTTTCATTAGCATTTCTTGCATGTTATGTATCTCCCACGTGGTCTTTTCCAGGCTGTCTCGTATTTGGCAATGAGTATGCCCTGCTCAAATTTAATGCAGTTCAAGACTGAATTGAGTGTGAATGCATTCAACTGAGTTTATTAGGGTTAAACTCTCTGGTTAAGTCAGCATCAAGCTTGTACCCATGCACTGTGAATGGGGTATGGGATTGTATGATTCACGCTCCTGCAACATTAACTGAGACCAAGGACCAAACCTTACCTTACCCTAACCCTAAAGGGTCGTTCAGATATGATGCGCAAAACGCAAAGTTTCTTAAAATGATGACATAAAGTATAACACGCTTTACATTTATATAAATGTAATGCTTCCTGGGAGAAATTTCAATTGTTTAAACATATTACTGGGTGTAAGCCACAAATATGTTTAAATAACGCTTTACATTGTTGTAGCTTAGAACAGAGCTCAATGAATATGTGCAAGTCTTTTGTTGTGCATAATTACCATTCATTTACACGATTAAAAAAACGGCAGATTTTTTGCGGCGCGTTTACCATACCATATCTAAACAATCCTTAACCCTACATTTTTTACGAAATAAAGCAAAGACGAATTGTAGCTGGAGAAAATTTCAGATTAATGGGTAGAGGTAACCCATTCAGACTGGAAATATTAAAATTCGAAAATGATCAGCTTTTCAAATTCAAATTGGCTGTGATTGTTTTTTATTGCAATGTTTTTCTAATCAGAAGTCATGTATATCACACCAACATATTAGACCATATGAGATGTAGATTGATGAGATGGAATATCATATCATTCAAGAGTCTCTCAAAGTTCTAATATGAACTGTCTTTAGAAGTTTATTCGGTTACAGCAGCATTTATAACTTTATATTCAACAATGTGCTAGCCTCAAAGTTGTACGAACACGTAATGTTTGTTCTCCATGCCGATGATGTCATCATATCTCGTGATTAAAGCATTTTAATATCAATTTTGATGTATTTGGATGATATTCATCTTTCTCCATAGTTTTGTCACTGTTCTATGTGAGTTTGATATGTCTATGGATGGTTTAAAAGGTTTTACTTTTGTCTGTTTTGAAGAACAATTATCTTACGTTTTAGTGGAAAGGGAAATTAAACAAGAAACACAATACAGTTGGAAATTTTTCTATGAACTTAAATCTATGAACAGTTACAACTATATATTGTTTACTGGCATGCATGTTTGTCAAAAGGATGTAGAAAACAAATGGTAAACAGATATGATATACTAGTGACATTCACTTTGATAGAAATCTTCTTTACTGACTCCCCCTTTCATTTTGGAATTGATATAAGCACACATCAAAATATATACCTGTATAAGTATACTAGAAAATGTAGAATCATAGTTTTGAGTTTTCCTTGAGCAATAGCAAGAAACTGCATGCATAAGAACGAGAATTGTGCTTGTACAATATGAGGTACACTAAGGATTATTCTCAGTGACTCATCGGGCAAATTAACTTATGACAAGGCCTGGACAGGTTCCAGAAAGGAGGAAAGGAACGATAGCCTCTCTGACATTTTTTACCTGGCACCACTTACTTAGTCTCTCCTTCTGTATGTCTGTCTCTCTTTCTCCCTCTCTCTCTCTTTCTCTCTCTTTGTCTCTCTTTGTCTCTCTCCCTCCCTACCTCCCTCCCTCTCTCTGTCTCTCTGTTTTCTCTCTCTCTCTCTCTCTCTCTATCTCTCTCTCTCTATATATATATATCTCCCCCATGTCTTTGTCTTTTTCTGTCCTCTCTCTCTCTCTCTCTGCCCCCTCCTGTTCTCCGTCCCCCTCGTTGTCTCTTCGCTTCTCTTTGTCCTTTCCAACAATCTCTTGAAACTGCTTGTGTGCCAGTATGACAATACACTGGGATCTTACTTTGAGTTTGAATCAGTCTCATTTTACTCATGGTAAGAACCCCTAAGAACCAATTGGGATCAAGGTCTCAGTTCAAACTCGTTACAAGGTGGATCATGATTGGCTGATCAGTGATGCTAGTGAGAGTGAACAAACTCTCAACTTAGGTCGGTGCTATGAACCAGAAGAGCATTTTTAATTCTTTTTTCTCACAAAATAGTCTAAACTACCTACAAATTAATAGCAAAATATGTATGTTCTATATGATATGTAAACCTGAATACAAAGTAATAAGATGTGACAGGGTCAGATGATACAGAGAGGGGTGATTAGAAGGGAGTCTACACAAGGCTTTAAGACAACTTTCAGCATTCTTTTTGGCCTAATTTCGATCAGGTTAAGAGCATAAATAATTCATATTCTTCAGTATTGAGTTTATAACAAGTAAATTGTAACAGTAATAGACAATGATGACATTATGTAATAAATGAATGCAAAGTATTGTTTTTGTGGCCGACTATAATGTGAACTTCAGCTCTATTTAAACTGTTGATAATATGACAAGAAACAAATTATTGAGGGGGGGGGGGTGTGGCAAATCTAAATTAAATTCTTGTTTTTAGTCACCTCAGCAGTTGGGGTGATTGTACTTGGAAATTGTGCAATTAACAGATTTAATGTAAAGAATTCACCATTCAAATCATTTAACAGAAAACACATTGGCCCGAATTCACAAAGGAGGTTTGTCGACAAACCATGGTTTTCGTACGTCATATGACGCGTTTTACGCGTTTTTTACAAACCTGGTTTGTAAAGAACAAAAGGAGGTTTGGCGAAACAAAAGGAGGTTTGAGCTCAAACCTTGGTCTGAGCTCAAACCTTGCTTTGTGAATTCGGGCCATTGTGTTACCATAACTTTTGAATTTTAATTGTTTTTCTTGGGTCTTAAAAAAAGGGTAGCCCAGTAAGTGATAAAGCACTTTATTTACAACGGTCCTATCTACTTTGAGGCCCATCATATAAAATATATACGTCAATAACGTCATCCAATCCAAATGCATGTTTGAAAGCTAGACATCACGTCACCAAAGAGGGCAGTAATCTGTTTGGGAGACTGCAAGTCTTAAGAAGATTATTGGTTTCCCTCAGCTATTGTGCCTCTGTGCCTCTGTGTGCATTCTGATGGATGCTTCTTTTTGTTCTTCTCTGTTTCTTTCTTTCGTTCTTTGCTTTGAGAAAAGGGGTGCGAATTACCTTGACCCCTTCCCCCTATGATTAATAGTTTTTTTATTAACAAATCCGATTGTTGATTATGACGTGTTTAACAATTAATTCGGACCCACAATAATTATGATGAACAAAAATGATTATGCTATGTCTGACCTTCCAGTGCTAGTACAGACCTCCGTGTGGTGTATTGACCTCTTCTTTTACATTCAACTCTAGGGCATGCAATAATTCATATATCCTATATCCGCACATTTGTGACAGCATAATTGATTATAGAACAATTCCTATTTGTCCCAAGAAAAAGAGAATTACTCTACAAGTCATGTACCACTGGATCATCACTCTCTCCGCGATTGTTCTGCTGCCATCTTCGTCAAAGCTCTTAGTAATGGGCAGAATATAATTATTTCGAGGTATTATCATATCACTAACTAGCAGTTGAGGTAAAGCCTCGGTCACAAATGCCATTACGAACTGCTACGAAAGCTGTACGAACGATTTTCAGACGATGGAAATTCGGGAAAAACAATGGAAAACAGGGAGATTCGTACGAACCTTTGTGACCGTAGCATTAGACTATTCATGCTGAATGAAAATAAGTCCTGTTATAATCAAGTAATGGCTAAATAGAAGTGAGATTATCGCTCACTTTTTTGCAACTCGAGGATGACGATGCAAACGAATACATCCCATTATACTTCTCTTGTAGTGTATTTGACAGAAATTTTGAATGGGAGTATTGTAAAATATTACAATATTCTATGCTCTTGCTGGAGATTGTGCTGCTATGCTTTTCAGTAAGAATAGTTGAAACTGGAATTAAAGTTTTTATAATGTGTCAAACATCTGTAATCTTATCCGTTTCGATATTTCACATAAAGTTTCCCTAATTAATGCCCTTTGGCCCTTTTGAAATGTTGTCTTTCTGTAAATAAAGCGTATAATAATTATTCTTAAATTCTTGTTTACATCAAACTGTTAAAGAAAAACAAAGTATATTGTATTGCATGTTCAAAGTTATAGCGTTTTTTCACACCAGACGTATGCAATCTTTGTTCTAAAGTGCTTGATTCGTGCCAGAATAAAAGAATCCAGCATTTGTACCAGCTTAAAACGAGTAGTGGTCGTGTCATCATTTGTGTAAGCGAGATTGTGAGTGATGATATTTGAAGGTAGTGTGCTATCAGGGCTCAAATTAATTTTTTGTCCACGGGGGCTCTTCCACCCCCCCCAAAAAAAAGAGCCCCCGTGAGCCTACTCACGGGGGCTCTTTTAGTACTGACGGGGGCTCTTTTTTATACAAATATCCATTGAATTGGTACCTATGATACTCCTCAATTATTTGCTATTTCATCATTATCATTCCAATCAGCATTTTCCCTCTTACAAATTTACAAGCTACATAGCTGTTACTGGCCTGTGTATACGCATACAACACTGATCTTTATGATGTCTTTAACGTGACATATCTTCTTCTCCCCTTCCAAACGAGAAAGAAAACAAGGTCATTAAAAGGGATTAAGCGACAAATAATGATTGTGATTCAAATTGATGCGAATATTTTGTTTGAATAAGCACTGCTATTCACCCGAATCTTCTTTGTAAAAACATTTTTTACAAATCTCAGTCATGCTTACTGAGTTGAGACGTTCCATTCAAAGTAAAATACTCATTAAAGAATACACTTCTCCTAATCTGAAAGTGATCTTACAACACAGTGGCAGATTTGCATGGCTGAGATTTGTAAAAGTCGTTTTTACAAAGAAGATTCTGGTGAAAAGCATTGCTTATTCAAAAAAAATCCTTGCATCAATTTGAATCACAATGATTATTTGTCGCATGATCCTTTTATTAAATAACCTTGTTTTCTTTTTTGTTTGCAGGGGGAAAAGAAGCTATGTCACGTTAAGAAATCATAAAGATCAGTTGTATTATGCGTATATACATTATGATACCAGAACAAATGTTGATTATCAGAATGTCATTTTGGAATACCTCTAAACAAATACCACATTGTCTTTAGCCCGTATCAGTATTAGTATCATGCAATATAAAGCTATTATTCTTTATTTAATTCAGTATAATGCTTTTCCTCAAAAATAGTTTTGCCATTTTGTTAGGGTTGAGACGCTAAGAAATGGTTTCAAATGTACATTACACGAACCCTGAACCATTGCAAAATGATGGTGGTTCTCTCTCTCTCTCTTTACTTTAATCATGCATTATCAACTACATATAAAGCAGCAACCAAAAACTTAGGGTTATCTGAGATAGGTGAAAGTAAGAGTTAAAAAGAAAGTCATGCTAAAACGGCGCTTCACTCCCCCCCCCCCCCCCATGAAAAAAATAAAATAGATTAGTAGTCCTCCTCTCCAGCACCCCCCCCCCCGCTTTAATATCACATTTTCACTTGGCAGCCCAAGGGGGCCGGGGGTGGGAGGAGGGGGTTAAACCCCTAACCCCCCCCCCCGTAGATATGCCCATGTTACCATATCATTCCACGACATCTTGGTCTTCCTCTTCTTCTCAATAGGGACTTTTAGATTTGCGTGGACGTGGACGTGTTACGTCCTTTTAAGGCACTGGCAGTCACATGTCACGTCCTTTTAAGCACTGGCACTGCATGCCTTAAAAGGAGGTCACACGTTTCAGTCCACGTTCCCATCGTGCAAATCTAAAGGTCCCTAATATTGATTTACTGGTCGAGTTCATTATTTGCTAGTCATTTGAAATCACCAGATTTCAGCGGGTTAACGCTTTCACAACGAAAAACTTCTCCATGACCATGTTTCTGCCCTTGCGCGATCGCCTCCAGCTCTAGCAGACATAGCGCGGCAGCGTGCACACGTACCGCTACTAAGGGCGCAGTAGGCCTATAACC